ATTCAAACATATGGCCAAAGTAAGGAAGACCTCCAGAAACGCGTTTAACTGTAGACTGCGGCGGTGACTGTCGTTGTTTTGCAAAAAACACCTTCCATAATACGTATGAGCTAAATACCACGGTTACCGTCGTCACCGCAAGTCGCTTTCGTTCTCCTCCAGTATTAGCCGCAGTCGTGAATAGGTATCGCTGCTGTTTCAATAACACTTCCGAGACGGATGTAAGGATGCCTCCTACGCCTTGGTCCCAGAGCGATAAAACGGTGCCCGTAAGATCATGATAGTTCATCGTCTCAGTATATAGCAGCAGTTAGGACGGCGGATACAAAGAAAAGTATAATTATGACCTATTACCCCTTTATTTGTACTTATATACTGACTGCTGTGATCAGTTACCTTAATCGGCGTCGTGCTGATTAATGATGATTGTTTCTAGACTCCAGACCTTTTGTACATCGTCAAATGCTAACAAACACTATTACCCGCTTGTACGCTGCTTGTACCACCTCTGTGCATAGAATGATACTCATGTATCAAATAGGTAAAAAATTCAATAACACGATATCCAATGGATAGAGAAGCGTCGAGGTTAGCATGTTAAGTATATCACTCCAGCAAAGAATACATGGAGAAGAATTTAGTAACCTCGAAGATTAAAGACGAGGAATGAGCACTATCTTGTACAACTAGCAAGATGACATCTGAGAACTTTACTTGATGGTGTGCTCTTTTCTCACATGCATTTCTAATAACTATATATAACTCAGCAAATAAGTAAACATCATGTCATCAATCATATAAAGAACCGTAAGCACTATAAAAAATCAACTTATACTGTCGGGGAGAGCCAGTCATCCTATACCGTCCGAACCTACCCAGGATACCTTTTGTACGTTTTTGATGCATCCTGTTAAAAGATTATCAGTACTGCCCAAAATATTTAACGAGCTATAAGTAATTCTTTGACGCACCACACTGAGAAAAAGGCAGCACGATATAAAGAGCTGCTGCATAACCTCCTGTTACCATGCATATATGCTTCGATTCGCTTGTTTTGTAAAAAAGCCTTGTCATTTACAAGGAGGAATATTGAGCAATAAGCACAACGCCAGCAATTCGGTAATGTACTTGAGTATGATTATATATGACGCAACGCTTAGTTCAACGACATCAAATCTTGTTTTCTATAACTCGCTGTTGCCATTGCAACCGCGGACTTAATCTTCTTGTAGTAGGCGCACTGACCATCAGATATGACTTTTCTGACACGGTGTCTGGAAAATTAAGCGGAGCAGCCGCATATGTGAAACATACACGCACAACCAGACACACAAGGACGACGCACGCGCATAACGACTACAACGACCGTTTCCATAGTACTTGTACTTCTTCAGTTCCCCATTCCTGTAATCCTTTGCTTTATTATAGCTTTTTTACGCTCAGAACAAGCAGAATAGCGACAAAAAAATTACTACGTCACGCGTCTGGCGGAAATTTAATTTTCACTTGTTTTTTAAAAAAAAAACGACTACATTGACCACCCTTTTGTCACGTCCTGCTATTATAAAGCCCCTACCTTACCACTCCTTTGGGAATTGCATCCCTATAAAACTTTTTTTATTGCCATTACCGCCGTTTTGGTGTGTATAGACTGCGTTCCATTCTGCTGGCCGGTTCGTCAAATTGTTGCCGCAGTGATCAAGTTCCTGTTCGTACTTTTCGTCAAAACAATCGTTCGTTTGGTTTTCCGCTCCTGCAGAGTACTGTTTTTTGGGCTTGCGACCTTCACTCTCGTCTCATGCCTCTTCCTCTCGTCCCCGCCTCCATTCATCTCCGGGTTTGGGCCCTGCTGTCACTTGCTCCGGCAATGACGAAGAGCATGCTGCTGAAGCATTGGAGAGAATGCCACGCGCTGTATTGGTGTTGTTGCCGCTGTCGCCGTAGCCAAAGAGCACGTGCAAAAAGAAGACGAAGACGGAGTAGAAGAGGATCTTGAAGTCGCGTCCATTAAGCCTGCCACCGGCACCGTTCACCACCACCACCACCAACATCGCCGTCACCACAACAACGCCCGCTTCAGTGCCTACACCACCTACAACCCGCAACACCGTCGCCTCCACTCCTTCGCCCGTCACCAACCTTCTTACGATCCACCCACCACTGCCGTTCCTTTCACCATCACCGCCTTCCGCGGTCATCCTCACTTCCGCCGCCGCACCCATTTCTTTCTTTTTTGCCCTTATCCTCGCGCTCCTCGTCATTATCGTCGCCGCCGCCACTCTTCCGTGTAGCCACCGCATTACCGCCTCCGCCGACGTTCTTCTTCCTCGACAGTCACCGCCGCCGCTCACCGTCATCGTCACCGCAGACACACCGCCAACCGTTACGCTCCTTACCCCCATCGATTGCACCGTCATCATCGCCGCTCTTCTTCCTCCGTCCTGTCCCTCCGCTCCCTTATCGCCGATTTCAACCACCAACAGTTGTCTTTTTCTCCGCTTGCAACCACCGAGGCCACCACCACCACGGTCCCATCTTCTCCTTCCGCTTTCTTCTATTCCGTCGTCTCCTGTCACCACCGTCGCCACACCGTTTCTTGCCGAAGAAAGGACGGAAGATGATGACGTTTTGGCAATGCTCTCTAAAGAGTTAGCTTTGTCAACGTGGCATGGAGACAAGAGATCGAGGCGCTCATCTGCACGCCCATGGACGATGATGAGTTCATGCGGCGTGCAGCGGATTTACCGCGCCGTCTTTTGGAAGAAGACGCTTGGTGGTAAGTTTAAAAAATGGTCAAGTACCTTATCATAGCGTATTCTAACGGAAACTGTCCTTTTCTGACGCTATCCTGTAGCTGTTGTCTGTGTCGCCGTTGTCTGCTGTGGTTCGTGTCCGTCGTGGTTGCTTTTTTTTCGCGTTCGGGCAAGGTAATACCTTATAGTTCTTTCTTCAATCGTGCTCTTCTTTTCGCATGGTAGACTAAACACCAATTATATTCACTCGAGAGAACGCTCTTGGGTCTTAAGTTGTCGGCGGTCTCCGCCTTCGTCAGGCGTTGGGAAGCGGTCCGGACATCTCAGTGTATAATTGTCTTTCCAGTCAGTCCCAGCTCATGTGGATGATGTTACTACAGAAGCCCTCCTTGTAACCAGAGCAATGTTGTTCTCCAACCCCCGCCCCGAAAGCTCAACCGGAGCTATCCTCGCCCTTTCCATATCTTGAATCCCCACCGGTTGTAGTCAATGTCACAGTCACCTTTGCCTTGGGGATTCCTGAAGCTGGGGTGCCCGGGCCGGGGTGTTTGACCAGCGGTGTGAGTGGTACGCCGCAATGGAAAGTGTCAGCTTTCCAGGCTAGCCGAGTAAAAAACTCGGGGTGTTGTGAGAATCCCGTCTTTGGCTTGATCAGTCTTTTGACAACAGACTATCAGAAACAAAAACATCATTCAATTTCTGTTTGGCGGATTTTCTGACTTGACACTCTTGCTAAACACAACAACAACAGCGAACAAGTGCGTCGAAGGACAAGCAGCATCCATCGAAACATGGACCGAAATATTCCAGCGTGGGGAAGGAGTATATTTGTTATCTATCGGTGATGCTGTGGCGACAAGGACTCTTCAAGCTAATGCGAAAATCTACATTCAAACAAACCAACAAGGCAGAACCTTATCATGGGCAGTACATTATGCGCATAGAACATTTGCATAGGCGGATCAACTCCAACTCGTGGTAGGGCGGACGTTGGTATCGCTTAGTCTGGGCGGACAAAAAGGCGACATTGTTTTGTGCGAATCGACTTATTTACGACAGCAATAATTGACTTGTTGTGACATCGGCATGGAAGGAATTTTGAGCTGGTAAAAAAAATTAAAGTATGCGGCATTTTCAACATGGAAAAGTACACAAATCATACGATAGACCTTCACTAACAGCGTTAGTTTAGGGAAGGTCTCGAGTTAACGAAACAATCATCACTTTATCCTTGCTTTTGTAGAAATCCAAAGAGGACATGGTGGCAAAAAGGGGCAGCGACGAACATCATGTCTACAGACATTATCCAACGCTATCTATGATGACAAGACGAACATTGCAGCAACGCACACGACTATTCATTTCAGTCAAGATCGTGAAAAGAGCATACCAGGTAACTGTTCAAACTAATCAACGTCAAGTCAATGGAAAGAAATAACTCTTATTCATCTCTATTTGTGACGGGAACCCGGGGCAACAATAGCAACGCAACAGAAAGGACGGTTTTGGCATTGAGAATGTGATGGCAACACAAGGACAAAAGACAAGGGTGGTTTAAACTGGCAGCAGTGCGCGAATGTCAGCTATTCAAGCAAGCCAACATTAAATCAATGAGGTGGCTACAAGACAATGGGACTTCTTTCAATGCGCTGGCAATTGGACGCGAAGGACAAGAGCGTCAAAGTCGGCGGCAGCATTCATGACAACTATTCAGGATGTTCAACAACAATTTCTAGCAAAGTTGACAACTCTAATTCATCACAAACAAAGGCAACAGGTATTGTACAGTGCAAAGATGTATTTATCATTCGCCTATTATGTTGTTTCAAGTGTGACGACAACCAAACACAATGGCGAGAGCGACAAGGAGCCACGACGTTGCGGCATTATATCGTCTGATTTGATAATATTTTGATTGAACAGAGATGTTTTTACATCATGAATACTCTAGTCTGGACATCTCTATTTATGGCATCAAAACTTTGGGCAACAACATTGGGTCAACAAAAACCATTGATCTTCAACGTGGTGGCAGCAACATTCAAGTGGCGGCAAGGGCGGAATTGGCAACAAAATACGAGAAAGCGTAATTGACTTAAAAACACGCAAACCTTTCATCAACAATCACAAGCTATAGAACCGCATAATTGGCTATAGATCATAATTGACAACTAGAACAAATCAGCAACGCAAAGCTGTCAACTAAAACAAGTGGCAGCAATATAAAATCGACAATAAAATACAAGAGAAATTGACAACAATTCATATAACCATTCAGTGGATATGGTAGCTATAGTAATACACATTACTATTGATCAGACTAATATTAAATAAAAAGAGTATTATACTCATGGCTATGTATATGTTCTTATGCGGCAAAGATGGCACAAAAATTGATAGTGTCTTCAAATCCATACAGAAGCTTCATTGGCATGAACGGTAAGGGGCATCACGGACAGCGATACACTACTATGCGGCATCACTTCTGGTTTAACGTCGAGGCAGTTATGTAAAGAGGCGGCGAATGGACAACAAGCAATGGAGCAAAAAGGGACAAAAGGCACAGCTATCCCAGACGTATCAAGCAAACTATTGCATTTGGAGGACACTATTGGCAAGCGGCATATTGTATTATTGTTGGATTGACATGACGGCATTATAATACTTTCAAAGGCGGCGCAACATCCATGTCTGACTGGGTGGCAAAAACGTGTAAAGGGCACTAAACACGCATCCGGCAAACGCGCGAAGGACTAGCCGATATCTCTTGCCCCAGAAAGGACCAATTACAAGAGATGAAGTCAAGTTTTACGAACGATGAACTTTCAAACACTCCTGTTGTTTATGCGACAGAGATTCACATCGCTTCAAAGATAGCTCAACAACAACGACGGCAACAGAACTCGTGGCAGACATATACAAAACAATCCCCAGGAACCATCAATGAGATTAGACTTATTATGTAGGAAAAGCAACCAACTCGAGGGTCAACATCTCACAGAGAAACAAATCAAGCAATTGTGGCCAACACAAGTTTTCAGTATTAAAACGAAAAGAAAACCAGGAGCAAAACATCAATTAAAATCAGCATCAAGTGTGAAAAAGGAGAGCAACATATGCCATATCTGTGTCTCGGATATCGATACTTAACATCAAGAGTTCTGTGACGTTGAACGATTTAGGTCGAAGAGAAGATGTCCAGCACCACAATAAAGGCAAAATCGGTTTTAGAAGGTAAAGGTGCGAATAAGAGAAACTCAATTCTGTATGCGTCGAGATCGACAACATACCATCAAAATCAACTTCTGTATGATCCGGAAGAATGGAATTAAAATCATTAGTAGTTAATAGGGTACGTTGCGTGGATCCATGTGGCAACATCGATCGGTTAAAGCAGCAAAGATCATAACGAGCAAAAAATTCAGAGAAAAGACAGCGACACGACGTACTCTTACCATATCAATAACAAATCATGACAGAATGGACATGATCCAGCACAGTTGAAGCGCATGGATCAGAACGTAAGAATAGAAAAAGAAAGGCAAGACCCTATCATTGGGCAAAACGTAGCAACATTTGGAGGGGTAGAATATGTATTGTTCTATAATATTCATTAAACATTACTTAGATTATACTGTATATGTATTATAACTATACATCTGAACAAATGAGAATGCTACTCATATGCTGTTTTTTGCCACCCCAATCTTTTACCAAAGAAAGCTTTGGAAGTCAAAGTTATGTTGTAAAACATACATTGAATCACCCCGTCTTTGCCAATAAACCACCCGCGCAAAGGTAATCTAAACTTTGTTGGGATAATAAACGATCATCAAGCTATTAAATATTAATCAGTCAAAACGTTTTTATCGCACATAAGATACATATTAGCACCTATCATGATTTAGATAGCATAATAGCAACAGTCCAGCTTAACAGCATGCTTTATTCATTATTGTCATCAAGATATACGAAAAAATAAGAGCTTCCTCGTCTAGCGCCGACAATGAAGGTATATATATCATCAAACCCACAATATTGGCGGGAAGAAAATACCTTTCATAATGATGTTGTTAATCTTTCGGAATGGATTCCATGGTCGCTACAATGTATGATGTACTTCATATCCATGGCGGCAAACTTTTTGCTGTAGAGATATATACTCCTCAGAAAAACAGTCAATTCTCATTGAAGTTACCAGCCAAACGATTCGGATCACAAATTGAGAAAGTGTTTCTTATGATAGAACGTGAATCATTCCCATTCAACAGTTACTATTGCCTCTTTTTTTCATACCCGAGGCTATGTGATTAAAGGGTCACCAGAAAGAGACAATGGTCATGCATGTATGGGAAAATTGGGCCAAAACCTATTCAAAAATCTTAAACTTTATCGATATAAACAATGAGGTAAAAAGTGAACAAGAAGAAGGTTCATTACTGCTGCCTTTAGTAGACAATCAACAGCTACTGTCACTAACTATTAGCAATGGCGGCAGGTAGCCAGTATTTTCGATCTTATAAATATAGGCTAAACTAATGGCAAGAGAAGTACCCATCATTGCACCCATTACTATTAGTATCATCGTCGCATTACACTCGTTATTACCTACCAGCATCCATTTATTTTTATAAAGAGCTACTTCATATAACCTATCAGCTTTCCCTCCTATAGTTCCTCACAACAACCGGATATAACACCCTATACTATTCAAGTTAATGTCACGTAGAAGTAGACGCATACGAGGACAGATACCAGAGTTCCCCGAACTTGAACATGTCCAGCAACCTACTGCACAGGCCGAAGGACCTGAAGATCCTGAGCATCCCGAAGAACGTGAGCAACCTTGGGAAGAGGTTCAAGAGCTTGATGAACAACCTCAAGAGGAAAGTCAAGAGCCTCAACCGCAGCAAATCTCACAACAAAGCGCAAATCGTGGAGGACAAGGGCGTAGGCCGGGAAGAGGTCGACCTCGTTGGATACAATGGCCGGAAGAAGAGACGCATCAATATCAGCAACAACAGTATTATGTACCGAATTATCATCAGCAATATCTTAGACATCCCTACCATCAACAGCATCATCAACAACATCATGAACCGCCTTATCAGCATAATGGGCAGCAATATTACGAACAGCAACAACAATATCATCATCAACAACAGCAGCAACTTTATCATGAACGAAACGAACAACGAAATAATCAGGAGCAGCAGCAGTACTTTGGACCACGACAAAATCATCAACAACCTTTTTATTATAACCCTGTTCATCCGCAAGGACCGCACAGAATATACTCACCTGTATATGATCCCTCATCGACTGCAGATCCACTGCGAGTACATGAACAACAGCGACGACTTGGACACCACCATCAGCAACACCGCCGGACGGAGTCACTAGCAGATGATCAAGATATAGCTCCCTTCCTTTTAGGATACCCGTTAAATCCCTATAGAACAGGTTGGCAACAGCTTCCTGCTTTGCAGAGACATGATTGGCAGCCTCGATATTATAATGGTCCACAGTACATCGCTCCTCAACCACGTCGTCCTTTAAATTCATTTATTAATTCTCTTCAAGAATTACTGCAAGAGCAACAGCAACAACAGCCCTCTTCTTCCGTACAACCACCAAAGTCAGGATCATCAACAGAGCTCATTGATAAGCGTCCACACCTTAAAAATATCCTAGCATCATCAACAATGGAAAGACAAGTACAGCAACAACAATCCGAAAAATCATCTTCTGCGTCTCCTCGTCTTCAGCCACAAGGAGGTGCCAGCAGCAGCAGCAGCTTCCCAGTGACGACAACAGAAGATACTTCTGCAAGCTCTGTCCTTGGTAAACGTACGCGTGAGAATTCTGGAGAAGCCGAAGCGGATAACAAAGAAGCACTGCAGGAGCGACGATCAGCACGAGAACGAGGTAAAATAAACTAGATCAGCAATAACTATGCCTTTTCAACTTTTGTGAAAGTGTTATTGATCCAGCTTTTTCTTCACGCATATAAATCTATATAGATAACCAAGAACGACTGCAACACAAAGAGAACCGGCAACAACGTATCAAGGGTATAAGCGCTCTATCCTTTCTATTGTATTGGTTTGATATTTTTACATGCTTCTACTTATTAAACAACTTTGTTATTGTGTGTATTTTAGAAATTGTTCGATTTTTGAAGGAACCTCAAAACTATCAAAGACTTCCCATCCTGGAGCAGATTAACCAAAATGTCGAGCAACAAGTGGAGGAAGCGATTTTAGAACGTATCAATTTTATTCGAGAGGATGGACAACCACGATACCAAGATCCTGAATTAAACCAGCTGTAAGTGATAACTTTTTTCTTGTCCTCGACTATATATCAGCGTATACAAAGCAGCAAAAAACAAGAACAGCAATTCAAACTTTGAACTTTTTTCTTTAAAGTCGCCGTAGCAGTCTCCTCAATGATTCTGAAAGGCGTAGTCTGGATTTCAGACTGGTACAGCTGGCGAGATGGGTTGAACAAGAACGTATCAGGGACGCCATTGAAAGGTGGAAAGGTATTCGCACGGAGGCCGAGCAACTTGAAAACATTCCTATTGATGAGAATGATACGCATGCCCGAGAACTACATGAAAACCAGCGCATGCTGCATGCCTTTGCACTTACCAATGTTCATTTCGGCGATACTACTCCAGAGATTGAGGCACGTCGCGATAAAGTGTGGAGTTATATGCCTAGTTTCGAACAAAGAGTGGATCAGCAGATACTCGAGGCTGAGCAGCGTATTGCGGAGTCGCTCGATCGTCTTCGCCATCGAGAAGAACAGCAGCAACAACAAAATCGCAATGAGTAGTTGCTGACCACAATACCCATTTCTAAATCTATCATTGATTTGTCCCCATTATATAGGAGTAGTAATAGTAGTAGTAATAGATTAGTATACATAAGCAACTTTTCAGTATATATCTTGATAGCGACAACCATTTTAGCAGTATTAATAATATCATTACAGTGTACCCTCGCCTTTTGCAACAGTGACAGTTTTGAACGTGAGTTAGTAATAAAGTTCTAAACATAGATAAAAACAGACTAATTTATTTTGATTTCTTGCATGCATTGCTGTCATCTGATGATCGTGACTATGACAAAGTAGCAAAATAACGATGTATATTGTATCTTCAACATAGCTGGAGGTGTCTATATAAGCAGTTAACTAGTCTTGACTTTGTCGTTCTTTTGTGTACTTATTACCGTTCCACTTTGGATCCATCTTATTATGAGAAAAATCTTCTTTCAGAAAGCTCATAATAGCCAAGCAGGAAGATCGTGTCTGGGAGGAATATTGCCATACTAATGGTGCCAAATCGCTGGAGGGGTTAAAAACTTTTTTTAGAGCAAGTAAACATATCCTGGATTGAAAGTACTTTGATTAAGTTCCACTTTTTCTCGTCTTTGGCATAAAGAAAGGCATCGGCCCATACTCAACCAACCAACGATCACCTTTTGGAAAGTAAAAGTTGAAAGCGGCATGAACAAGGGAAAATACTTTAATATCAATACCATATACAATTTCAATATACCATGTACTGATTATATACAGTATACGGATTCTTTTTTGCATCTTACCTTTAATAAAATGCAATCCTACAAAGCTGATTTTGCAAGTTGCTGATTTTTTAAGTTTGTGATATTTTAAAAACTCGTTTCAAAAAGTGTAGGGAGTTGCAAAACCTGGGCCCACTGCACATAAAATTCAGCAGTTGTAAAATCTCAAACTGTTGTAAAAGAAACAGTTTTCTTGTAGGAAGTTTAACCTCTTTTCTTTATTTGAGCCGTACTCTTCTTAAACGACCAATGTGAATCACATTAGTCGAAATAATTACACCATAAAGTCGTCAGGTGCACTTATGATTTGCTCTGATATGTTCGCTATATTGGAATAAATGACACTTATTGTTAGCTTCATGGAGCTCAAGTCTAGTAGCAGGAGTATATGCAATGATATATGCTATGACGGCTATGACGAAAGAGAAAAATCAAAAGATGAAGATTCTTTAATAACTCGGGAAGTTGGGTTATCAAAGGATATTAGAGGTATATTATATATCTTGGTGCTTCCTGAAAATCGGGTTTGACAGGTTCGATTCCCCAGCGGCACAAAAGTTCGAAAGTCACAGTGTCGCTCGAGCTTGCTCTGCTAAGACCAACTACAAAAAAATTTCTTCTGCCGCTATTTCCAAACGATCAGTAACTTGTTACAAAATGGCTTCAGTGTACGTAAAAATTAAACGATTGATCCCCCCAAGCAGACGATGTTCTTCATTCAAACAATTAATGAACACTTGACGATTTTAATTTCAAATTCACTAGACAACCATCGAAGCACTCGTGGGCTGACGAAATTGAGGAAGAAGAAGGTTAGCCAGTTTCGGTGCACGCAATACTAAACACGACAAAAAAAAATAGAAACGCCACCCGATGCGACTTGACACAAATATTAACGTGATTTATAAATAGATGCCTTTCAACCAAAGGTGTTCACAGACGAAAACGGCATCAAAACCATTGTTGAATTCCGAGAAAACGAAGATGGCAAGACTGTAAAGGTAATTAAAACTGATTTGAATTTTATACATCAGCAGCAAACATGGACCGAAGCATTCCCTACCGCAGCGGCGTGATCTCTGGCCCTCCTTTTTATTTCAACGAACATCAATTGACGCAACAATTCTTGCACAAATAACATTTCAAAAGGTCACACGAAAGATCCGCTCGAAGCTCGTTACAGAAAACGTCAACAAGTCTGTTGCCGCGCGTAAAAAATGGGTCAAGTTTGGCGAAGAAGAAGGCAACAAGCCCGGACCCGATCTCTCTACAACCACCATTGGTGAAAATATCCCATTAAAGCTGGGCAGCACTGCCGGCAAGGTATTGCAGGAAGAGGAATTGGAAAGGTTGGGACGAAAAGAGCAAGTGTGTAAGAAGAAGGCTAAACAATCATTGCTTGGTTATAGAGCGTCGATACTGTTGCTGCTGAAGAGGCACAAGAGAAGCTCCAGCGACAGTCCAAGGCTAAGAATATCATGTGCCGTATCTGTAAAGGCGAGCATTTCACATCCAAATGTCCTTACAAGGATACGCTCCAGCCATTGGATGAGATTGCCAACTCCATTGAAAATGCTAAGAACGAACGCGGTAAGGACAAAAAAGATAGGCATGAATTGCATAAGGAGGGAATGATTGGGGTTTTCACGTGTCGATTGGGAAGTGGAGGGTTTATTGTGATGATGTATGTAACTCAACAAACGCATGTGATGATATGATTTATGTAGCCGATACCCCAGACTCTGCAGCCGCAGCTGCCGATGGACCTGGCGGTGGAAGCAAGTACATTGCACCCCATCTTCGAAAGGGCGCCGGTGCCGGAGCCGGTGAATCCATGCGCGACACCAAGCGCGATGACAGTGCTACGCTCCGTGTCACAAACTTGTCTGAAGACGTCACAGACAACGACATATACGACCTGTTCTATCGCTTTGGCCAAATCGCCCGTGTATATCTTGCACGCGACCGTGAAACGGGCCTGTGCAAGGGCTTTGCGTTTGTGTCATTCACCGACAAAATGGATGCCGAGCGGGCACAGCAAGCAATCAACGGCTACGGTTACGACAACCTCATTTTGCGGGTCGAGTTTGCACGCAGCTCATAATTCTGTTGTTGTTTGTTGTTGATCGCCATCTTCATAACTTTTCCTCCTTTCGTACATAATATCAACATCTTTTCACGCACAAACAAAAAGAAGGAAAGTCTCTTCTGCCTCCCCAAAAGCTATCATTTGTACACTTTATGAAATACAAAAAAAAAAAAAGGTCATGTGTGTGCATGTTTTTTGCCACGAGAATACAATAAATGCGCATATGCTTTTTTCTTGATCATCAAGCGCTAGCTACTACTACTACCCAGCCTGATGCCGTGCCACATCTTTTATGACGTAAAAATCGTAGCAACTCCGCCATATACACACATGAGTATTTCTTCTGGTGCCTGCGCCTGAACCAATCGTTCAGCCTTTTTCATTAAAGTTCATACCACTGACACACACATTTTTTTTTGTAACAAAAAAAATTATTATTATTATTATTGCCTACTTCTATTACTACTTCTTACTATTACTATTATACTTTTTTCTGTGCTCCCTCTCTCACCCCTTCCTTTCCATATTCAATGGAACCACCTCAGCAAGACCCGCAGTTAGAATCGCTCGATGGCGATGGCACAATGTCTTTGCACAGTTCAACCAATTCATCACCGCCCGAACAAACCGAAGACGCCATGGATTTGTTCTTGAACCAAGTAACGGATTACAATTCACGACACCTTTCTTACGACAGTCACCCTAGCAACCATCGCCACCACCGTTCTGGTACGTTTCTGTATTTTGCCACCATAATGCCCAACCCGTTTCTCCCCTCCCCCTTTTATTTTTTTGTTTCTTTCCATCACGGGAAAGGTGCCTGAATATCATTTGCTTATTATGACCTTTAAATAGTACTCGACCCTTCTAGTGTACTAATGAGCCATGACCAACATAAAATCGACCCTACAACCTCACACAGTATGACTCAGCTACCAATGAATGACCAAGAGCTAATGGAGTTGTCAGCAACTGCAAACGACGAAACAAAGTCAATCCAACAGCAACAGGAATCAATGGCAAATACTAATGCCAAGACAACGAAAGGAAAAGAAGGCGGTTTTGTCAGTGTAAGTTTATATAACATTACATGTATTTGGGATAGAGATAGCTCAATAATAACAACAATACCGTCATCGTTCGAATAGGCGTTCGCAAACCCGCTACTGCATGCTATTCCTATCCTAGCCAGAAACTGTTTGAATTTTGAAGATTTCCTTGCACAGGCAGCCCTGCATGGGTAAGCATTCAATGTTTCCTTATCATAAGCAGTGGTATCTTAGATTGTTGTATGACACTAACTAATGTGATGATTCGTCTGTATTAGCCAAAACGGCCTTCTCGGTCCTAAGCTTCAAAAGTCGGAGGATGGCTCGTCTTCGGATTATGCAGCTCCCGACAAACTACTCTTGGATCCTACCAAGGAATCCTCTATTATGCTGTAAGTCGTCTCACAATGTTGTTTACACTGATCGCTTACTAACAGACATGCATTTATGCACAACAGTCCTGGCAGCAAAATAGCTAGCCCATATCACATTCGCGTGCTCGGCTTGCCGGAAACAGGTGCTAAATCTCGCGTGGAGACCCAGATCAAGGTGTGCGTTCAGCTCATCAACTCTACAACCAATGAACTTGCGACCGACTGGACTCATGTGCGCCTTCCAGAACATATGGTGGCAAAAGAGAAACTAAAACGCAAGCATCAAAAGGGTGCTACGACTACGACTACTGCTGCCGCTGCAAGTAGTGGTGACGACAATTCAGCGCTCGATGAGTCTAAATTACTTAGACTTGAGGCTGCGGTGGTATGCGACAGTCATCCGGATAACGAGATCATCATGTGCACAAGCTGTGTTCATCGAGAGGTAACTATCGAATTTCAGCTGCTTGCCTGCTTGTTCGCTTAGCGGTTGGGTTATGCTGTGTTTTATGTATGGGGTCTACACCCATGATCACGTATCCAGAAACACTCATCATTTAACACTTGTACTCTTGTAGCGCAAACGTTTAAAACGTAAACGAGATAACAAAGTTGCACGTGCGGCCAAGAAGGAAGCAAGTGCTGCTAAATTAGCTGCCCTTTTTGCAAACGACTTGCCAGACTTGAATGACGAAGACGTGATGGCGCAGGAACGACGAAAAATTCTCTTGTTTAACTGTAGCGAGTACGTCGAGTTTCATGATGGCGAAGCAACATTGCCAACACGTGTCACTTGTTACTGTCGACATCACAGCGAAAAGACCGGGTTCAGGTACTTTTCATCTTGTACTTGTTCAAAATTAATTTTTTGATGGATTGGATTACACACACATGCTTACGCAGATACAACAAAATCATATAGGCTTGTGTTTACTGTCAAAGACTCGCACAACCACGTTATCGCCACAGGCCGATCGCCACCCATCATGATTACCGATGATCATAAGAGCTCGAAAGTACAGCAGCAGCAACAACAACAACAGCAATCAACTACAGCACGGAAGCGAACACGCACCGAGTTTGATAACAGCAGCAGCACTGCAGAAGCACCCTCTAACTCTAAAAAGAAAGCAAACAATGCAGCCGGAGATGGTGAAACCGACTCGGGTGTGTCAAGCCCCAGTCCGATGGTATCGACTCCTCCTACTCCAACATCTCAGACTGATGAAATACCCGCCAGCCCTAACAACTCATCCGTTTCGAAATATGCAATTACTACTGCCACTACTGCCGCCACTACCCCTGCTGCTGCTGCTGCAACCAGCACTACTCCCGCCACACCATCAATGACAGATTCGCTTCATTTAGAACAACTGCCACCTACTACCACCACAACTGCAACTGCAACTGCAACACCTACTATAACTACATCCTCATCTACTGGAAGCCAGAGCTTCCTGTCACATATGCACCATTACAGCGACACTGTACCTGAGATACCACAGGGCGAACTGTTTGATTTCCTTAACTCTGAAGATATCAGCGTTGATCAGTTAATATCCTCATCGTCATCGTCTGCTATTGCGCCTACCAGCGCGACAGTCGTTCCACACAATCATCAGCGAGGACAGCAACATCAGATACTCACAGGTCGCGCTTCTTCTGCAACGCCGTCCACTTCTACTGCCATGACAGAGCGTCCCTTGCCGCAACTTCCACCTTCTACTTCGCATCGACGACGTACATTGGCGACGGGCATGACCTGTGCTCAGCAACAGTGGCAAGCCAGCAACATGTATGCCAAAATGCAGCAAAAGAATGCAGTAGAGCGCTCAAGGACCAATGGTCCCAATCTGCCACGCCTTCATCGACTAATTCCCTCAGAAGGACCTGTCTACGGTGGTTCAGAGGTCACAGTGCTCGGCGCTAACTTTTACGAAGGACTCACATGCTTGTTTGGTGAGAATCCGGCCGTTCCGACGCATTGCTGGAGCTCAAATACGCTACTATGCATTCTTCCTCCAGCTGCCAGTGCTGGTCCTGTTGTAGTTTCGTTCAAAGAACATCCTTTGATGCTCGAAGGCCAAGACGTTGTATTATTCACATACTTTGACGAAAGCGATCGTGCTTTGATGGAGCTGGCATTACAAGTTGTCGGCTTAAAGACCATGGGCAAGGTGGAAGACGCGCGCCAGATTGCCATGCGAATTGTTCAAGGCGATAGTGCAAACAAAGACAGTTCTTCTTCTTTGACAGCATTAACAACGACCAACGGCAACCAACGAAGCGCTACATTAAAAGGATTGCGTATCGAATACCGCGACATGCTTTCACTGAAAGGCGCCATGGCCGTATACGACAATGCACGCACGCTGTGCATCGGTCGACTCGAAGAACAAGTGATATCAGCGCTTGTTGCAGCAATGCACATGAACTGCACCGCCTACATGAACGAATTATCGCTCACGAACCGTAACCAGCACAGTCTGCTGCATCTGGCGACCATCTGCGGCTATGATCGACTCGTCAAAACCCTGGTAAAACTTGGCTGCGATGTGGATCAGTCCGATCATAACGGCTTTACTGCACTGCATTTTGCGAGCTGGACTGGCAAAGTGGACATTGTCCAAGCATTGATAGCCAAAGCCAACCTTGACGCACGTAACATCATGGGCAAGACACCTGAAAAGATGGCGTTGGAGGCAGGACACAAGCATGTCTTGGAGCTGTTCAAACGATTGCCAAACAGACGCCAGCGACGCCAAAAGAAGCGGAAACAAGGCGACGGCGATGACAAGGACGATGTACGTATACCACTGTCTGAATTCATTCCTTCCGATGCCGTGGAGACCGCACGCGCCGTGCTGCCTACCCGGTTGAACAACATGCTTTCTACATTTTATACAATTTCTGTTAATACCGCTTGTGTCAAAAACCTTGGCGTAGCGGTTGGTCAAGTATATAACTTTATGTTGGATCCGTTCTAATTCGATTCCTTACTTTTTTCCTTCCTCCTTACCCGATACACAGTCCTTTCTTTCTCTATTTCCCTTTCATTCACCCCTTCCATTTACATTTTGTTCAGATACCTCGTTACTATAATTTTAAAACAAAGTTTGATCTTTACATCATAATATATCTATATAGCATAGTCCATTCTAAACATTATATTATTTTTTAAGAAATGCAAACGAGACAACATATGCGCAATAAGATATTGTACAAGGTGGTGAAGATTGAGAGTTCTCTTCTATACAACCCCTTATATGTACAGTATACTTGGAGCATCTCCAGCAGATTCGCTAAAAGTTAATTTTGGCGAGCCAGATACAGTAACGAATCGCCTCTACAGCAGCTTATACAACTGAATTGCTAAATTTTCATCATCTGGATTTCTTTTCTCTTTGTAATATATGTATACAAACATCAATGGAACCTACTATCGATCATCATACAATCAAGTGTTTTATTTAGAAATGAAAAATCCTTAATAGTTAGTAAGTGCAGTGGAGAGGCTCTTTCAACCGCGCGAAACCATCCAAGTGGGTGTTGACTGAAATTATAGCAGGTAGTCAATGCTACCTCATATTCCCTGTAAAACAATGTACCCAAATCAAGCCGTAATCCCGAGCCAGTCGATAGGTACAATGGATCCCTCGCTTTAGGCAAATGCTTGAACAGATTGGGCTAAAATCTTCAATCTTCAAAGAAGGGCGGTACATAATGTGAAGACCACAACGATTGGTGCAAAAAGCAAAAGAAAGCCGTGTTGATATGATACCAAATGCACAAGGTCGTGATGAAACTTGGATTTTTCAAACTTTACATACAAATCCAAAGATGAAAAATGGCCCAAGCGTATTTATAAATGTTCGGCCCTGCTAAGTACAGCTGGAAAGTTTGGAGTCCATCGGTGGAAATGGATCAGAAAGTGACTCCATCGTCAATGTATATGTTAAAAGCTGGATGGATGTTCGACAACACATATACCCGCACTCATAGAGATTACAAGTTAAATTACTCTCATTCAAAATTTTGACTTACGTCGGTTTAACTGACTTTCCTAAAGGAATCATACCTGTCACGCCAAACATGTACGCAACCTCCCCCGATATATATCAAGGAGAGCAATCGTATGGCTCCACCCCGAGACACAGCGTGGGTGAGATCGGTAAGAACGATAGCGACGGCGTTGAAAAAAGAGAATGTGTAGAGATACCATTGTTTCGTCCACAGAAAGCTTAAACGAGCTGGTCAATATAGCTTCATGTTTGCTATGTAATTGATATAACAACATCAACATACCATCGCTATCTCCCCAAGAAAAATTGTGATATATCGATGATGGAGGCTGTGCTTTTGGGATTAAGTCTTTCTTAGAGAGCTTGTGTACTACTACATTTGAGACCAATGTATGAGCATAGCAAGAAATTGACAATCCCACCTCTACTGCATACAGCCTCTGTGATTATATGATGTGTCCATAGTCATCATCAAGCAGAGACCTGCTGACGCTGTAATACAGTATTGAAATTTACTCCATATAGTGAAGATTAGTAAAACTCTCATTATAAACTATAAGATCTTTACACAAACATGAATATACACAAGAAGTAGATAGCTGCTAGATGAATAAATTTCTTGTTTATTTATAAGAATGAATGTAAGTTTTGAAATGCAAGTAGAAAATACAGAATGACAATGATAAGAAAAGGTTCATTTTCTCACAGCTCCCAGGATCTAATCATCCCATCCGCCAACATCCAAACCGGTGCCTGTACTCGTCTCCTTTTCTTTTTGATTCAGCAGCACATCCAGCACATCCACTTCCGACTTGGCAGCTTTCTTTTGATTCTCAGTCATTTCCACCACGCCGACAATGCCAGATCGTTCACGCAGAGCATCCGAGACCGAGCGAACTGATTCATTCTGGTTGTTAACTTTCTTATCCTCTCCTCCGTTTTTGACAAAGAATTGATCACCGCCCTTTGCTGATCCACCAGCTTTATTCGTCTTTCGCTTCTTCTCTGTTGGCTCTTTTGTTGTTGCTTGGTTTTCGATCTTTTTGTCGGCAGATGCGTCCTTGCGCTTCTTGCTCGGTTCGTTTGTAGTAGTAGATGCCGTCTTGGTTTGCACCTGTTTCTTGCTTTCTTTTGTTGTAGGCTTGTTTGCTGTTGCCGATGGAGCTGCCTTGACATCTGCTTTTTTGGTATCCTCCTTTTTCTTCTTTTTCTTATCATCGTTTGCAGACGCAACTGTACTCGTCGCTGCCAGAACAGGCTTCTTGACCTTGGTTTTTGGCTTGGATGTATTCTGTAGATCTTCAGGCTCGCCTTCCTCCTTGCGCTGTTGTTTCTTGGCACGGCTCGCAGCGGTTTCGTCGTCATATCGTGAGCGTTTCTTGCGTGGAGTTTCCTCTGCTTCCAGCAACATTTTCGCCTCTTCCTTTTCTTCTTTAGCACGCTTCAAACGCTGCTTTTTCTCCATCAGTTTTGGATTGGCTCGCTGTTTCTCCCTTCGTTCGAGGAACTTGGCATCAAAGCGTTCACCATCCAGAACACGCAAAGTTGGCAACAGCTGACGAATCTTTTTTTTTTTTTCAATAAAAAACATATACCGATACGATTAGTTTTTAACTCGACGATCTTGTAAAAGCCAAACAATTTTTTTTACCTTTTGTTCATATTTTTCCTTAAGGGTAATTGGGTTTCCTTTCAGATTAAGATTGGTCAACTTCAACAGCGAACCAAGTGCAGCAACATCCCTAAGGAAACAAGAGGGATTATTAGACCCTTTTTATTGACCAAACTGTCTGCATTTCAAGAAGAAAGCACATAGCTTACCGCCACTCAGCAAGGCCGTTGTTTCCACAGTCCAGAATCTCGAGCGAGCCACAATTTCGTAGGGTATCAGGTATCTTGCTAATTTCATTATCGTTGACTCTGAGTTCCTTGAGGGCGGTATTGGAGGAGAAATCGGGCAAATCCTTCAGCTCATTGTGTGCTAGCGAGAGCTTGAACAGACCGGTCAATGCGGGTAATGGTGGCATCATCTCAATAGAGTTGTGTGACAGCACTACACAATATCGCTCTTTCGGTTAGTACCGGCAAATTGGGGATATATACACACAACTAGGCTAAATCACAGAAACACACAAAAAGCTTGCCCGTGTACCAACTGTACATTGAAAGCTTTACCTAGTGTGTTGAGGTCTGCCAACGAGGCAAATGAATCACCATCCACGGACGAAATATCGTTATTGTTGAGGATAAGTGCCTTTAGACTTTTAAAGGTCGCGATGGTTGGATCGATCGTGTTTAAGCGATTTCGGCTCACGTTGAGAACTTTTGGAAAAAAAATTCGAATTAAGTATACGATTGTGAGACACATTGGTGTAATGATCCTTTGTCTTCAAAGGAGATAGCTTTTTACCTGTGAGTTTGGGTAAGTTTTTCAGTGTTTTCAACATTGTAATGTTATTGTTTGCCAGGTTGAGCCACGTTAATGTGGTCAAGGAGTTCAATGGTGCAAGAGCGCCACTTGATAACGTGTTATTGCTGAGATCCAGTTTTCGTAGCGAGGAGCATGCTGAGACGTCGTCGATGGCAGAGATTTCTTTCTTTGTTGCTTTGATCTCTGTGATCTCGGCCAACGGTTTGTCGTGCCACTCGGATATAGTTTCTGTTGTCAGTTGCATATTACTTTTTGGAAGTGCTGGGCTCAAAGAACTAGATAAAAAACACACGTGGGGCTCCGATCGCATTTTTAAGAGAAATTTGGGCTGAAATGATCTACTGAAGGGGATCACATAGTACACACACACGCATTGATTGGCCAATATGCTCCCTATGAGTCTGATGGAAGAAGATGCGAACACTATCAGACGGATAGCGGGAATTATTGATGCTGTTTCTGTAAAGCTACTGACAGCGAGTGACGTACATGTCATTGTAACAAAAAGGCCTATATTCAGCACGAGAAAAACCGCGACTGATTGATTCAGCTGCCATCGAGAAACGGAGCTCGCAGCCAGTTGCCCTCGCCACGTCGACGATACTGTAGCTCTCCAGGAAAGAAGCAAGCACGGCTCTCACTTTCGATTTCCTCAGCCTGTCTTACATCAAGCAGGTCACCAAATAGCATGGTCGCTGGCCAGCATACAAATTTCATAATCATTACGCGCGACCCAGATTTTTCTGTTCAGGAAAGTGGCTATAATCATATCAAGTTTTACTCCTTGCTCGAACTCAAAGCACCTTCAGCCATCAGAGCGTCTCTCAAAATATAGCAGGACAACACCTCTCGAACGTGCGTTACAGTACGAAAACCGAATGTTCGCCTTCGTGGTAAGCACGAGTTTTGTTATATTTTTCGGGTTCGAACTGTTACTAGGCTTCTTTTTCAGCTAGACACGGATTCAAGAAACTCGAATTCTGGCGATGTCGTTTTAAAGCTCAGTGCACCAAGTACTAGTTATAAAGAAAAAGACACTGTAGCTTTTTGAATATCGATTATAAATGAAAAAGAACCGAAACAGTGGCAAAAGGAATCACCACTAAATTCTTTTTCACATGCCACCACCGACACAGAGAAATGTATTGTGTGTATCATACCTACTGCATTTAGGCATTATGAGCCCGGATGAACAAGCGCCTAATCATTTGAACCAGCAACTGCTCTGGCTCCTCTGCCGCTCCGCAACTGTACACTGTAAGCGTGAATTTTCCACAAAAGGTAATCCTGAGAAATACACCCGTCAGCAGAGAGAAACAACTCACTTTTCCTCTCCTTTTATTTTCGTTCCTTTTCTCTCCATTCTTTAAGAAACATTGACCAACATCATGAGCTCAGTACTCACATACACCTCCAATGACTCCATTGAAGATAGTTACCATCTCGTTCGCCGTATTTTCAGCACTGGTAAGGACTCCAAAAATAAACAGTGAATGAACTACTCTGCAAGTTGTAAGGTACTGATTGTATTGTGTCTCTTTCTCTCTCTCTCTCTCTCTCTCTCTCTCTTCACACAACTCCCAAACCAGGCAAGACACGCAGCCTAAAGTTCCGTAAGACACAGATTCAACGCCTCTATGACCTCGTTAAAGACAACGAAGAACGTTTCTATGAAGCCCTTGCCAAAGATATGAACAAGCCTCGCATGGAGGCTCTGAGTGGTGATATTGCCCCTTGTCTGGAAGAATGCCTGTTCTTCCTCGATGTAAGATGCCATTAATTATGGTATTTCTGTGTGTATGTGTGTGGGTGTGAGAAAAACCACAAGAAAAGCACTCACACTGTACGTAATGCGTATTAGAACCTGGATAAGCTTGCCAAGGATGACAAGGTTAAGCCCCGTATGCAGATGAATGCCATGGATCATCTTGTGATTCGCAAGGAACCCCTTGGTGCCGTGCTTATTCTCGGTAAAACAAGAGTCTTTTTTTTTATTGTTTGGTTTTGACACATACTCAAGACTGGCTGGAATGCTAATATCATGGGACGATGTGAATTATAGGCTGCTGGAACTACCCTGTTCAGGTAATCATCGTTTCTTCTATTGCTATGGATACACAGCGATGGCTCTGCTTAATTAATAAACACATTTTGCGTATTGTCACTCGAATAGCTTGCTCTTGTACCTCTTGCTGGTGCCATTGCTGCCGGTAACACAGTCATCTTGAAGGTATTACATGGATTTCATACAGGAAGAGGAAGAAAACGATGAGCCGACTTGTGCCCAATGATTGACATGTGAAGCGTACAATGTAATATAGCCATCGGAGATCTCTCCGAACACCGCGGCCCTCATCACCGAGCTCTTCCCCAAGTACTTGGATAACCACTGCTACCGCATTGTCAACGGTGCCGTCGAAGAGACCACTGCCTTGTTAAAGTATCACTTTGACCACATCTTCTATACCGGCAGTCCCATGGTCGGCAAGATCGTCATGAAGGCAGCTGCTGAACATCTTACTGGTGTTACTTTGGAACTGGGTGGCAAGTCGTAAGTAACAACACGCGCTTTTTTTACCGAGAAGAGGTTGGGTGTAGTGATGGGGTTTATTAAACGCGCATGCATGCTTATAACATTTAGGCCTGCCATTGTTTTGCCCGATGCTGATCTTCAGGTCGTCGCTAACCGCATTGGTTTCGGCAAGTTCTACAACTGCGGTCAGGTAAAAAGTCGCGACATGTTGTATAAGAAGGATGGATCTAAAAGCTGGAGGAGGGGGGATTGAAATAAAAAAAAAGTTGAGGAGCTAACGTGAATGGGTTGTTTTATCCCCCAGATTTGTATCGCTGTCGACTATGTCCTGGTGCCTGAAGACAAGATGGATGCATTTGCTGATGCGTTCCGCAAGACTGTCACCAAGTGGTTCGGTGAGGACCCCAAACAGTCGCCTCACTATGCCCGCATGGTATCCCAGCGCCACGTTGACCGCGTGGTGGGCATGTTGGAGAACCGCCAGAGTGGTGCTATCGCATTTGGTGGCGAGCATGATCGTGAGGAACGCTACATTGCCCCCACTCTTGTCACTGACGTCAAATTCAAGGACCAAGTCCTTATGGGCGATGAAATCTTTGGCCCTATCCTCCCGGTGATCCCTTACTCCAACTTGGATGATGCCATCCACATGGTGAACCAAAAGTATGTTTCTATGTTACTCGTCACATGAGTGGTGTTTGTAGCCTATGTATAGTAAGAAACTCGGCTCACAAACAAACAAACAATCTATAGCTTGCCCCCGCTTGTGCTCTATGCCTTCACCAACAAGAAGAAGCTAGCTCAGAAAAGTAAGTGAAAGCGTGTCAAGAACTCAAGTTTTCCCCAAATGTACTTAAGTTTTCCTTTTCATAAAAGTTTTGGACAACACTCAGTCTGGTGGCGTGTGCATCAATGATTGCTTGATGCATCAAGCAGGTATGTCGCTCAAGCTCTGTTCTTTTTTTGTGTATGCCCAAGTTTTCTATCATATATGCTAATGCTATATCGCAATTTCGACGGATGTTCAGAATACGCCTTGCCCTTCGGTGGTATTGGCAACTCGGGTGTTGGTAACTACCACGGTGAACGATCCTACAGAACCTTCACTCACGAGCGTTCTGTGATGGCAAAGAAGCTCAACATGGAAAGTGTCATTGCCGTTAGATACCCACCTTACAGCGACAAGCGCACCAACATGATGCGCATGCTGATGGTCACCTCCCCACTGTCCTTGAAGTTCAAGGCCTACAAGGGTGCGTTCAAGAAGCTGGCTCTTGTTATCGCATTGGCTGTTATCTACTACAAGCGTCGCTAAACGCTGTACAGCGACGAAATAAAGTATATCATTCTTAATGTGTAATGTATAATCTTGAAAGTATCATTGGTCTCCTTTCCTTTCCACACAACCACTGCTTGATACTGTGTACATTACTGAAGGATATTATACATTAAACCCAAGTGAGAACATGCACGCAGACATCGTATGAAACTGATGCTAAGGATAGCAAACGTAAGAGATACATATATTAAAAGTGTTGCTGCTTGCGATACTTCCACATCGCAAAGGGAAGCTGAGTTCTATTATGCGTGCGGGTTTTCCACATCCTTGGTTATGCAGCTATCGATTCAGCGATAACACGAGAGCCGCTTATTGTGTGACTTTTTACTGGACACAAAAGAGAAACTACTGAATTCGTATGCTCTATCGGCAGCAGTGAAACTGAACTATTGAACCCAAAAAAAAATGGGTGGTAGAATGACATGGTCAACTAGGGCCGGAATTGTTTTGTCATGTTAAGAAACACGAAAAAAAGAGTCAGCCGCTTTCGACAGCGAGTTTTTGATAAAGATCGGAAACTACAAGTGTGCACCGGAACATTCAAACAATTGTTGCAATGACTGCCATTTCAAGTGCTCTTTTTTCAAAGGAGTGCTTCACGTGTACGAGGTGCTTTACATATGGAACAAGGGCTGCTACAGGCAGTAATAGAGTATGATGCTATTGATAACGTCACTTCCACTCGAGCCTATTTCTAAAAGGGATATATAAGATAGCTGACGTGCTCTAGGGCCACGTCTTTTTTTCTCTCTCCTTTCTCTCACTTTTCTTTTCCTTTGCCCTTTTCAACTCCTTTTTTTTCAAAACAACAACACGATGACGGCACAAACTCCACTGATCAAGTCTAAACAAGTATCAATCATCGGGGTCCCGTTCAACGGTGGCCAACCCCAGGCAGGCGTAGAAAAAGGGCCGCTGCGACTTGTCGAATCGGGACTGGCCGAACAGCTTGAAGAACTCGGATGGGCCGTTGAGCATGAGTCCAATGAACAAACCATCAGCGAGCTACGTCCAGCATCGGACCCAGACGTCATGAACCTAAAGCAGCCCAAGTATGTTTCTGCTGTCACACAAAATGTTGCCCAGCAGATTCATGAGCGTGCGAAACAGGGCAAGTTTGTTCTCACGCTGGGAGGAGATCATTCCGTCGCACTGGCTACTGTGTCCGGTGTCTTTGGCTCTTACCCCGATGCTTGTCTTGTCTGGGTCGACGCTCACGCGGTACGTAATGATGCATAACCCCCCCCCACACACACACCCTCCTTTGTCCTTCTTTTATCTGATTGTGGTGAGGATATTATCTTCAAACAAAGGACCTTAATACACCGGAAGCAACCGAAAGTGGAAATGTGCATGGATGCCCTTTGAGCTTTTTGATGGGTCTGTCGACGGACCATCCGGATTTCCAATGGGTCAAGCCTGTGTTGAAGGCGAATCGTTTGGTGTATATTGGCTTGCGCGATCTTGATGGGTTCGAAAAGAAAACGATCAAGGAACTGGGCATTCCGGCGTTCACCATGCATCATGTTGACAAGTGGGGTATCGGCACTGTCGTTGAAACGGCTCTGAACCATGTGAACCCTAAGCGAGACTTGCCTATCCATCTTTCCTTTGATGTGGATGCTTTAGACCCTTCGGTGGCACCAAGCACGGTGAGTGCCTAAAAAATAACATGTGGAGACCTGTTTATCCTGTGCTAATTGCTGTTGTATATCATCTCAATCAGGGCACTCCTGTCCGTGGTGGGCTGACATTCCGTGAAGGGCACTATATCTGTGAGGCTCTTGCCGAAACCGGTCTTTTGGTGGCTGCAGATATCATGGAGGTCAACCCTACTCTTGAGGATGAACTGGCTGCGGCCCAGACGATACAAGTCGGATGCTCACTAGCACGTTGCTGCTTAGGAGAAACACTTTTATAAACTGTAGAGCCCCAACCATGTTATTATTACGATGATCCAATACAACTACAGCAACTGCAATTATAATATGATACTATTTTTGAACATGTGTTTAGATGTGTGGGTGTGTGCTTATAGAGATGAAAAAACTGTCGATGTGTATATTCCAGCAACAAAAATAAATGGGATTAGAAGAGAAATGGGTGGTATAAGAGTGCTGGGGAGGTCTATGGCTAATAACACGCTCCCCTCGCTTGTCACAGTCCTGGACTGGTAGATTAGATATATGCCCTTACTGCTGCTGAGCAGTAGCAACAGCAGGCTTGCTGCTGTCTATGTTGTTGCTCTGCGTCGTTCCTTGAGGCTGCGGCGGTGGAGGAGCAGCATGGTGGCTGTTGTTCGACACCTGGAGCCGATCGACTTCCTTGGAGTTCACCTTTTGAGGGTGTACTGACTGCTGCTGCTGCTGGTCTCCTGCTGACTTGACAATGCGGGAACGAGCTGTTTTGATGGCAATCGTAGCTGTTCGAGACTCACGCTTGGCTCCAACTGCAGTCGTCGCAGGCGGGTCCGCAGTTGTTGCTGTTGCCGAGGTGACGTTCTTGCGAGCGCTGGATGCAGTAGGCGCAGTCAAACGCGCCAACATGTTACTGCGTCGGGGTGTTCCGGCGACCTTTTTCTTTGGTTTCGGGGCCTCTTCTACAGCTGCTGCTGCAGGCTGTTGTTTCTTGGTAGTGCCTAGTGCCGCCACGCGGGGTACGCGTGACCGTGTTTGGTGTTCCACAGCAGTAGTAGGTTTCTGCTTCTTGATCGGTTCAGCAACAGGTTTCTTGACGTGGGAAGGCGTAACCTTGTTGGCTGCTGTGGGAGAAGCCTTCTTGCTTACATCCTTCACAGCGCTGGACTTGGGCGATGGCTGCTTGGCAATCTTTTCCTTGGGTGACAATGGCTGCTTTGGACTGGGAAGCTTAGATCCTGTCCTGACCTTCTCCTTGTCAAGCGCTGGCTTCTGCTTTTCGGATGGTGGTGGTAGTGCGTGCTTCTTCGTCGTCGTCTGTTCAGCAGTCTTCTTTTCCTCCAAAGGCTTTTTGTCTTCCGCTGGTTTAGATTCCTCTGCAGTGGCCTTATTCTTGTCTTCAGCAACCTTCTCGTCAGCAGTCTTTTGTGTTTCAACAAGAGTAGCAGCAGACTCTGGTTGTTTCTTCTCCTCAACTGCCGTATCCTTTGCCAGCTTGTCCGAGGTAATGTCAGGTGGTGTTGCAACTGGTGCCTCAGACACATCCTTCTTGCTTACGTCTTCGGTTGCCTTCTTGGTGTCCATGACTTCGGGTTCGTCCTTTTTCTTTTCAGGAGTAGCAGGCGTCGAAGGAGGAGGAAGCTTGCTGGCTGCTGCATCGTTCTTCTTGCTGTTCATCTCTTCAGCACGCTTGACCCATGGCGGCTTCTCGTTGCTGCTAGCTTTGTTATCAGCAGCAGCAGCATTATTGTCCCTATTTTTCCAGAATGCAGCCTTGTCTGACGAGAGTGTCTTTACTGGAGGCTTGTTATCACCGGCAAAGACGTTGTTGCCGTTGTTGAACTTTGCAAGCGCTGCCTTGACACTGCCGATTTGCCGGTTGTTACCATTAGAAGGTGGCGGTGTTGACGTGGCTGACTTGGTGTCTTGGCTTGTGCTGGCAGCATCTGGCTTGACTGGAGCAGTGGCGGCGGCGGCGGCCGTGGTATATTCCTTCTTGTTGTCCGTCGTCGTAGCTGCTGCTTTTGGTGCATCAGCTGCTGGTTTGACTGGTGCTGCTTGCTCTGGTGTCGCTGCCTTTGCACCTTGCCCGATCTTGGTCGAATCGACTGCTGTCTTGATATCATTCTTTTTGGGATCGACAGGTGTTGGCTTGACATTCGAGTCCTTTTCGACTTCCGTCGCTGCTGGCTGTGTAGGAGCCATCTTCTTTGTATCAACGGCTGCTGCTGCTGATTTGTCACCGTCTTTGGATTCAGCTGGTTTGGCTTCGGCAACAGGTGATTTTTCAGCGACAACATCCTTCTTTGCATCTTGTGCTAGCTTGCTGCCATCAGCCACTGACTGCTTGTCGTCCTTTTTGATCTCAGTAGCTGCCGCAGCTGGCTTGGCATTTTCCACCGGCTTCTTTTCATCCTGCTTTGCCTCGACAGCTTGCTTGACATCGGCTGTTGGCTTTTCGCTAGCTTTATCCTTCTTCACTATTTCTGCTACGGCAGGCTTATCGTCTTTCTTTACGTCAGATGCTGGTTTGTCCCCTGGACCATCTTTCTTCGTATCAGCTCCCAACTTAATTTCGCTCGCAGGTTTGTCGCCCTTCTTGAACTCGGTTACCGGTTTAGCCTCGACTGGCGCCTTGTCATCTTTCTTTGCATCAACTGCAGGCTTAACATCTGTAATTGGCTTATCGTCCTTCTTTGCATCGACGGCCGACTTGGCGTCTGTAGCTGGCTTGTCGTCTTTCTTCATGTCGACGGATGGTTTGGCATCTTTCTTTGCGTCGACTGCTGGCGTATCCTTTGTTTGGGCCTTCTTCGCATCGATAGCTGCTGGTTTGGCATCCTCTACAGGTTTTTCGTCCTTCTTGGCCTCAGCTGTACCGTTTTTCTTTGCATCAACTGCCGGTAGTTTTGTTTCGACGGCAACAGGCTTTTCATCTTTCTTTGTGTCAACTACTGCTGCTGCTGCTGCTGACTTGTCGTTATCATCCTTCTTGGTGTCTGCTGCTAGAGTCTTGACATCGGTAGCAGACTTGTTGCTATCTTCCTTTTTGACTGGTGATTCTACTGCGGGCGCTGTTGTTGTTGGAGTATCCTTCTTGTTGCTTTCTGCTGTCGACGACGGCTCCGTCTTTTTCTCATCTTTTTTGATAGTCGCAGCAGTATCGGCAGCCTTGGAGTCGGTCGTTGCTGGGATAGCAGGAGCAGGGGCAGCTGCAGGCTTAGCGTCGTCTTTCTTTCCATCGTTTGGAGGTGCAGCTTGTGCCTTGGCTTCCGGCGCCTTTGCTGCCTCTGGTTCGTCTTTCTTGACAGGATCTGCTGATTTATTATCGGCCTCTTCTTTTTTGCCAGAGTCAGGTTTGTTTGCGACGGCGGCTTCCACAGCAGCAAGAGGTGCTGTCTGGCTACTGCCGCCATTTTGCGACTTGTTGCTCTTCTCGTCTGACTTCGGAGCAGCGGTTCCGTTCCTAGGGACATCATCGGTGCCATTGTTCTTTTGTGTGACAAAGACTAGGTGAATCGCCTGTTCAGCTTGTGCTACGGAATCACTTCCATGTGCAGCATTGTGGAAAGAAGGTTGGGTATCGCTGCCATACAGCGCCCGAATGCTATACTCACACACACACACACATTCGTTGTTAGTCGGTGTGTTTAAAATAACAAATGAGATTGGGTGGAATGCAAGGGGGCAAGCAAGCAGCCAGTGCCAATAGTTACCTTTTCGGGTCGGATGCCTTGGCTTTCTTGACATCATCAGGACCCATCAACTTGTGCCATGCTTGGACGGTATCACCAGAGTCCTTTTGCAAGACCATCGCATACACAGGTGCACTTTTGTTCGTGATTCAAAAAGGTTAGATTTCAGCCCCTTTCTCTTTCTCTCTTTCAGTACGTCTTGCCTCTTTCCCCGGGGAACCCGAGACTCTGAATATTTTTTCTTGTTACCTTGTCAGCCAACGCAGGCTGTCCTGAGACTCGCCCTTGAATAGCGTCTGAGCTTGGTCGTGTGAAAGTACCAGCTCACGCTCCTGCTTGATGGAGAAGCCTGACGATTTGACGAGTTGGATGATTTCTTGCTTTTTGTGAAACGCATCAGGCTTGATCAGAGCAAAAGTCATGTTGTTCTGCTGTTGCTGCTAGTTCATGTTATATCAAAGCTGCAAGTGTTGGTGAAGTAGGGTCGTAATCGTTCCTCCCCCCCCCTGGGTTGTCTTCATGTGCTTAAAGTATCACTTACCGATGGCAATGTGCCTTGTTGTGCCTGTTTTGTATCAGTGGCGGCACCCGTCACCTTCGCCGCGCCACCGCTGCCGCCTTGATCCTTCTTGTCTGGAGGCTGTTTCATCCCCTTGTCGTTGGCGTTTGTTGTTGTCGGAGCACCAGACGTAGCAGTAGTAATAGTAGTGGGATTCCCTGGTTTCATATCTGCATCGTAGAATAAAGGGGTACGATGAACAAATAAACTTAAAAAGTTAGTCCAAAGGAACAAGCTATGACGATGCTGGTGCTGTGGTGCATGAGACTGATAACGTACCCGATGGTTGCTGTTGTTGCTGCAATCCGGGTATCTAGTAGGATGATGGATACGTGCAGTTGCGGATGAGTGACCGGCGGGGTGGATTCAAAGAAGAAGGCACTTACATTGTTGACTGTGGACATGGGTAAAAGTGTGGAAAAGGAAGAAGAGAGAGCAAAAAGAAGAAAGAAAGCAATAGAAACTTTATAAATAAAGAAAGAAAGAAAAACCAGTTTTTTTTAGATGCTACGACTCTTGTGTACGCATACACACGCACACACACACACACATCACACATGCGAAACGAATCACGTAGCACAGCAACAGCCGGCAGCATCGGCGCTCTTTCCTTGTTTGTTGCTGATGGTTCCCCTTACACCCTGTTTTTCTTTCTTTCTTTCTTTCTTTTTGATTCACCCAAACACTCTATGCTCTCTAACACCTTCAGCCGAGATGCTCTTGCTTAACAACACCAGCAGGGAGGGGAAGGGAAGCGGGGAGGATGAAGATAAAATATAATGTCAATACAACCCTAATTCATGTACGACAACAACGACGACTCCTGCTGTTTTTGATCAGTATACACAATCAACAAGTAACTGTTTACACGATCAAAATCTCATCAGACTGCAGTATTAGTGTAGGTCTGCTGCTGCTGCTGCTGCCGCTGCTGCGGAGGCCTGCAAAACCGGGTGACATGCATAAAACGTGTAGCACGCGATGGTGAACGTACATTTAATTCCCCCTGTCACACAAAAACAAGTGCGCCCAGACAGCAAAAAATGTGTGTGTGCTTAGCAGTTTCACGTTACAGTAGTAAACAACAATAACGTTACGAGTATTTATTATAGGTATATGAAAAAATAAACTAATTATGAAGACGCGTGCAATACAGAAGGTAAATTATATGAGATCGGTGTCAACGGGAAGGTAAAATATCAGGTGAGCGAACAGAAAGATGGGATGTTATAATGATAGCTCATATGTACACAATGAAGGGAAGCAAAAGAGAACGAACGAAAGAAAGAAGATGGTATACAGCAAGAAAGACCCCTGACAAGGGATTTTAGACCTTCTTTTCCTCGACCACCACGCTGTCGTTGCTTTCGGTGATGCCAGCCTCGGCCATCGTCTTTGGTAAGCTCACGTTGCGTCGGCCACGGATGTCGTCCCAGATAGCCTTCAAGATAATCACAGTATCCTTGCGTGCCTCAAACAATGGATACACGCCGACCATGAACGTACTGAAGAACACCCAGATTATGCCAACGATGACCCAGCCACGGAAGAACGGCAGCGAGAACACATACTGGGAGCCAAACATGGGCATGGGCCACAAGATAAACAGTGATAAGGCCAAGCACACGGACGAAATCTTGGCGAAGCGGGACGACTTTTTAAGTCGCAGTTGTTCAGCTTCATCTTCCTCGATCTCTTGCTGCCGCAGATCTTGTTCGTACGCAGTAACAGGAGCAGGCACGGTGACGGTGTCCTCTTTGACCACTTGGATCTGACGGGTGCCTTCAAAGGTGTAGTTCTCGGGCCAGATGAAAGAGAGCGGCAGGATGATGAAGAGGGGAGAAAACAAGGCGACCAAGTTGCCTGCCAACATGGGATAGTTCTGGTTGGATGTAAAGACAGTGATTTCGCCGTACAGAGATTTGGTGGTGACGAGCCAGGCGGTCAGTGAGCAGCAAAGACCAAAGATTGGAGCAATGGCGGCAGCGTGTTTGTTTTGCTTACTCCAAAGCAATGTAAGTGTGATGGGGATAACGGCCGAAGAGATCAAGACACCCATCTAATATCATTGGTAAGTAATCATGTTATATGATGATAGTATAGCATATAGCAACAATAACAAAAATAGGTAGACTCACTAGCTTATACAAGTAGCCCAAGTTGATACCAGTGAAATTGAGCAATGTAGCCAAAACACCCATAATAACACCAAAGCTAAGAACTGAAATGTGCGAGAAGCGAATTACAGTCTTGTCCGTAGCCTAAATAATATATGTTTGTCAGTACAATTCCGTATCGCTTTTTGTACGATAAGAAAAATGTGCGGTCTACATGATAGGACAACTTACATTAGGACGAATATAAGCACGGAAAATATCATATGTGAAGATGGATGACACTGCAATCAGTTCGGCTGAGGCAGCACTGGTGACAGCGAAAAAGACAAGGAGCAAGCAAACCCAGGCACCACCGGTTCCCAACAATGCAACACAAGCATTTGGGAGCACCAAACCAGCGGTGATCTCTTCGTCGGTGACAGAAATGCCCAAAGCCCGGCCAGTCAAGCCCATGGTTGTGGCCAAAGTGAAAGGAATAGCGTACCAACTTAAACCTAGCAATTGGAACACACATGTTCTTTAGTTTTCCTTGACTGAGATCTCTTTTGCTTTGTTTTCATGAGGTTTAAATGAATAATGATAACACCTTACCACCAAGAAGATATGCTTTGACACAGTGACTGGGATCACTTGCAATGGCTCTCTGCCAATAAGCATTGTCGACGAAAACGGTACCAAAGTTACCAACAACGTTAACAATACCGAAAATCAGAGCTTGCAGCGAGGACATGGTCAAGAGAGAGCCTTGGGCGTTGTCTGTAATAGGATCATTCATGCTGGCAACCGTGAGTAAGTCGTACATGCGCTCAATGGAGCCGATGTGAGGCGAGGAAGTATAGACGGTGAACACGAGGTAAAGAATGATGACCAGAATAACCGCAGTATGCCTACATTTTTTATAAAAAATGAGTATCTTTTGTTATACCCGTACTTGGTATCAAAGCTGCTAGACTGATCAGAAAGCTGCTACTACTTACGTATAATCAGAAAGAAATGTAGCCTTGATACCACCAAATAGAGTGTATACAATAACGCCAAGTGGAAGCAAGAAGCATGCAGCAATGACGTGCATACCTGTGAGGTACGAAACAACTGCAGAACCACCAAGCAGAAGCATGGCCGTGACAATCTATTATTGTTGGTGAATTCATTGTTAGGTGTACTGTGTATATCAAATATGATTTACACACAGGTGCATTAAGGAAACTTTTCTTTTTCAAGCTTACAATGTTGGTAATCAAAGCAAAGACAAGGTACACGAAATGAGTGCTACGACCGTATCGTGCTCTTACAACCTATGCATACATATCGAATGCTTGATTAGTTTCATATGCAATTGGTTTGACCATCACACCAAGAAATTTTTTTAATTTTACTCACCTCAAGACATGTGTGGGAATTGGGAGCACGACGCTTCAGTTCAATGGCAAGGACGGAGAAAAGCAAAACTTGAACACATGCACCAGAAGCATACCAGATTGGACCAGAGACACCATAACGATAAGCGACCTCAGTACTTGTCAGTAAAGTAGCGGCCCAAGTCCAACTAGAGACAATGGCAGAAGCAATCAAACCAGTCTTAACGCTGCGGTTTGCTGTCGAAAACATTTCACTTGATTGTGCTTCGTAGAGATAACGTTTAAGCATCCAGGTGAGGGCCATCATGAGAGCCGTAAAAAGGGCACCAAAGCTATATACATATGTATGTTACGCCGATTAGTAAATTTCTTCTTGTTGCATGTAACATCTGTAAGATGAATAAAAATCTGGTTACCCTATGACAACGCCATAGCCGACGCCTAATGAACAGGTAGTAAAGAAAAAATACAGTTGAGTTCGCTGTGACTATCTATGAAAGGACAACGGGATCAGAAATGTATGTACCTTGCGATAAAACTGCCATTTTCGTTGTTATCGGTGACAATTGGTGAAAAAGTTTAAAGTATGAATTAAAGAATAGTAAAATTAGACAACCTGCATGATGATTCAAAAATGACGCCTCTTTATATACCACACCTGCAAACAAGCTGGCAGTACATGTCCACGTACAGAAAACGGGTAGATACGACAAAGTCTTGTTGATAAACAAGATCTGCTATTCCTAATTTGCACTATCTGGTTGTTCCAATAAAAAACTGATTTTGTGACACATTGACAAAGGGCTATGCTGTGATGTCGTTAATAACATCTGAAAAGATAACCCAGAGATACCAATTGTTCGTCACTCACAGCCCATAGTTGTTGCTGCTATTTCTGTTCCTTCTATTTCTCTCCCTGTATTTACGAGTACCTACTATACAACGAGATAATGCTTTCATTATCTAGTTATCTTGGTTATCTTTCTTTTTCGTGTTTTCCATTGTTGACTGGTTGTGCGTAAATTTTTAAAACAGTTACAACAAATAGCGGTTTTTACATGTATAACTAGTAATAGCAGTAACTAGCTATATCATCCTCAACATTATCAATGAAATCATTGGAATGTTTGTTGGTTTTCAATTTTCTTCTCAGCGTATCGTTATCAATGATAAACCCAAAAACTTCATCTGACCCACAATTTTTTATCATTATTGATCCCCATCATTTTTTTTACAAAGTGCTAATGTATGTAAAGTGTAAAGCGGATCAACAAGGATTCTTTTTATTATCTTATCGTAAATAGCCAACTAGAGTTGCACCAAGGAAGGAAAGAAAAGAGAACGTAACTGATAGGTGTGTCCGATCCATCCACAGCTATATAACTGATAAAGGAGAAGCGGTCTTTTATTACACTATTTCTTTGGGTACCACACGGGACCTCGGCATGATCCCTTTGCCAGTGCGTCGGTGATTTGATAACGATCTCGTCCGCTCACATAGAAATAAAGCATGATTTCGCTCAATTGGCCACGGTTGCAGTTGAGCATGACCTTGGCGTCAAAGAACTTCTCCAACGCATCCCGCATCGATTCCGCGTTATAATAAGCTCCAGGGAAAATGCCTGCCACGCTATGATATACATAAACATTATATGTTCAGCGGAGCAAATCTCTTATTACGCCTATCCGAAAGCAATACTCACTTGAGAACACCGTAGATATCATAATCTTCGCGCAGATACAAAACTTGCTATAATCAGACAATGTATGTCAACAGAAAAGGTTTTTGGTTTCCATCTCCCCGTTTTGCTTTCTCTTTCTCTCTCTCTCTCTCTCTTTTTTTTATTACCTCGAAATATTCCTCCAAGTCTTGGAACTTGCGATACGTATCGCCGTAGCAAGCCGGTCGCAACGTGCTTACACATGTCCCATGTTTGGTCCATTCATGTGACCAGAACCTTAAAATAAAAGTTACGCCTATAGGTGAGTTTCCTTTTCCGACCAACTGATAGTCCATCCCTCTTTTCTCTCTCTTCTTTGCTTTTGTGCATACCAGTTGTCATTTCCTTTGTAGCTAGGCCAATATGTACGCATACGTCGGTGGAGATCTGGATTGATCTTTTTCAGTATCGTACCGACTTGGCTACTCGAACGCGTTCTGTCGCATCCTCGCGATGGTGCTCTTGCACCGGAGCTATTTTAGTTTATTTTAGTTTGCAGTGGTTTGAAGAAAAACCATCTTTCGGATGATTAGATGATAAGAGCCCATTTTTACCATGTGTCTGGCCAGAGTCCTATTTGTTTTTTTAGATAAATATATTAGCTCTCTCTCTCTTTTCTTCTTGTGTATATAAAGTAACTCACCGTGAATAGTAAACTCGTCGTCAGGTCCATATCCAGGAACCCACTGTAACGCTAGTACGACCAGCCCGTATTTCGGAGAACAGCAAGAATCTACTTGGCCTTGCCAATGGCATGATAAGACAGTTCCTAATATTGCAACATGATAATTATTATAAGTTTTATTGCCGATGCGTGAGAGAATTTTCTGTTTCGCTTATCTCTCTGTCCCTCCCTCTCGATACTTTACTGTTACAAACAGGTCCTTCTCTATTGGTGAGAACTTGCTGGTGCTGGTGCTGCTGAATGCTGCTATCCAAAGCAATGACGTGTTGCTGTAACAGTAGTAAGCATAACCAGAGCACAGGCTGAAAAAGACGTTTCATCACGATGTTTTAAAGAAAGTGTGCGTAAGAAGAAGAAAAAGAAAAGAAAAGACGAACTGTATCAGCTGGAGCAAAATAGCCGTTTCGTGACCATCATGCATGTCATGAGTGTTGCTGTTGTTGGATCTATTGATAAACACTGCTGCTGCCAAACGAAAACGCATCTGTTGCTACGGAGACAGTATCATTAGTTGTCATCGTTACTAACTGATTGTATGATGACGTGTGGGCGTATGTGGCAACAAATCGTGCGTGCTGTATATACATAAACAAAACCAAAACAAACAGAATTCTTTAGGGCAAAAATTTCTGGGAGTCGAGAGCCGCGAAGCAACTCGCCTTGAACAAAAAGATGAGGTTTCTTTATTATTATTATTATTACAAGATTTGTGCAAATCATTAATTCGAAAAGTCTTCAATGAACCCGTAGATTTGGCCCTGTTGCAGCAAGTTTTTTTTTGCCCGCCCCAGAGACGACCGCCGCGACGCATCGACATATCTTCAGTAGTCGACGACATGTTTCTTCTTCTTTTTCTCTCCGTTTTGGCCCTTCTACTCTTCTCTCGTCGCGGCGAATGTATTATAACCCAAATAGACGCCGAATTGAAACATTTTATTGAAAGCGAGTAAAGCGGTTGAGTGATAGGAATCGTGACGAACGAATGGCCCACATCGAAAAGGGAACTCGTAGCACCGACAAGAATATAATGCATGACAACCCAGCGCGACTAGACCGCACCACCGAAAAGAAAACTCGCAACTGGCAGTAGCCGCCGGATAAAGATACTACACACAGGTCCAGTTGGAACTGCGGAACACCGACAAGGACCATCGAAAAGGGAACTCGTAGCCCCCGGCCCGGCATTTGGTGGTGGGAATTGGGACGAGGCCCGGGGCGGATCGAAAAGGGAACTCGTAGTCCCGCCAGTCTTTGGTGATGATGGTCAAGACGGAACCGGGCGGGTCGAAAAGGGAACTCGTAGCCCCATGAGCGTTTGGTGGTGGGATTGGGACGAAGGGGAGGCCCTCGAAAAGGGAACTCGTGGTTCCATTCGGCGATGGTGGAGAGACTGGGCAGGCCGGCGCGCGCATAAGATGATCAATAAAAAAAATTTAACCGAGTCCAAGCCAGGAGCAGGGAGCCCTTGCTACTTTCCTACTTTTTAAGACGGAACAAGCGTTAAAGAAAGCTTAAAAGACAAATGATGATGAGTCAAGGGAAACCCTCGCTCCTTTAATACTTACAGTTTCAAGTCCAAAAAACCCCTCATCTGCTTTGTCGAAGGCCACATACAACCAAGAAAAAAAAAGAGCGAAAGCTGACGGAAATATTATATTTGAGCGAGGGAGAAAAACAGAGAGCAAGATAGAGATAGCAAGGCTCTTGTTCGTGCCGGGTAATGAGGGGATGTTAAAGAAGCTTACATCGGCGGTAAAGAAGGTAAAAGAGAAGAAAGCTGCGACCTACAGTCCAGCTCCTTGCGCGTTATACAGCACCGCTTTTCTTCACTTAAAAGCCAGCCAGCCAATCGAGTTGTATTGAACAAATTAATGATGACGTTTCTTCCTTACTTTGGCTTGGGTAACATGAATGAGGTTGGTCAAAATAATTTTTCCACAAATGTAGACAGTGTATTAGTGATGATTTCAAATGTTTCAAAACAGTCATAGAAAATAGATTTAATACTTACTCCAGAGTCCGTGGCTTCCGCGCTGAGTAAAAGCACTGTCCTCTTGGCCCCAAGATACAATCGTAGTGGAATTTTCGACTAATTCCTATCATTTTCTAATGCTAAAATATTGTTTTCCGGTTCCTCCGGTTCTTCTTGATCTTCTTGAAGTTGCGCTTGCTGAGGGAGCTGTCCACCTGGTGGTAGGAATGCCTCTGGTCGAAAGTCTGGATGTCCATCATTATTCATATAGGCTATGCCTATGCTTCTTATGTTCAATGCCGCATTTTTATCCCGGTCTACAATCTAGATGAGAAAACAAAACTCTTTTAGCATATGATAGGCAGAATCCTTCGTGGGTTTAAAGGGTGAAAACATACCACAGCCTTTGGATAAAGCTCTGGATGGTTATTACAAGCTTTAATCTTCCACATCACCCAATCTATTATGGTATTCCATGCCAATTTAGTACAGCAGAACACAACTACTGATTATATACCTTATTAGTAGAAATTTGCCTTTACCTGGCGGTGGTGGGCGTGCCTGTATACAGTCACTTGCCGGATTCAGCAAATTGCCATCCTGGTCTCGACAGTACTTTATTTCCCTTCCCCTCTTTGGAATGAAGCCGCCTTGAGGTCCTTCAACCCAGTACGTTGCACGTTCTCTTGTTTTTCTGCATGGATACATAGGTAAAAATGATCCCGTCAGTCGTTATAAGTGGGCCTCCTTAAAGCGGGAATTATGTATAGCAATCAGATATTATATTATTACGTACCTGTGTCCGCAAACCTCCCCGTCATATGGAATACTTGTTAGCCGTTGCTGACACCCTGCGTGAACTTGAGAAGTGTTGTACTCGTCCGTCAGTATCAGCAGCATGTGTGAAGCCAATTTTTTAATAAGTCCCTAAAATATACATTACTCATAAGTGTATGGCAACCTCTTTGCGCATTCTCTCTTGTAAATATACTAACCAAATGGGGGATCGGGGCCCATCCCGGGAAATGCGGCATTCTGCTGGAGCCATAGAACACAATCGTTGGTTGTTGATTTGGGTGCCAACGCTCGCGTTCTCGCCTCAAGCGGGCAGCTCTTTTGCGAGATCGGTGCGACGATTTGTGTATCCATTTGATAGGCTCTCCCTATGTTTCAGTTTTTCAAAAATGATCATCAGCAAAAAAAAAAAGAAAAAAGAGTATTATCAGATATCACGCGAGAAAAATGGAAAAAGGGAATCGCTTACAGCTGGGTGAGGAGGAGTGACACCTAGCAGCTCATCTTTGACAAGATCTTGTTTTCTCTGCCGGCTTGAGAATAACAAGCTCCTGATTTCTCTGTTTGCTTGTATTCTTCTGGTGGTGCATGCCTTGAAAGCAATATAACGCCTTTGCTCGACATAGCTGTTTGAACCCAGACGAGAAACGACGCATTCTATATTCTTGCCGTTATTATATGCCCTTGTCACCAACTCGCCTAGCATTGATAAGCCCTTCTTCTCCTTCCTTCTCCTTCCTGCTACTTACCGAAGTCGAATTCGATTCAGATTAGCGATATAGAAAAGAAAATCTTCTGAACGTGAGACATAGGGCGAGTTCTCTGCGATGGAGTCATAATCCTCTTGGATTTCGGCTTTCTGCCGATTTTTGTTTTCTAATTTATATTCCCAAAAGACACCCGTCTCCGCACTTTGCATTGATTTTTTTTAGTCAAGAGCTCAATGTAGTGTGAGGCTTATCTATTATATACTCTTTTTCAAGATAACTTACTGGTACTTTCGCGTGGTAACTTCAATTGGGTTGTGTACAGGTTCTTCAGCAGTCGATACTCCTGTGATCATCGACGATACACCTATATCATCAATTACAAACGTAAAAATCAGTGGGAAAGAAATGATGCAACAAGCCCGCAAACTATTGTACTCTCCGTAGTACGCCATACCAGGATCGACTCCAACAATTCGACTTTCTTCGGCACGCTGCTGAGTTAGGCCATCCGGATTCAACTCGAGTCTGTATACACCATGGCTCCAATATGTTAAGTCTTGACCTTCGGGAAGGCGTCTAATTTCATCGTGTGTACTAGGAAATAATTCTTCATGGCGTGTACATAGTATTGTTTTGTCGTCAGCGTGACATTCAGCTTTAGCTTACAAACTCCAAATTATTAAAGCAGGATTTATGCTTGCCTGGACTATTCCCGATAAACTTTTCGAACTGGACGTGTACCATACATCCATCCGTAGTCGCTGTATGCTTGAAGCTTAGCGCGTTGTGTGCAAAGGGGTTTTGATCTATAAAAAATCGTATAAAAAGGATCAGGATGCGCATATACATAGAATGTATAATATTATTCGCTAGCCACCACTAAAAGCACTCACAATCTTGACCGTATCGGCGGCGGTTTGGTTTTATGTGATCAATATCGAAAACCTTTTCCCATAGCTCCTGGCACCAGAGCGGATTGCTTTCGAGTTGTCTGCATCTTGAAATCGACAACGGTGACCCGCCCTATACACACACAGAAATATAAGAGTAAGATTACAAACACTAATGTATGGGAGAAGCAAAGATACAAAAGCTGACCAATACCTCTGCGAGCAATATGAGCGGTGCCGGATTATTTCGCTTCTCCATTCGTGCTCTTCTCACCAACAAATACAAAGTATGAGTATCCAACCGAAAGAACCCCGTTTGATGGGAACCTAATGGCAATAGTGGCCAAGGGCGTGCTCGTGGATAAGTTCGTTCGGAATATTGAAGCAGGTCGTACGACAAATGCAGAAGGGAGATGCATAAATCTTCTCCCATGTTGCGAGACCGCAAACGAGTTATGTCTGTGTCATGGAGCAGCTCTTGAAAGCGACCATGAATGAAGTTATCAACCAGTTCACAAGAAAGAATCAACATATATATCGCAAACTGTTATCCTGTTTAATATAAGCTTACCGATACAGTCTTCCCAATGATTGATCATGAACTACATTGTTGGGATAGTCGGCTTCATGGTTCAAAATGTTACTTGTTAATACTCGTGCTGTTCCGACATGATATTAGGACAACGAGTTTCGTAATGTATCATATTGACTAGTAAGCACAATAATATGCATATGTGGGATTCTTTCTACCTGCTCTTTCCAGTTGATTTCGGTTGTGTAGGAGTTGTTGTAAAGCACCCTTCCAAACTCGGTTCATGTAATTCTTGATATTTAGGACATGCTCTCTCATATCTGACATAAAATAAAAACGATGAGCTATCATATCTATTTTCCTTAGTTTCATAGTGCTTTTATATTCTGTACTTGAGCCATACTTTGCAGCGCCATGACAGCAAAATTGTTTGCTAGCGAATCTCTCAATGACCCAGGAGCAATATCCTCTGGCTCGAAGTATTCTAATATATCATACAGTACACATGCATCAAATAAAACAACGTTTAAACCATTGTCACTGATATACTGCTCTGTTAGTTTTTAAATTGAAATGTTGCAATCACTTACGTTCATTATTGTGTGGGTTAGTTCTTTCTGCGACAAAGATTGCTGCCGTGCGCATTAGGTCTTCTTTCCATGGTAGCTATTGGATTATCGGATATTAGCACGAATTTTGGAATAAATATGTAGATATATATTGAACATACAGGAGGAACTCACGTTCAAAAAGAATCCTGGTAATTCGTCGTGTAATCCGTACGAAAGCACTTTGAACGCAATGACCCAAAAGCCTTGCAAAAACAACGGAGGTGCATTATGATAATAACCCTCAAAGTGACGCCTGAGGTGCAAAGAAACAAGATTGTAAACATCTTGTTTTCGGAAAGAAACCAGTTCTGATGTTTGTCTTAGGATCGTCTACAAAAAAGATGTACAATCATCAGCCTCAATATTCAGGAAGGATAATAATAAGCTAAGGAAGTTAAAAGTGAACGTACTCGGAAAAAGTGGTATTCGCCATGAAGAAATGCTCTGACCGAGCAAGGTCGAGTTACGACCCGCGTTCTCTCGCCAAAGCCGTTGAACTCTACAAACGGCTCTGGGATAGCTGGAACAGGCTCTTGGACAACGGGAGGAGGGGGTTCTTTAGGGATCTGTGGAGGCTCTTCAACAACTGATGACATGCGTATTTTAAGAATGGGAGAGATTTGGAAAGAGCCGAAAAAGAAAGAAACTGATGGTTTTATACGGTGAGGTGATGGTTTCATGCAAAGTTGTCATTCTCATGGGACCATTGTATATGTATATCATATGACGTGTTGATTTAGCTCAGAGGCATGCTTTGAATATTCATGTTATCGGCTTACCATACAGAGCAGGAAGTGCAGCGCGCATGAATGATTTGGTACATAAAGTGTCCTCATTGTCATCCACGAGGGTTCGGCTGTTAAGACAGAAAATTATCAAACAATAAAGAAATGTATCCGCACTGGAATGAGCTTCGACGAATGCGTTTTATTATCCGTGATGGCAAATAGAATAAGAACAAGTTGTTGTTCTTTCAGTGATAAATAGGTCCACTTCAATCCGAGTTTATATCAAGTCATGCCGAGTGTTGCTCCTTCCTCTTTCCCAATCGCCCACCGCACGCCAGCTTCGTTTTGCTCAAAAAGAATGCATGGTAAGTTACAATAGAAGCAAATGAGGACTTCCCAAGTAGTAGACAGTAACCCTCTGTATTTTTTTCCCAGATGACCAAGTCAACTACCAAAGATCCTTTCGCTGATCAAGAAGTGACTGCATGGAAGTCGCAAAAGGCTCGCGCCTGGGAGCAACGGCATATGGTACGAGTAAGAAAAAGGAAATCACAGAAACTTGTGCTCACTCATACATCTCTTTTAGAATGCGGAACAGTATTATCTTCACCATGTGGATCCAGGCACGATGATTAACATTGGACAATTTAATGTTGCAGAAAAGGAACAATTTCAAGAAAGGCTTCACGAATGGGAGGAGAGAAATCTCGTCCAGAGTTCTACGTGGGGGGCATTTTCTCTTTCAATACCAGGCAGGACTGGAGTACAGTGCCGCGAACGCTACAAAAACATGGTCAAGGAAGGGTATACAAGCAGTTCAAACAAATCTTCATCCATAACTACTGCGGCACTGCCTGACACTGAATTATCCGAGTCGTGGGAAACCCAGGAAACACGACAACTCGAGAACCACATCGACTGCATTCATCAGCAATCGCATGGAAAGAGGTACTCCTTTTCTACTGTTGTTTACCGGGGGTTTCGATGAACTAAGAGTATGATAATCTAAAACGTTCTGTCCTGGAAAACGCGAAGCCAAGTGACATCAACATCAGCGGCCAGACAAGCAGTCGAACTACAAACAAATGGCTTGCCAGTTGATTCCAAAATACCACCAGCTCCAGCCCATCGACCCATACGTCCAAAGAAAGACGTGCCCATTTTGTTAAAAAGTCTTCTGAAAAAAGCTAAAGTCGCTTCTCTTGTTTTTGAAACAGCTACCAACAAAAAGAGGAACACCCAACAAGCAAGACCAACAAGTGAAAAGAGTTAGATTAGTCCTGTCACAAAAATCTATGAATTTGGATGAATAAAAGTCTTCTGTTATTATAGTACTGGGAGTGGGATAAAGACAAATAAGCACTTTTCAAAACTTAATGCCTGTATGTGCTTCATTGTCATTCATTTACTGAACGAGTATCTTCGATATGTCATTGTCCCCATTAAAAAAGTATATGACATATTTGTCAAAGCTCAGCTTTATTGGATATTAAGGTCTAATTTCATTGGCTCGCCCAGCCTCATACGTACTATTCCTGCCTTACTTTGCATGAATTTCCCAATCACACTGCGTACTGTCCAGGGAACCAACCACCTGCTGTAATGATTATATGAGTGATGGTAAACAATACAACAAGGGTAATAGCTGCAAAGGTGCGGGAGATGATACTTATCGTCCGATGATCACTTTGCCAGGAGGAGGCGTTTATGCAACACGAAGATCACCTTTTTCCTCCTTTAGATTATCAAACGTATAAAGTTGTCAATAGCCCCTGAGGCTCATCGATGTGTACATATGTTCACACGGTTTTTATCATATACACTATCAAAGCTGTACCAACCCATATCCTGGCATGGCCATTTTTTTACAAAATGGCAAGTAAAGGCTAATAAAGTCTTTTGTCCTTATCCAAAGGATATTTAAAAAAAAGTGGGAGCTTGATGATGTCAAAAATCATAGGTACTGTCAACAGCAGCAAAGGTAGCCTTGCCGAAGTTGTTACTCAAAAAGTGACGCGAGGTACTGTATATTTTGATATGTACGAGTTGCAAGACAGTAAGAAAGCACTTGTCGATCTTGAACAACAAAGGTTACCGTGTGTACATACAGCTCGGCCTGAATCAGTGGTATCGATATGTTATGTGCTCAAACAGTTGCATCTCTGTGTGTCTACATATTGAGAAGTGCAACACAATGGATAAACATAAAAAAGCACGCCAGATTGGTGACCCAGAAAAGGTATTAACAAAAAAAACTGAAAGAATCCATTGCTAGACTGAAGTATACTGAATCAACTCAAGACCTGTACCAGAAATGTTGAACCTGCTACAAGATCATTAGAGAAAGTAGCGCGGAAACGACGCATGAAAAGCGAGCTTCCAGATCCGCACAAGGTCGAGCATGCATTTTGGAGTGCTACTGAAGCCACCATCGTGACAATCATCTCTCAGTACTGCAGAAAGCTTAAATACCTCAATTTCAATTTCAAAGGGTAACGTGGTAACAGCAACAGCAGTGGTACAGTATCACCGGGATGGATAATATGATGACCATGAACATTAACGCTAATAAGGAGCACGTGTCATCATCATCACCGTCAGATTTCATAACAGCTCCCGCGACAACACTCGAAACCAACATAGAAGCACCTACCGACTTTATGGATCTCTTTGCAGAGCATTGCACAACCATTCAAAATTTACGAGCATCGATAGGCAATGTGCCTCTTAATAATTGGCGGACGCTGATCGCGATTTGCGACTTATAAAGCTTAAACACATTGGAATTGAATTATACACGCGGTTTTAACAAAGACATGAACACAATTATAGCCGATATGATTCGCCAATCAACCTAACCTGCGTCAGCTATCGTTTGAAACAGTCATATTCAAGGTCAAGAATCATTGAAGCGATAGCAAACTTACAGTGTGTAAAGGGCTCGAGAACCATCGATTGTAACGCCTCAAACAACGGTCAAAACCTATGACCTCTGTTTCCACAATTGGCTGTCAAGGCTGAAGGATAATTCACTTTACAAAAACTGGTCTTGTCAGAGACACTTTTCATGATTGACGAGATCATTATATGGAATGCTAACGAGGCGAGCCCGCGGTGACAGAAGAAAGCATGAATCTGTTCTCTGAAAACTTGGTTACTATCTCTCAATGCTATCATGCTGCTGCTACTCCTCGTATTCAGCAAATCACCCCAAACGGTCTGGAGTGTATTACCGATGTTACGCTTCGTCAGTTACTGTATCCAGAATCAAAGGATTGAAACAGTTATCGTTATTCGACTTACACAATATCACCCAAGAAGGATTTATGCGCGTTCGATCCGTCATCAGTCAAGCTTAAGGTCTTAAATTGCTGCAAAAATATTTCATGACTTGTGCCTTTGACCTCTTCATTACTTTGCATTTCTAGCTATCATAGTAAGTATTAAATAAATAAATAGTATCTTTGAGTTCCTTACCTTTCTCGAATTGTGGAAAACTCTCGGCGTGTCCACGATGGCCAGGTCATTATCTTACTGCACACAGTATCAAACTAGAATTATAATTAATACACATGGCAACGAAATGCTCTTGATAAAAATAAGCTTCTCATTCTACTGCCACTTGATGTATAAGATATATCTTTGATTCAATTAGCGCTGTTTCTTATTAATACGCGTCTTGTATTTATGATGCGGGTGGAAGATGATCATCGCCCCTATCAATTGATATGTGCATACAGCGGAAGGAAAAAAGAAGCACATCATTTGACAATCATTTTAGTGATTCCTATATAACTATTATTAGCTACATGCTGCATTCGGATCGATATCCGCTGCAACATGTTTTGAAACGGGCTGACGACAAGCACACGCGAAAGGGCCACCCAAGCGCAACTTGCATAAAAAAAATTAGACCCTTCCGAACGGGATGGCGTGTTTATCACGAGGTAATTATGACACACAAGAGCAAGAGAAGCTGACAGAATATCTAGATTACGGAACTGCTATTGAGATCATCCGTGAAGGAAGGATGAAGAACGATCCATTTTTACATATCAGAAATACTAGCGGTGGTACTAGTAGCAGCAAACCAAGATTCCGTAACAAGTAAAGGAAGAGCAGTTGGCGCCTTTATGGTTGATCTATTTTTTTTCTGCGTATGCAGGGCAAATCTTACAGCTTTTGTATTACGGTGCTAGCACTAATAGTGTGTTATGCTGCCAGCAGCCATATGCTGTGTGAAGAAGATCGTAGTATGCCTGGGCAGCCAGACGGTGATTGTTGAAACTCAGAAGCACGAGCGTAACAAAAAAAAAACACGGAAAGCGAGATTTTTTTTTTCTCTTGTGAAAATACTTTAATATTGATCTTAGGTTGAGTTCATTATTATCACGTTGCATCTGAACTGCTTCTTGTCAATTTCGTAACATCCGAGCTGTTGGAGAGTTTGAAATTGGCGGGATGTTGTTTCTTTACTTGCAGTCAGTTGGTAATGGACGATGAGAATAATGTACACCCATTGACACATAATATATGGAAGGTTTTATCCGGTGTACAATTGGCATTTTGGGAAAATGATGATACTTTCAGGTACTTCTGATTATAGCTTTCAAAAGGCTATATGACGAATAATTGTTATAACACACCTTGAGGATTTTTTGTTTCTGATTCCATACAACGAAATGCCAAAAGTACACGTCGTTAGTATTGCGAGCTTTGCCAAGAAAAGAAAATAAAAAAGGTTTATGAAACGCTATGTAAGGGAAACCAGAGTTCTGGGCATATGTGGGTTAATAGCTACGTGCGGCAGCAAGCAGCAGCAGCAGCGGATGCGGCGGAAGAGATAGAGAAAGAGGATGGAATGAAGCCAAAGAGAGAGACGGAGGGGGGTTGGGAGGAAAGAGAGAGAGAGAATAAGAACAATGGGATGATAAATGATGCAGCACCGTTTGCATGGTAGCCAAGTGTGACAGATGAGCTGTTGATGTTACCAAAGCGGTTGTGTTCATAATTATCTAGCATTTGAATTTGTGTTTCTTCTGCTACTGCTGCTGTTGTTGTTGTATAAACTTTCTTTTTTCTTGGCTGCTAGCTGTACGTAATGTAGTATCAACAGCAGTGGCAGTAGCTATAGTAGTAATAGCAGAAGCTGTATAATATGTGGGAACGACGAATCAAGCTTACAGCACCTCCTATTATGACCGGACCTTCTTTTCGAAGTGCTTCACCCATTCAACCCCCCTATCGCCCACACACGCAGGTGTGCAAAAAAGAGTGTTCGCCGCTTGGCCCTCCCCGGGAATCAACTTTTCCTTTCACAAAGTGGACATGCACAAAAAGCATGCTGCTCTTTCGAATATCTCGTGCGATGGGCCTTCTTATTATCCCACTGCTGGCTTGCTGCTGCAACCCTCATCCACCAGAAACCCAATCCTCCCCCTTTCCTTCCTTTCTCCCCTTCCCGCTTCACCATTCTTCTTTAAATAAGCCTTTGATTCTGCCCGATTCTTCTTTCGTCCCCTTCTCCCTCTCTCTCTCTCTACTTACTCATCGCTTATTTTTACCCATTCCTTCTATATACTACTTTATATTATGCAACGCTCGAAATCAGCATCAAATCGCTTATCACCACCGTCACCGTCTTACTCGCCCGACGTCTCTATACCCCAAACCACACGTCGTAAATCAGCTGGTTGTTTGAAACGTATCAACTCATATGGACAATTATCATCGTCTGCCGTCGACAGCAGTAGCAATTTGGCTGGCAAGGTAATCAAAATAAGCAACTCTCCTCTCTTCTCCCGACGACCGGCAGCTAATGCTGACCCATTCTGATTCTTTTAGAGTGCTTGGCGGTCCCCTGGACACTGTCAAATTCCCGACGTTCTTGGTAACGCATATCTTAAACCCGAACTGCCAACCACATATGATTTACGGCGTGTAGATCATTCGAAAAGAGTTTCTAGTGTAAGCGTTATTATTCATGATGGTGGTGCTGTCGTTGTTGTGGGGAACAGTGCGGTGTGGTTACAGTAGTAGAGATGTTTTTTAATTGCTTCTGACATAAATAATGACGCTCACTGACGATGGCAATAATATTAACAGCGTCCGTGGTATCCACCCAGCCCCTATTACGAGATCCCACAGCCTCCGCCACTCACCCAAAAAACTGACAACGAGTTTGAACGTAAACTGCGCAAAATTTTGAAAAGCGTGCGTGTACGCACAGCAGACCCTCGACTACGCTACGGCCACTTTCAAGAGATCGGCACTGGTGTCAACGGTGCTGTTGTCCGCGCTCGTTATCACCGGAAACCTGGAGTCCAAGTAGCCATCAAGCGCTGTATTCTTTACCCAGACCGCGACTACCGTCAAGCCATTGTCCGTGAACTGTGTATCATGGCCAGCAAACACCCCAACCTGATTCGACTTCGCGAAGTGTCTATCTGGCGAGATGACTTGTGGATTGCCATGGATTTGATGCGCTCGTCCGTATTCACAGTCTTGTGTCGTCGAGGCATTCCCGAGCAACACACAGTCTACATTACATGCGAAACGCTTAAAGCACTGATCTACCTGCATGCCATTGGTTATCTGCACCGAGATATCAAATGTGAGAACATTTTACTCGGGCGGGACGGTCAAGTAAAACTGGGTAAGCAATCACGATTATTTACCATTACTACATACGCAAAAAGGGAAAGTGCCCAAACATTCAAATTCCTCTAATAATTTTGCCTTCACCTCCCCTTTCTTGCGCTCCCCTTATAGCTGATTTTGGATTATCTGCATGCACTGATCGCCACAACCGCGATCGTCTGGGTACGAACAAGTGGTATGTATTTGTTGCAACATTCCGTTACTATTATTATTGCTGTTGTTCTTGCAGCTACAAAAAATTCATCGCAGCAAAGATCCCTATTGTTCTTGTTTCTAATAACCGTATGTGCTACCCTGCCAACTTTTCGTTTTAAAACAGGATGGCCCCAGAGCTGATTCGCCAAGAAGTCTATGATGAAAAGATTGACATGTGGTCGTTGGGTATCACCATCATTGAAATGATGGACCGTGTGCCCCCTCATTACTTGCTTAAAAACGAAGACGAGTTATTTCAAACCATCACAAGTGAACCTGGTCCAACGTTCAAGTATAGTTATCCCTCGATCTATATGCGCGGACTTGTTGCTTGGCTCCTGGATGAAGAGCCTCGATCAAGACCCGGTGCAAATGACGTGCTCATGGTAAGTTGTAGTTCCTTGTCAATTTTGACAGTTGACAAACAATAAATTGTCCTGTCTATCCAAGCATTACTGTCGACAGAAAACAACGAAAAGGAGAAAAAGTATACTCATTAGTCATCTACCAACTCTCTCTTTTTGGGTTCGCCATCTTACAGGAACTGGACGTGCACATCAAAAGTAATCTTCTCCCTTGCAGTTCGCCATCAGAACTGGCACGTTTTCTTGGCCAAGTTTTGCCGCCTCAGTGATCCAAAAGCATCCAATAATAAAGCATGTATTCATTGCCATCCACATCTTCAGTTGAACTTTGTTTCTTTTAGTATATTGGGTTATATAAATGCTGGAGTAGTAGCAATAGCTGCTTGCTCCTGTTTTTTGTCCTTTCTGTCTCAATTATATCTGGTCATGTCGCAGTGAACACTGTATACTACTATCATATTACTACTACTTTCGTACTTCCATTTACAGCTTACACACAGCGAACGATCGGTAATCGAGTTCAGCATCTTGGTTGTCTTCTTCCATTCCTAACGTCAGACTTGCATGAAATAGGGCGTGATATAACTGATTGATAGGTTGTATGCATGACTTTGACAGTGGAACTACAATTTTCATGTATACAAAGTAAAGAGCTAGAGAAAATATGTATGCAATGCGCCATGCACTCTCCTCTTTTCGACCGTTTTTTTTTTTCGGTGGTAGCATTAAATTAGTATGTCTTTTACAGACAGCTCTTGCTTCTACTTAAGATACTACTGTATTTCTCCAATCATACGTACATACTTCACGCATATGGGCTGCATATGCTACATGATACATAATGCCAATGGATAGTGATATGTGTACTGCGGCCCATATTATGTATTTAAAAATGGTATAGCTCACATCCAAAACCACAGTGACCGTTTGAACCTTTTGGGGCCGTACAATGCCTCGGAAAGTTGCTTTAGGTATCCCAATGGCCACAAACGAAAAGTTGGACTTTTGGGATGGCAGTAGACGTAGAATGGTGGTCTACCGAGAAAAAACGACTGTGTGCGATTTTTGGAAACGAAGAGAAAAGGGAAAGGGGGAGAAGCAAAACATCAAGCACAGATTGTCAATAGCATTTTCATCAACTATCGTGTATATAGAGAAATGGCTTTGATATAAATGCTGTAGGCCTTTTCGTGGATGGATTGTTTGTTGCGTATATGTAATTGATCAATAACAAAGCTGTCAAAAATCAGTCACTTGGAATTTCCTTGATTACCACTCTTTTTTGCTAGGGATGATCATATTTCATATAATGATATCAGTAACTCCCAAGATAACAGCCCTGGTTGTTGTTGCTGTCTTATCCTGTGTTGGTCCGTTCTACTTTAAAGCAAGACTTGTTATTTTGACAAGCAAGATCGATGTTGCTCCCAACGATTTGTATATCTATCGTAAGCTAAAGTACATTGCTGCTACTAGTTCTATGATAGGATATGAGAGAAGAGGGAAAACCTTTACCTTTATCAGGATTACAAGTGCTAGACTAATAAGTACCATTAGTCATTGATTTTGGAAGAAATGCTGCAATATAATAGTACTGTAGATGGCATTTTTCGTTTTCCTCGACATGTCAAATATAAAAAGTAATTGAGTTCGAGTCCCTTATTGGCAGGAGCTGCCACAGACAGAAAAAAGGGGACGGAGAGAATTCACAAGCACGAACACCCGTACAGAGTGAGAGACCGCTGTTCTTCTGGATCCTTTCTCTGATGGGCTATGATTATATTTTAACAGATGAACGGGGGTCCTGTATCGTAAGACAAGATTGATCGAAGGAGATACGAGACTAGTCCCTTGGCGTTGGCTCCACGGGAGAAATAGAGCTTATGTATACATACGCCCTCTTATCCATTATATGATAACTGGGGGCAACGGACATATGGTACATAGTAAAACAAGATCTCGTTAATTTCTTTGATATTGTATGTACATTCTTTACACAATTATATATACTACATACACGCCCCATCTTTGAAGGAGGCAACAACATGCTATAAAAAAAGGGAACAAAAATCATATTTTGTACCAATTACATTTATTATAGTCACGCCCTTATTATCTACCACGGGCAATACATCTCATCCATCTTTTTGAAAATGATGAGATAATGATGATGGTCGAAAATGCTAATATGACTTAAACGTGTGTGATGGTGTATGTGCACGCACAGATGAGTTACCCAGGCTGTCAGGCATTAAGGGGTTATGTGCGGGTACTATAAATGATGTTATGCACGTACAACTGAACTGGAGATCGAGCAGTCGCACCACTTTTACTGGCCTCTGCAGTATGATACGTACTCTCTCTTAGTTACTATTCGACATTAAAATGCAGCAAAAAGTTCCCGTATGCATATACACTAAATTCATATTCTCACTCTGTTATGCAAAACTTCACATTTTGCAATAAACTTCGGATCGATTGTGAAATGTGAAGTCTAACTGATAATAACCGATGTATCATAATCCTAAAATGAGTGGGAAATAAAAATAAAGTGCAGTTATTCTTTTTTCAACAAAGATTTTAAAGGGGTGCAGTTAATCCTCAGTGATAGCTTTCCAGAGTATTATTTTCTTGTACACAAAGATAGCATGCTTGATAAAATTTGAAGGTATGATATGCACGGATAGGTTTAGTAAAAAGACAGTATATGATATCTATCTAGGGGTTTTTTTTACTGAGCTTTTATAGCGGTGTAAAACTCGTGTCTTTAACCGAAGATTGCGACAAATGCATGGACCTTGATTTATCGTTTAATGGCCTAGGAACTGACAAGGATGTTGCTAACTAATAAACCGCGATATGCAGCACGAATACTGTATAAATTGTCATCACGCATGATCATGATGGTGTGCGGAAGTCGACAGGCCTTTTGTTCTAGAAGACACCAAACTATAAAAAGATGAACAGGCTTGCCAAATGCTGTAGAAAAGTATCAACGTAATTCGTTTTTTTGAATAATTTAATCAGTAAATCACAAATGTTTAAAGCATCTTTACCCAATTGCGGTATGATGTACAGTGCTACCCCTTCTGGTAGCAGCCCTTCAAACATTCGACTCATCCGTGCCGATTGAATACAGTATGCTACAATGCTCCCAGATTTGCTATACATAAAACTTGAGTATAAGCAGGAAGTGCTTATATATATGATGCATTTGCTATCAGGCGTCATTAGTACATGCCAGAACACGCATGATTGTAACATTGAGAAGTTTTCGCTGTAAGTTTATGTATTAACTTCTTATGTATTAACTTACGATGTGGCTCGCAGTAGTCTCCCATCGTCGTGCCATGTTGTACCATTTTCTTCCTTTTGTTAAATGAGCTCAGAGGGATTCTTGAAGTACTACCACTTGTTTTAATCCGTTGTCTCAATCCGAACAAGTACCTAATCATCAACATGGAAATTTCTTGGCTAAAAGCAGTAATAGAAGCAAAAAAAAAGTGGTCAGCTGTTCCTTAATTTCCAAAAATGGGCAAACGTCATTGTTTAGCTCTCCGACAGCATAATAGACAGCTGCGTCCTGCCGCCCTTTTTTTTGACACGTTCTGGGAAAAAAAGGCATAGAGTAATACATAGGCTCTCTCGTTTCCTCTCTTCCCTCCCCCAAATCTCAAGCGGAATGGTGAATTGTAATTGTGGCAACGATGCACGCCACTGTGCAATTATTCAGCCTGGTACTGAATTGGGTCGTTGGTATTATAAGGCAAGTCTTGTATATTTCTCCATTTCGAAACAGGGCTACTGGGAAGTTTGAAAGTGTTGGCTATTGTGTTGTCGTCCATTGCTCGCGCAGTAGTTGCAAGAAAAAGAAAAAGGCGATTCAACAAATTGCATTGCATTCATTGCGCCCGTGATCCGATTGCACGTTCTCCGTTACTTACCTTACTCGTTCCCCCCCTTTTTATATTGTGTTCTTTTTTGTTGGCACTCTCAAATAACATAGTGCCCAAGCAGCAGCTGCACTTTTTTCCAATGGGATGATGCGACACCACGTCAAAAGTTTACAGCATCTTCCGTCGCCTCTTTTCCCGGAAATGGGCAGTCGCAATACGGCCAACAAGTTGGAAATGGCAGCAACGATGCTAGTCGTAACCGCCAATCACAACGTCTACGTATCAATCGTTCCTTTACACCCACTGAAGTCACCTTCCAAGTGCAGTCAGTTACCCAAATCCGCCTCCACATGCGTAATAATCAACACTTGACTGAGCTTTTACGGGGAATTTCTACCTACAAAGACGACTGCTGGATGATCCCTGCGACAAAGCAAGCCTATGATCGAGCAGTGAGAACATTGATCAGTGATACCTCAGACACCATTACAAGAATCAATCCCTTGCCATCATATATCGTGAAACTCCTTCCTACTGAAGAAGAAGAAGAAGAGGACAAAGACAATGCAGAAGATGGCGGCGAGCTTGATGCTGATTCTGATGCTACAACCGACGACGGTCAAGACGAGGAAGGAAGTTTAGCAAATCACGATCAACAGAATCTTGACAACGACAAGTCCGAATCAGCTATCTCAACTGACGAACAAGAAGGTAACGGTGATGATGAAACTAAAGAAGTCGGCAGCAACAGCAGCAATATCGGGTCGCTCAAGCAAAAGAGCAAGGGAAAAGGTCGAGCCACACATGTACATGACGATGATGAAGACTATCAAGAAGAGGCAGAGGAAGACGATGAGGATGAAGAAGATGATGAATCGGTTCAGCTTAGCGCACACGGCCGCCGCACGGAAAACACAGAGTTCGAAGAGCAAAGAAGCCAGAAAAAACGTTTACGGGACATTCAAGGTACTGATCTCTGGCGCGTACTCAAGGACTTTCAACGCAAAGGCGTAGTTGAAGGCATCAAGAGGGACGGCCGCATGCTTCTTGGTGACGATATGGGCCTCGGAAAAACAATACAAGCCATTGCTATTGCGTATGCGTACTCAGACAGCTGGCCCGTACTTATCCTCTGCCCATCCTCGCTTCGCTTCACCTGGAAAAACGAGATCACGCGCTGGATTGAAAGCGTCGATGGGGATGATATACGTGTGATTACCAAAGGACCCCAAATGGTCGAACTTGCAAAGCCTGTCGTCGACGATGAGGGTGATAATGAGCAAGAAGAGGATGTGGCGGAAGACACGAAAGCATCGTCATCTAGCTCAACCGCATCAGTACTTCAACGACGAACAACAAGAGATCGTAGGTGCAAGCAGAAACTGCCGGCTAAACGCCGCAAGGTACAAAAGACCAAGTTCTGGATCGTAAGCTATGACATTGCCACCAAGCAGATAGACTATATCAGCCAGGCAAAGTTCAACTTTATCATATGTGATGAGAGCCACTACTTGAAGGGTTTAAAGGTATGTACCCGATACAACAATTATTATTAACTTATGATGTATGTGATCAACGTGTCGCTGTTGCTGATAGTTTTGATATTTTTTTATTTGCCTTTTACAGACACAGAGAACCAAGTCTATTGTTCCTGTTCTTCAAAAGAGCAAACATGTTCTACTATTGTCCGGAACTCCCGCTTTCTCAAAGCCGTTAGAGCTTTTCTCTCAATGCAATGCGCTACGCCCGGATATTTTCTCTTCTCTGTACGAATTTGGTGCGCGGTACTGTGCTGGTTCGAGTGGACGGAGCTACGGAAGAAACTCGGTATTCAAAGGCACGTATATGAATACTGTAGAAGCATTTCATGATCTAAAGTAACAGCACTTTTAACCGACACATCCCTTTTCCCACCCAGAAGAAAATAACAAACTCAAATAAGTACTAAAACCACCGTTGAAATATATTAGGCGCCAGCAACTTGCAAGAGCTAAACTTGCTTCTGACCCAAACTGTACTGGTGCGACGTCTCAAGGATGATGTTGGCATCGAACTCCCTCCAAAGACAAGACAAACCGTGTTCATGGATGTTGCTGCTTCGGTGAAGCGAGCGATGAAGAAGAACAATGAGTACATGCAAAAGACTTTGCGCGCAATGGATAAGCCTGACAATAGTGGAGGCGGTAGGAGCAGCAAGAGTGACGAGCCGAATAAGCGAAAGTTGATGTTACAATTGGTGAGTTAACACCAATTCCATATCGATTGAAATCATTCCTTAGGACGAGACACTGCTGTTTATTGTCGAAACTAACTACTAAGGATCATTGTATGACTATGATCAATCTCGGTATCATATTGCTTCTTCATTGATGTGTAGTATACGGACACTGCTGCTGCCAAAATCCCAGTCGTAAAAGAATATCTCGAGCATGTATTTGGCACCACTGATCAAAAGATGATCATCTTCGCTCACCATCGTTCAATGCTTAATGCCATTGAGGAATGTGCTATCAGTTGCAACGTATGTATATCAGTAATATCTTGCTTCTTACTGAGATTCTAATGTGGCCTTTTTCCTTTTGCTCTTCTACCACCATTACATTAAATGTATATACGATAGATCGGCTATATCCGCATTGATGGCTCAACTCACCCCGATGTGCGTCAGCAAATGTGCGACCGTTATCAAGCGAAGGGATCGAGTGTTCAAGTCGCTATCTTGAGCCTTTCCATTGGTGTTGGATTAACACTTAGTGCTGCTGATTTGGGTATGTTACCATTGTTGTTATTTGATATGAACATTAAATATCTATTTGAAGCCGACATACGGATCTACATCTGCTGCTTAACCTACTCAAACTACTGAAATGTAGTCCTATTTGCCGAAATACATTGGACACCTTCCACTCTGTTGCAAGCGGAGGACCGAGCTCACGTAAATATACTTGTATTTTTTCCCATCCTCTTTCCAAACAATCTCACAGTTAATCACATACACTTACCTTTAAATATTACTGGATATATTTGAATGATAATATCCTTATCAAAAAAACGCCATTCTTATTTCATTGCTTTATTTTCTCTTACCGATTTTTTAGCGAATTGGAAGAAGGGGACCGGTAAACATTGTCTACATCTTAGCACCCGATACCCTTGGTTCGTGAATAGTACTTATTTAAGAGGAGAACCATGTACTGCCCATTCATATGTTAACAATATCTTCTTTGTTTATACAATCATCAGATGGGTATTTGTGGAAACTCGTGAAGAAGAAGCTGAGTATTGTCGGAGCAGCCATCGGTAAGATGACTTAGGAATAGTTGTATATTTAAATTTGAGCTTTTTCTCTTTTTTTTTTTGGATCACCTGTGTGAAGGGAGGGGAGAAGTAACTATTAATGTATACTTTTCTGTTGCTTGTTTATGTTTAGATGGTACCATTAGTAAGGTCACCATCAATGAAGCATCATCTTCAGGATTTGACTGGCTTGGTGACGACGAGCAATCGGATTTCGAGCGACCTGCACAAGAAGACGACAAGGACGATGGTCAATCAGATGGTGACGTTGAATGAGGAGACATAGACGAAGGCGATGATGCCTAACCAGCGAAATTATACATTACCCACTCTAAAACTATATCTGTCTGTTACATAGCATTAGAAACACACTAGCACATACACACAAACAAAAACCATGTACATCTCTTTTATAATACCTTTGCACATAATATGTACTATATAGCACACAACACATACAAAGTTATCCTTGCATATAAATCACTGATAAAAATGACAAAATTCAATGTTACATATTGCTACCATTACAATTACAGTCGCTAACAAGCTCTAAAAGTGGATATGTACTAATCACATCTGCTGATGGTTGCCATATTTTTTTTTGTTTAGGATGCGCCCATGTTATTCTGAGCTTTTCAACCAGTCAAAAAAGCATTTTACTATAAAGCTGATCAATATCGAATTGCTTTCACGTTCTTGAACTGCACTGTATCATCAGCATAAGGCGGAAGGAAAGTTCACCAGTGTTAGTAATGGTGCCCTTGCTACCGATATACATGTACGGCCTTTCAAGTCAGCGAAGTTTGTTCTAGAATCACTGTATTGAAACACAACATGATGCTTGACCACTTCATCAACAAGATTACAGTTAATCTTCATTAAAGATAATCGATAATAGCAGATATTTTTTTTCTTCTTCGAAGGTACAATTGATATTATAGTTAGGAAAAAGCCATATAATTTTGATCGGCTGTTTCTCCGTAAGTCTTAAAACATATTACATCTTACGTGTGACAGAGTCAAGACCGCTATAGCTGCTATGAGTGGATCCGTCAATTATTCAGGAGGTGGTAGACTCAGCGATAATCCGAAAAAAAATATAATATAGAAGCTGTAACAATTGTTTCTTCCACAGTTTTAGTAACACTCACAGTTACAGGACAAAACATCTTATCGACTACTATCCGATGACTCGTAAGAGAAAATTATAAAGCGATCAAAATTTGATTTGATCGAGCAGTTGATAGACCGACGTACAATCACGATCTTCAAATACCTGCTTGTATATAGTGTATATGGAGATTATTTGTAGAAGTCAAATGAGGCTCGTCAAGGTCCACCTCAACAAGAATGATCGGAAATAAGGTATAGTCACAATCTGAACGAGAAGACATCTTTGAGCTGTTAATAAACCACCAACACCCGGGGCATTCGAAACTGATTATTATTGCCTCTCCAAGACCCACCACCCTACATTTCAAGCTAGCAAACGGACGTTATGTTTCATGTTTTGTAATAGATGCCGACAACACGAAAGGGGTACTGATGTCGTGAATGTATTAGCTATCTCTTCTTTCAAGACTGTATTAATCAACTCGAAACACTAAATTACTGTAATAAGTGCAGATAACAAGGTTAAACTCGTAAAAAAAAACCAACCTGTTGTTATTGGTAAACCCGCATTGGTCAGGTGGGTTGGGGTGGTTGAGCAGTATTTAAAGTATGTACTGTGGAGGTCATGTGTGTGTATCTGATTGCTGTGAAGCGGGTTATATAATAAATTTTCAGGAGAGATGCAGCACATTAATACGCTAGCCAGCATACATAGCATCCATATTTTGTACATATCTAGGACGAGCAGACCCTCTCTCGGTCCGCTCAACGGAATAATAATCAATCCATTTTCTCACAAAGGAACCGTTCGTCCCTCTCCTCCCCCCCCCCACCTCCCGTGGTGGTGGCCGTGGTTGGTATTAACATTATCCATTATGAAATGGTACAACCTGCCAAGTTGAAGCTTTGACGTATTATTAACTACAGGGCCTTGTTTGTAAGAGTAAAGCACTATTACTGATGCACATATGACAAAGAAAAAAAACGTGTCTTTGTGAAATGTGTGTAACATTGGACGAACAAAAAAAAAGACCCGCGTCTCTCTTTTTGGCCCTGTTGCCTCTTGCTGCTTGTGTTTTGTGATGTCGTTGAGACAGAGACCGGAAAGTTCACCCGTGCATATTTCATAGTTGTTTTTTTTCCCACTCAACCATAACCTACACACCTTTTTCCCCCTTTTATATATCCACACCCCCAAAACATACACTTTTTTATTATTCAAAAGGTAAACCTCTACAGAAAGCACTTTAAAAGAAAAGACAGAGAGAAAGAGAGAGAGGGAAGGGTGAGGATGTATAGTACGTGTATATTTACTGAAACGCTTCAGTTTACATATACCCCCCATACCAACAATAACCAACAACAGCAAAAAGCGAACTCTATAATACAACAACGAAAACCATACGTCTCTCTCTCTCTCTCTATATATATATATATATATATTCACTCATCACATCGCAACATAACCACAACATACCGCACATTTCTATGACCGCAATGGCAACGGCTCCTGCACCATCCACGAGCATGCAGCAGGAAAGGCAGCAGCAGGAGGAGGGGGAGGAGGAGCAAAAGAATCTTGTCTTTCACAGTCTGTGCACTACCCCATTGCCACAAAAGGAGTTAGAAGAACTTCAAGCCATGCGCAATAACGAAGACGATGACGACCATCAAGAAATAATGGCTCAAGTCAACATAATCTCAACAAAATTAACACAATGGCTCAGTGTGGCGCACATGACGGTATTTACACTGGAACAAAGTGTCAAAGATGACCCCGCCGTCACCTTGGATACGCGACCGCTCGACGCTGCTATGCAACAAGCCCAGCCGGTAATAAATGCATTTGTCGAGTTGAGCAACGAGTATGACGACGACGACTTGTTACCCAGCATGATGAAGATGACGGTTGCCAAGATACAGAGCGAGTGGTCTGGTTTGCAGCATTTTGCATCCTCCGTCACAAAGACCGTCAATGCGTTGGTTGAGGAGCGGCAGCTGGTGGCTACCATGGATTACGTCTTGCTGCAGCTGGACGATATTTCGTTGATGATTTTCCAGTACCATGAGAAAAAGGCCATGGTGACGCCGTCCACGTCGTTTGGCACACAAATGTCTTCGTCGACTAGCAGTTCAACTTCAAATAACACAACAGCAACAAACACCAAGGATGATGGAATTTTGGTCGCAATTGACGAACGGGTCGAGCCAGTGTTTCGCGAGGTAGAACGTGTCTATGCCCGTATGACATCTACATCTGATGCTCCTGCGGACAAGTCTGGTATGCTTGCACGGAAACATGCCATGGTTCAGGAACGGTGGGAGAATTTGCGATCGGAAATCGATGATCTCAAGTATGGACTCAAGGAGGATCGCTGGTTGACGGTGTTCCGACAAGTCGCTGACCAGGTCGATGTCATGATTGATGGGCTGGAAAAGACCACGGCTCAGTGCTATGTCATGATACAACAAGTGCGAGACAGAGCCGCCACCGCCGTTGGTGGTGTTCCCCGGCCGCATGGATCTACCACGTCGATATCATCCTCATCCTCGTCTGGATCCAGCCATAGCCACCATCACCACCCTCCAGTCGTTGTCGATCAACACAAGTTTCGGTCGGCGGAAAAGAACTTTGAGGCCAAGTACAAGTACTATACGCCATCGATTGATCGTATGCTCGCCATGCTTGGAAACGGGATAGCGTCACGTGTGGGCCAGGACTTGCAGACTACCCGACGGCACCAAACCATGTTGCAGAAATGGACACAATTGAAAGGCGAGATGGACGATTTGCGAATGCGCGATTTGCCAGAGACGGAACGGTTATTGATGGCCGACAGACCTATCAGTCCTGCCTGGTCACGTATGAGCGATCGGAGCGACAGAAGCTGGAAGGGGTATAGGAGTCCAGAGCCACCGGCCGTGTACGATCGTTCACGAAGTCCTTATTCACGATCCACTTTGTCGCGCACTGGGAGTCCGTTGTATGATGATCGACAGCAACATGGACGCAGTGCAACGCCAAGCAGTGGCATGCGAAGCCATAGTAGTATTGGCAGCGGCGGAGGCAGCAGCGCTTATAATCGAACCATGAGCCCACCGGTTGTGTATGGTCGTCAGCGTACTGTTAGCCCTCTTTCGTTTGGCAGCTTATTGCGGCCCAGTACGTCTGATTCGTCGTCCGTGTCTTCATCGTCACAGCGCACAGACGATGAACTACGGAAAAAGAGTCGGGTACCTACGGAGTCATTTATGAAGCCAACCAAAAGCAGCACATTACGCAAGCAGAAAGCGGCTGCAACTGCAGCAGTAACAACAGCAACAGCAGCAGCAGCATCCAGACAACGTGAAGCCAGTGTACGGTCAGCAACACCCAATAGCAGCGCCCATCGCTACCACAACATCAATAGTCACACACTTCCCAAACGTCCCATGAGCAGTATGGATCGGGTAGGATCGCCCACGCGGCTACCTGTTCCTTATTCTGAGCGCGAACGAGCCATGTCTCCTGTCCGCCGCTCAGGCACTCCATCCCTTATCCCTCGACCTAAGACACCCTCACGGGCAGCATCACCCACTCCACCACGACCTCGCTCCTCCATGGCACGTATGTTCACTTTGTCATGAATTGTCTTCACCTTCAATAAAGACTATCAATCGCTCCCACCCACCAACCCAAGAAACGGTTTATTAAAGATGGCTAACTTTTGGGTTTTTTTTTCAATCAGACAACTCACCAGTACCACCGGTCCCTAAGCAACAGCCACAGCAGCCATCTGCTGAGCACCAACGGAGGATATTACGAAAGAAGCAATCCATGCCGGCCTTGATGCATCGGTCCGGCTCACCTGCCGCAGCAAGACTCCTCAATGCACGTACACCATCACCCCAATACGGCTACCGTCGTAGTAGCGACTATACAACATTCAGCGATGATGAGGAAGAAGAAGAAGGCCAAGACGACTATTACTATCGGAGGAGGACGGACAACAACTATAACGACTACGATGATGAAGACGACGACGAAGAATATTTCAGTAATACTAAAAACGATAATGATAATGACTTGTTAACACCCTCATGGCGAAAGCAACAACAACGACAACGACAGCTGCAGCAAAGACTAGAAGAACATCCAGCGTATCGACCGGACCGCAAGGATCCACTGGACGTGGAGGTGGCCAACATTGTGAACGCCAGTCCGATTGCGATCAAATGCCAAAAGGGGCCCAACGGATCAGGGCGATACTACTTTGGCAGCGAGTTGAGTCCGTCGGTTGGAGGAGGCAAGAAGCTTTACACGTGCAAACTGATGAGCTATACAGGAGGAAGACGGAGGCATAACACGTCGAATACCGACAGGGCAGCAGCAGCAGCGCCGCGCAACAAGGTGCTTGTGCGTGTTGGAGGTGGATGGCAGGATTTGGAATTGTTTCTACTTCACTATGGGATCCTCCACTAATAAATAATAATAAATAAATAAACTGAATAAAACAATAGCCGGCTGTTAAGCACACATTGGGGTTGATGGGGTAGAGATAACCGTTTATTATCTCTTTTTTTGTGTGTGTGATCCACTATGCTATTCGGCTCGGTTCTTCACGTTAAGCCCGGCAAAACGTTAAGGAAAACCCGAAAATTGAATGTCCGGCTGGGTAAACCACTCATTGAACTAATAGAATCGGCGACCTACCAGATAAAGCAGGCAAGACAATCACTGCTCACTGATTAGCAGCTGGTTTTCAATGGCGCTGTAGCATTTTATCTCTTTCTCTCTCTCTCTCTCTCGCGCACCACCAACCACCAACCAAGGACCACAAAGCAACCAAAAGAGGAGCAGTGACGATTTTCATGTGGCCATGCTTGATATTCACGCGATCGACAACAAACAAAAAGTCAAAAAAGGTTTAAGGTTGCATGAACCGAGGGGAGGGCTCTCTGTCTCTTTCTGTTATCACCATCTTGGCCCTGTTATCTCTCCCTTTGCTTCTCCCATCAATGCCGCAAATGTGGGGAAAACAAGCGGATTTCGTTGGGAATGTGCGGGAATATGATTAGGAAAGTAGGCGGGAAATATTTGGTTTGATCTATTGGATGACCTTTTTTTTTTTTTTTTTTTTTTTTGGGGGGGGGGTGTGTGTGTGATGGAATTTCCAGTGAGTAAGGATGAGAGAGGCGGTGGCAGTGATGTTACCGAACCCGGGAATTTATTCCCACTTCTTTGCTCTCTTTTTCTCCTTCCTCTCTACTTGATTTTTTTTTACAAGGTACGTTTGTGACGGGTATGCTTTCTTCTCCGGGGCTTGTTCTTAGACGTCAGAGAGAGCGAGTGAGAGAGAGAGAAAGAAAGAGGCAAAAGAGAAGGTGGGGGTGCATATGTCATCATATGAATCTTTCCGGGACCTTCCACTTGGGACGCTTTATAAGCGTGTTTGATCGTCCATCGTCGTATTCACCTACTTTTCTTTTTCTTTTTCTTTCTTCCGTCTGCCCTTTCGCCTCCACAACCAGCCCCCTTCTCTCTTTCCCAACCCTCCATATCGTAACAACAAATCATGCCTCACCGCGAGCACTCCGTCGAAACAATTCGCAGAAACAGCGAGGTCATGGGCAGCCTGCGCAAACTTATGGTGGTCAACCGTGGTGTAAGTAGTACTACAATCTTGTTCATTGTGGTGACGCACCGGGACTCTTGCTGATTGTTCTCTCCCCCCCGTGCGTATGTGACAAACAAACCAGGAAATTGCCATTCGTGTCTGCCGCACAGCCCACGAACTCTCGATGCGAACCGTCGCCATCTTCTCGTATGAAGACCGACTTTCCATGCACAGATATAAGGTAATAGCACTCTATTCTTGTTCGCATAAGATGGAAGGATGGACGGATGGAGTGGTAGGAGAGGAGGACGACCAAGAAGTTAATGGACGAGGATGTATCCATCTACTACTAGGCCGATGAATCATATCAAATCGGCGAGGTCGGTAAGTTCACACCCGTTGGCGCCTACTTGGCCCAAGACGAGATTGTGCGCATTGCCAAAGAACGAGGCGTGTCAATGATCCATCCTGGCTATGGCTTCTTGTCTGAAAACGCCGAGTTTGCTCGCAAGGTGGAGGCAGCAGGCATCACATTCATTGGCCCGTCTCCTGGAGTCATTGATAGCCTGGGTGATAAGACCAAAGCCCGTCAAATCGGTGAGTTTTTCATTATGATTGGGTCTGCTTGCGTGTGTCACACCATCATTGTTTGTGTATGTGAAAAACTGAACTCTAATTAACGTCATGTCCTTACAAACAAACAACCACGCATCATCAGCCATGGAGTGCAACGTGCCTGTCGTGCCCGGCACTCCCGGCCCCGTCAGCGAATACTCTGAGGCCAAGGCCTTCATTGACACGTATGGATTCCCCATCATTATCAAGGCCGCCATGGGCGGTGGTGGTCGTGGAATGCGGGTCGTGCGCGACGCAGCCTCGCTCGAGGATTCCTTCAACCGTGCCAAATCCGAGGCCCTGTCTGCCTTTGGCGACGGCACCGTCTTCATCGAGCGTTTCTTGGACAAGCCCCGTCACATTGAAGTCCAGTTGTTGGCTGATCGTGCTGGTAACGTCGTCCACCTGTTCGAGCGCGACTGCTCTGTCCAGCGTCGCCACCAAAAGGTCGTCGAAATCGCCCCTGCCAAGAACCTCGACAACAAGGTCCGTGAGGCCATCCTCAACGACGCCGTCCGAATTGCCAAGCAAGTCAAGTACAAGAACGCCGGTACTGCCGAATTCTTGGTCGACAATCAGGGCCGTCACTACTTTATCGAAATCAACCCGCGTATCCAGGTCGAGCACACCATCACTGAAGAAATCACCGGCATCGATATCGTTGCTGCCCAGATCCAGGTTGCTGCCGGTGCGCTTTTGCCCCAGCTTGGCTTGACCCAGCAACGCATCCGTCAGCGCGGCTATGCCATCCAGTGCCGTGTGACGACTGAAGATCCCGAGAAGGGCTTCCAGCCTGACACTGGCAAGATTGAAGTATACCGTTCCTCGGGTGGCAACGGTGTTCGTCTGGACGGTGGTGCAGGTTATGCTGGCGCCATCATCACGCCGCATTATGACTCCTTGCTTGTCAAGTGCACGTGCTCTGGCTCCACCTACGAGGTTGCGCGTCGCAAGATTGTGCGCGCACTGGTCGAGTTCCGCATCCGTGGCGTCAAGACCAACATTCCCTTCCTGCAGCGTCTGCTGACCCACGACACCTTTATCAACGGCAACTGCTGGACAACCTTTATCGACGACACCCCCGATCTGTTCCGTCTTGTGCAGTACCAAAACCGTGCCCAGCGCATGCTCGGGTACCTCGGTGACGTGATTGTCAACGGCTCGCAGATCAAGGGCCAAGTGGGCGAGCCTTCGTTCAAGCACGAAATCGTCCTGCCTTCGATCCACGACGAGGCTGGCAAGGAAATCGACGTCGCATCGACCCAACCCACCGCTGGCTGGCGCAAGATCTTTGTCGAGCAAGGCCCCGAAGCATTTGCCAAGGCCGTGCGCGCATACCCGGGCACACTCATCATGGACACCACCTGGCGTGACGCCCACCAGAGCTTGCTCGCCACTCGGGTTCGTACAACCGGTAAGTTTCGCAAAACCATGGCATTTTCCTTTTTGAGTAAAATTCCCCGTCACAAATCTCATTCCCAGAAATTTAAACTTTTTTTGATTTTCACAAGATTTGCTCCGAATTGCACCTGCAACTTCACACGCTCTGGCCAATGCCTTTTCGTTGGAGTGTTGGGGCGGCGCCACCTTTGACGTCGCCATGCGCTTCCTCTATGAAGATCCTTGGGAGCGCTTGATCCAGCTCCGCAAGGCCGTTCCAAACATTCCGTTCCAGATGCTGTTGCGTGGCGCCAACGCTGTCGGCTACACCTCGTACCCGGACAATGTCGTCTACGAGTTCTGTGCCAAGGCTGTCAAGGCCGGTATGGACGTCTTCCGTATCTTTGACTCTCTCAATTATGTCGAGAACATGCGCTTGGGTATCGATGCCGTCAAGAAGGCCGGCGGTATCGTCGAGGCCACAGTCTGCTACACCGGCGACGTGTCCAACCCGAACAAGAAGTCCAAGTACGACATTGACTATTACGTCAACCTCACCCAGGAACTCGTTGACGAGGGCATTCACATCCTCGGCATTAAGGATATGGCCGGTCTGCTCAAGCCCGAGGCCGCCAAATTGCTCATCGGCACAATCCGTAAGAAATTCCCCGACTTGCCGATCCACGTGCACACTCACGACACTGCTGGTACTGGTGTTGCCGCTATGCTTGCGGCTGCGGCTGCTGGCGCTGACGTTGTCGATGCTGCCGTCGACTCCATGTCCGGTATGACTTCGCAGCCTGCCATGGGCGCTCTTGTGGCCGGCTTGGAACAGACCCACTTGGGCACCGGTATCCGCCACGAAGATATCCAGGCCTTGAACTCGTACTGGGAGCAGGCACGCATGCTCTACTCTTGCTTCGAAGCCAACGTCAAGGCTGCCGACTCTGGCGTCTACGACCACGAGATGCCTGGTGGCCAGTACACTAACTTGATGTTCCAGGCTCAGCAGCTTGGTCTCGGTACCCAATGGATCGAAATCAAGAAGGCCTATGCCGAAGCCAACCAGCTCTGTGGTGACATTGTCAAGGTCACTCCGTCCTCCAAGGTTGTTGGTGACTTGGCTCAATTCATGGTTTCCAACAAGCTGACTGCCAAGGATGTCCAGGAGCGCGCAAAGACCCTGTCGTTCCCTACCTCGGTTGTCGAGTTCTTCCAGGGCTACCTTGGTCAGCCCGCCGGTGGATTGCCCGAGCCTTTGCGCACCAACATCATCCGCAACTTGCCTCGCATCGACGGCCGTCCCGGTGCTACCATGGCTCCTCTTGATTTGGCCAAGCTCAAGGAAGAGCTCATCGAAAAGTACGATGGCATCAACGACTACGATGTCTTGTCCGCTGCCTTGTACCCCAAGGTCTTTAGCGAATACCGTGACATGGTTGCCCAGTATGGTGACTTGAGCGTCATCCCCACCCGCTACTTCTTGGCCAAGCCTGAGATTGGTGAAGAGTTCCACGTCGAGATTGAGGAGGGCAAGACGCTTATCATCAAGCTGTTGGCCGTCGGTCCCATCAACGGCACCGGCAAGCGTGATGTCTACTTTGAGCTGAACGGTGAGGCTCGTGTTGTCGGTGTGCAGGACAAGAACGCTGCCGTCGAGACGGTCACTCGCGAAAAGGCTAACTTGTCCAAGCCTGGCGATGTCCCCGCTCCCATGTCTGGTGTCGTTATTGAAGTTCGCGCCAAGGAAGGCACCCAGATCAAGGCCGGTGATCCTGTCTGTGTGTTGAGTGCCATGAAGATGGAGACTGTTGTCTCTGCTCCTGTTGCTGGTCGTGTTGAGTTGGTTCCTATCAAGGAAGGTGATTCGCTTTCGTCTGGTGACTTGGTCGCTCGCATTGTCAAGGACTAGGTTTCCTTTTTTCTTTTCTTTCTTTCCTCTTCGTATTTCCCTTTTTCCTAATTTGCATGATTTTTTGTACAATTTTTATATATTTTCTACCCTTCCTATACTTGTAACATAGCAAAATCGTTCCTTCTTCCTTCACGCACGGCATTATATTCTATAGATAGCTCCAAGTGGAAAAGAAGTGAAATATACATATGTTGTTTTAAACGCTAAAAAAGAGCGCTTTTTCTTTATTATTAATAATTATGGTATGATACAACTCGAAACGGTGATTGTTAGAAAGGATGGAGGTGGGGAGCGTGAAAGAAGAGGAAGAGATGCAGTAGTGTGTATTGTAAATTTCATGCAGTTAATGAGAAACAAATGTGGGGGGAAGGCGATAGTTAGTATATGAAAAAGATGACAATAATACGAATTTAAGGAGAAAAGAAAAAAAAACTTTTGTGTGTGAACGTGTGTAAGAAATCTATGCTGCATGTAAAAGAGGTTCTTGCTCGTTGTCCTCATGGATGTGGGTTTCTTCTGTTTTGACGCGACTGTGCACACGTGCCACCTCTGCGTCCCAATTGACCGTGAACAAGAACAGACACTCGCCCGCTGCACCCAAGAACAAAGCGACAGACAAGCTGATCCAGATGCCTGTCAAGCTCCAATCCGCGACAAACGTCAATGCATAGCCCATTGGCAGAGCAACCACATAGTAAGCAAACAAATTGATCCATGCTGCCACGTTCTGTCGACCGCAACCTCTCATCACACCACCAACAACACCACACAAGCCATCTGCGATCTGGAAAACGGCGCACAGAGGCAGGATATGGGCGACTCGTAAAACAACGTCTTCATCCGATGTGAACAAGTAGCCAAGGAACGGTCGAGTCACGATAAACAGGATCGAGTTCATTGATCCGAATACGATGGCGAATATGAAAGCTACCATGGAAGCACGCTTTGCTTTCATTGCGAAAGTTTCTCCAAGCCTACACAGTTCAGAAAGGGGGAGGGGATGGTCGAGTTAGTCCGGTTTTTATCCATAATTATATTAAATCGCCCTTTTGATATAAAGTTTGCGTTGGTTTTGGGATACATTACGCATTGCCAACACGATTCGAAGCTGCGACACTGATGCCGTAAGGGATGGTATACGTGGCTGATGCGACAGTCAGACAGACCGATTGAGCAGCTAAATCGACTGTGCCGAGGTACGAAGCTGCCAATGCTGCTAATTCGAATGCCCACCATTCACTAGAGCAGAACAAGAAGTTTAGTATCTCGGTGAAGCAATCTAATTCAAAGGTACAAGGTACCTTACCTGCACACCATGAGGATACCAGGCACGGCCAGCTTCAAAAAGGGCCACCATTCAGTAAAGGCTTCACGCGACCAGCCGCCCCAAGCCTCACTGCCCTTGTAAAAGCGGATGTAGAGCAACAACAGGGCGAGCATGAGCCAGTAACTGATACTCGTAGCCAGGGGTGCACCAATGAAGCCCAGGTTGTAAGGCTTGCCATGCACAAGCAGATAGTTCAAGCCAAAGTTGAGCGGTGAGGCAATCATCAATGCATACGTCGAGGCTTTCATGATGCCCTGTGCTTGCAAGTACTTTTTGATGCCTTCGAATGCAATGAATGCAGGTGCACCCAACAAGAGGTACCGCAAAAAGATACCTAGAAAGACATAATGTTTAGTAAAGTTATGCGGGGTAAATTTGCAAAGAGCGAGAGAAATAAAAAAAGTTTTCTCTCTCTCTCTCTCTCTCTCTCTCTCTCAATGCTGCGGGTGCACAAACAACAGAAAAGCGCTGTAAATACCAGCATGAAGAGCCAACTCCGGTTCCTGATTGAGCGCCAACAGAATTCGTGTAGCGTTCCACCAAACAATGGCAATGGGAATGAACAACACACTCAGAATTGCCAGTGCTCGCTGCAAGTGGACACCGACCAGCGTTTTGTCGCGAGCACCCGTCCATGCCTGTGAGCACAACGTATCCAACGCTGTGGCCGTACCAAATGCCACACTCCATGCCGACACATTTGCAAACATGCTAGCCAATGCGCTGGCTGCAAGTTCAGTCGAGCCCTTGATGATAACAGTAAATAGTCGCATTAGATAGGCAAAAATGTTTACATCCGCCAATGTTTGGATAGATCTGATCCTTAAACCTTACCAGGTGACCCAAGGTGAATATGCTGGCAAGCTGTAGTGAATTTTGTAGCAAATAGGTACCAATCACTGGTAAGCAGTTGAAGAGCAGCCAACGGAACTCAGAAGACCAGCTCCCGTCATTACGATTCCTCGACTTGGGTACAAGTGGGCTGGTCTCAGTGGGCGTTGCCGACATTGAAGAAGTGATCGACGCAATGTCGTCCTCTGAACGCATTTCACTTGGAAGGAGGGAAGGGGTTAGATCGACTGTTGTAGTGGTAGTACTTGTTGGTAACTGTTTACTGCTGTTGCTGCTGCTGCTGCTGCTGCTGCTGTGTGAATTCGAAAGCGTGCTCTCTTGTTTGCGTTTGTTGTGAACAAGGACGACGACGACGACGAGGACGAGGACCAGAGGAGGGGTATGAGCCTTTAATGAAGAAGGAAAGAAGAAGAAACAAAAAGAAGAAAAAAAAATTAGTAGGTCCAGTATAAAAAATTCCTTTTTCTGGATTTCTGACACTCGATTACTCAGATGTGTGTGAGGCCCCTAGTCTCGAAATAAGTATATTTTTTTTTTTTTTTTTTGAGTCAATGTGCCACAAGTCCGCAGTCGTCGGGCCTTTTCATCCGAACGATTGAACGATAAGCGATAGATGATCTGAACAAGGCTTCTCCATTACTAATGGTTCAATGTTTACAAGTCCTTTCTTTTGTTTTTCTCTGACGACCCCCTTTCCCTCATATTTCAAGTTTCAAATATGTTTTATCATGGGTTGGGATCATCCATGGATTCTTGCCAAAGATGGACTTTTTTTCGATTTGAACCCTTTTTGTCCTACCTTCTCACGCTTCTCTTACGAGCCACCCAATCCAGTACTGCTTGTTACTGCGGTGCTTTTCGCCATCCACCAAGTACGCACGTAATATCAGTAATTCAAACCAGAACCAAAACAGCAACGTCCCTAACTTTTCGATCTATCAGTCACAGTTGCACTGTTCGATAGCATAGTTATACAAGTCCTTCTTTTTTGTACAGCCATGATCTTCGACCATGTAAAGAGTCGTACAAGCATTACATGCGACAATGGAAACTATCTTTGTTGAAATTGAAAAAAGGGTTTTTGGGGTATAGTCTACAACATGATGGTTGTATCTGCAACGAGTTTCTCTATGCTCACAAGTCGTCTACATGGAGAATTTCGTTAGTTTGGAGGGGGAGACATCAAGCCCTCATCATCATCATCATCATCATCATCATCATCATATTTTGCTTCAAGATGCTACTGATGATTTCATCATTGTGAAATACTCATTGGATGTTTCTTAGGGCCACGCTCGCTGATGATTGTGCCGCTGCTCTGGTCGTATTATTATTGTTGTAGGTGAGATAATCATTTGACGTGCTGTCGAGTGCACCAAGTGTTTGTGCCTGACCCAAGTACTCCTCTTGTTTTACACATCCTGCATCAAGATCGTGGTTGGAAAGTATGTGGCGCAGCAACCATCAGCTTATGCGTGTACATCGTAATGATATAAAATGTGAAATATCCATACTGTACTTTCAGGGCACGCTGACGAACAAACTTCCCAGTTCTCTTGATTCTGCTACATATAACAAATAAAAAGCAGTAGTTTTTGTATAGCAAAAGGATAGTGTACTACTGTTCCCTTTCCATCCTTATCTTTCCACCATATGACTAATATAGGATACAAATATGAAATTTCGAATCGGTCGGTCGTGTTGCCTGTAGATATCAGATTTTAAGGATGACGCATTTGAACTATGAGGTGGCAGGATTATTGATTGATACTCAATTAGCAGCAACAAGAAGGTAAACAAGATAACGATGGGATTTAATGGTTCCGTCAAAGCGCTTAAATGTGTGGGAAAGGTATGATAGTAAAGCGAAATCAGCAGCTGGGGGCTGGGTATGGTACTGTAATGGGTTAATGTGAAAGGTTAAAAGTATGTACAAAGTGTGTGTGATGGTGGTAGTGATAAGGAAGGGGTATATGCTATTATATTTTTTTTTGATACAAGGATAATCTGGTATTATTATCATCATCATCGTCATGTGCTGATCGAATACGCGTACATGGCTGTTGCAGCAATGACGCTCCATACGCCTCCATACAAGACCGGAATGTTCAATTGATGACGAGCATCCTTAGCATTGTTGTTGCTGCTATGGCCTTCTTGTTGTTGTTGTTGTTGCTGCTTCATCACCATTGCGAGAGCTTCATCCACCAACCGCTCGTCTTTCTCTTGTAGTTCCTGCTGCAACTGCTGTTGCTGTTGCTTGGTAAATGCCAATTCAGCTGTTGTTTGCTCTAACGACCGCGCGTACATTGTGAGCTCCTGCTCTAACTCTTGCACACGAAGCTGATACGCCTGCTGCTGTTGTTCATTCTTGTCCGCATCCTTCTCGTCATCATCGTCATCCTCACTGTCGCTTTGCATTGTTGCCTCTTCTAATTGTTCCTGCAACAAGGCCACCTGCTCTTGAAGTGACTGATTCAAATGCTTCACTTGATCATCGTCGTCTTCTCGAGTCACAATGACTTGCACCAAATCGTCTTGCCTTTCCTTTGATGCAATCAACTCGTTCTCAAGACTTGCCATACGACTCGTCAGCTCCTTGATATGCTCACGGTATTCTTGCACTTGTTGTGCATATTCCTCACGATCCCGGTTGGCCGACGCTAGAGCAGTTTCAAATCGAGCAAGTGATGCTGTATATCTTGCGATTTGGCGCTCTTGTTCTCGAATATGGTCTTTTTGTTCCGAGGCTATTAGCTGTGAGCTTTCGAGTGATTGTTGTAGTTGCACCATTTCTTCGCGTGTTGCTGTTAGTCCTTGCTCGCATTGTGCAAATACTTCTTGCATGGTGCTGTGGCTTAATAAAGAATCGCTCGTGACAACTCGGTCGGCAAGCTTGGATACCTATAGGGTCAAGAGAGAGAGGAGTCATATAAGTGACTGGATGTTTTTTCTATTGTTATCTCGCTCTTTAAGCGCACACACGTGAGTGTCGCGAGGTATACATACAGCTGTAACAGTGGTAGGTGCATTTTTGGAACTTGTCAAAATAAGACTGAGAAGCTGACTTAATCTATCATTTTATCAAATTAGTAATTGTACCACAGAAAGATTGGGGATCTGCATATGTTTACCTTTCTTTGGTTTCGAACTCTTGCTATAAAACAAGCGCACATTAGTAAATTTGTTTGCTGTCCTTCTGAGAGAGCACATAGCGTGCCGCAGTATATACTGCAATACCACGGGAATCTTACCTCAGTTTTCTCCTGCACTCTCGATTGGAGATCAGCAATAGTGGATAGACACTTTTGTAATTCTGAATGCTCATTGATCTATTTCGCAAGCGACAGAATTGTTATTTAAAATTACTGATCCAACCGCTCGCTTTTTCCTTTCTTCTTACCTTTGTCATTTTGGCAGAAGTTCTAATTTGTTTGGCGCGTTGTGCAAATCGCAACGTATTGAGGGATTCATCCTTGGATCGCCATGTCGGATTGATAGTGCAGATGATGGAAATACGTGCATTGCCGGATAATGCGGTTTGAAGAACACGCGTCAAAGTTGAACTTCGATACTGAACGTGGACTTTTTCACTGATGATAGTTGCAATGATGGATCAATAAACAATACGGCTATAGCTCTCTTTTGTATCCCTGTGGCCTCCTGCTATTTTTTTTTTTTTTGCTTTTAAACGCTGCAGAAAAACTTACTTGTGCATTTTTTGCAGTATTTGTGATATCACATTGCCCAACGACAAGAGACTATAAAGGACATAAGAGAACAAAACTTTAGTATCTCTGTGGCGTCCCGAACCCCCCTCTCATTCTTTTTCTAGTGGCGAGTAGTAACAAGACATGTTTCGTTTACCTTTTGTTAATGTAACCGCCTTCTTGGCGTCGCTCAACATCCGAGGTTGCCTTTTCTGAACCAGCCAAATCAATCAAATTCTAAGAATAGTTTCGATGCATAATTTTGCATGTGTGTTTATGAGCTCATATTGCACAATAAGAAGAAAACAAAACTCTGTCGCAGCGATGCAGTATGTGATGCGATGTGATGTATGTAGGCTTTTTTATGTATAATTGTAACAGTAAGGGAGGAAGTGCTGCTTCTTCTACTGTATACACTCGAAAAGAAGAAGAATCACCCACACCAGATTAACTTACCAATTGCGATACACGAACCGAACCTTGATCGGGAACAAACGCAGCCTTATTTCGACTTTCAATCACCTGCAATGCAAGAGACGTTGCTGTTAGTAAACACAGCAGCAAAGACAAAAAGCAGGAGGTTCCCTAAGATAAGCCGCCCTTGCAGCATATCATGAGGGAAAGAAAAAAGAGGGCGCATTACAATTTGCAGGATGGTGTGCGATCGGCTGCTATGCGTATTGTAGTCCGTAGCACTGATATGTCGATTATCTATTGAATGACGCGTGTCACTATTCAACCCCTTCTTGGCTGCTCTTACATATACAAAACACTTGTATACGCGACAACAGAGAAGGGTTTTCACTGACCTTCACCCTTCTTGATAACGTCCAATACTTGTTGTGCAGAGTTTACAATCACTTCACGCAGGTTCTGTACATACACTCCTCTCTGACATACATGGAATGATAACAACACAAAGTGAGTACATGTCGCATCGATAGCAAGCAAAAACTGAGTCAAGTTACCTGTTTATCTTCACGAATCTCTGGCTTGACGTCGTCGTTATCCTCACCAATTAGGTCTCGGATCTTTTCTTTGTAGATTTCAAGGTACGAAACGCGTAACATGAATTCTCGGCCGGGATTCTATTATTGATGCATTACAAAAAGCAAGGTCTTAAAAATCATGCATCCTGCACAACGGCGTATTTTCTTCGTCCTCATTCTTTTAGCACGGAACTTACCTCTTCGATATATGTAAACAACTCATTGATGGATCTAGGAATAACACCAGGCTGTTCTTGTGTACCTGTTGTAGTAGCACATGCATCGCATAAGTCCGTAAGAGGATCAGTTGACCATGTCAAATAACAGGGACCCAACGTGAAGAGAGACATAGACTTACCCATCTACAGATGATATTGTGTAACGCGCCGTCGTCCAACATCATTTTTCATCAGTCCCCCTATCATTTCCACTAGGTATAATCCGTTTTAAACAGAAAGTAATCCTACCATTGTCTAAAAATAACAAGACGAAAATGACGATTAAGTGTTTCATTCTCTGTGGTAATACAAACAATTGCTGATTGTTCAAAGGGGTCGCCGGGGGAGGGGGGAATGAAGGTACCAGGGGTAAGAAAAGACACTTACATAAGTCTTTCCACTTGCAGTTTGACCATATGCAAATACGGTTCCTGGAGGATTTTAAATGAGCATCGTTAATTAACTGACCATGCGCAGAAAGAACTCAGTGTCGAATGAACCATACCATTGTATCCCGCCATCGTCGACCTGTCGTTGACATTGTTGTTGTTTATATGTTGTGTTACATATCAGCCTATTTATGATGGGCAAAAAATGGCTACTACTACTACTGCTACACTGTCACCGTAATAAAAAAAAATTGTTACCTGACAAGATCCCCGATGCCTGTGTCGTACACGAGTTTGTTATCCACCCCGCTGACCACAGCATCTAATTGGAACAAAAGGGGGAACGCACGTCAGTATACCAGACAGAGAAGAAGAAGAAGAAGATGTTGATGACGACAGCACCAAAGCCCACTCTATCCTTCCCTCCTCGTTCGTTTCAAAGAATGAAAGATTACCGTATTGAAACACTGAGCTGTTCTTCCGATTGTTCTGCGGTAGTTGGATCATGCCGGGCTCAGGGCCGACGAGCCAGCAGGGGCGCTCAGCTTTGGTGCGTTCTTCAGAAGAGTGAGGGCGTAGTCGGACCATGACTTGTACGTTTTCTTTGATGGACATGGAACGGGAAGAGCTGGACGGTGATGGAAACAAAGAAGGAGACGACATGGACTCTGGCGAGGATGGTATTAAGGGCGTGGCTGGAGGAGAAACTGGGCCGACTGCGGATGAAGAAGAAGCAGCAGTAGTAGAGGTGGTTGTGAAGGTGGTTGCAGCACTACTGCTCATGGATGAAGTAGGAGTTAAATTAAGTGATCGTGGTCGTATCATCATTTTTGCTGTGTTTGTTGCGTTTTGGTCAGTCGGGAAAAAAAAAAGTAAGGGAAAGGAAGGAAGAGAAGAGAAAAGGATGCAGGCTACAAAAAAATTAAAAAAAGAAAATAGTTTGTGGGACCGGAATCCGCCATCCGAGGCAATAGTCACATGTACACTACTGTGCCGATCCATCTTCTGTGTCTATAAAGGTGAATGTACCGCACGGTGGATGTGTCTGTTTGGATTGTAACTGTGCTGTGCTGTGCGCCATGTCTTGTTGTGGCCTTCTTGCTTCGTCAAGTCAGCTCACTTTTGTATTATTATTACGTATTCTTTATTTACTGAGTATAGCATTACAGTACATGGTATGTTGGTCATTATGTGGGTGGAGGAGAGTTGTCGACGGATGAATACGGAATTTGTCCATCCCTTTACAATGTTACCCTTTTCTTTGCAAAGCCGGCAACATGCTTGCCTCCATATAAATAGTTATGCATAGTCGTAGTGTGATGTGTAGAAGGATGTCGATCCTCTCGAATCTTTTGCAGTAGCCCGTTGTGCGTGTATGCGTGTGTGACAGAACAGACAGCTGTCAAAGCACACCTACTACTTAATCCCCTTTTTCTTCCCTAGTTGAGATCAATGTTGGCGGCGTATCGTTCAATGTCAGAGAATATACGCTGAGTGACATTGTTGCCTTTGCCAGAAACAATCTGCAGGATGTCCGTCTAATACATAACAAACATACAGTGTGCCAGTGTTAATGTTCTCCAGACAGTGTATATTTGAGTCGCATCCTCATCCCACATATGCATTTCATATAACTTACAATCATCTCCCAGTTGCCAAGAATGTCAACGTGGTCGCCTGCTTTTCTGCCACCGCGCACATCCAGCTTGCTCTCGCTCTCCTCATGTTTGTACTCCCTAAGGACCACTGGGATGTGTGCTGGGTTGTAGAGGTCGCCGTGCTTTGTCCATCCACCATTGTTTGGTTCACACATGTATCCTAACGAGAGAACTGGAATCGTACCGTCACTGGACACGTTACCAGGACAAAAGGTCTTTTTATGAATGAAACTGGAGAATGCAGGTCGTCATGTATATTTTAGGGCTTATTGTATGCCTCTGTCCTTACCCGTCCGCAAACCGCACCCCCGTCTCGACGCCATTTATCGGATCATGGGCATCTGGGTTAATGAACTATAATTGCCATCAAAACCCCCCCACCCCATTCCCCAGGAAGAATTAGTTCTCTGTGTATGTGTGTATGTGTTGTGTGAAGCACATTTATTAAAAGTATCTTGTGTACCAGTTCTGGCGGTCGTATCACTTCGTCTATTGTGCTCGATAATGATCCCAGGAACTCTTTGGCTCTTTCTTCATGTTCTTGCTGTGCTTCTTGTTCTCGTTGCTGTGCTTGACACCGTGCGTCCGTCATGTTGCTCTCGTCGCAATACACCTGCTCCCGCTTATCCTGGTTTTTGGCATAGTAATAACTTCGTTCGGTCGGCAGGTTAACACCATACATACAGTAAATCTTCATGCTCGGTGCTAATAGTAGCAAAAAAAGTTGAGTCGTGTGTATCATTTAAGTTTCGTGTACGTTGTGAAAGGAGCTTGCTAAACCATGGATTGAAATACGGTGTGTACACTTACCATTTGGAAGCTGTGTTTCAAGCACATTACTCCACTTTGTTTCATCTCGAGCATTCTTTTTCAGCTGTTTCTTGTCTGTCGATATACCAAAAGAGTAATTGCTGCGCAGCATATCGTGGTACTCCTTGGAACTGTTCTCATGTAATAACTGTATGACCGATTCAGCCGTGTGGTTGCGGATTCTGTCATCCTCAGCGTCCTCTTCTTTAATAGCGTCACTGCTGCTGCTGCTGCTGCTGCTGTTGTTGTTGTTCTCGTTGCTATCACTGGTACTGCTGTCACCACCACCATCACCAACATCGTCATTGATACCATCATCAATGAGTACAGTTGCTGCTGACTCGGCATTCGATTTAGTAAACGAAATCATGTTTCCATAGGAGAGGTGATCGCCCTGAAATCCGAGCACCGGGTCGTCTGGTGCCACGTCGCTTGTTCCCCAAATAAGTTCGCCGCCTTTCGGGAGCATGCTCGATGCGCCAGCCCATGTTCGTAGCAAGCTGGCCCGTTCTCGCCGCGAGAAGAATTTCTCTAACAGATATGCTCCAAAACTGCCTAATGCCATCGTATCACGCGTCTCACCTATCAAGTACAAGAATGCATGCGTGTTACGACACGTTGATCACATGCTGTCTTTGTCATTCGCTCACCTGAAAGCATGGCTGTAAGTGCCTTTGGACATCCTAAATAGGGACCTCCAATGTTCACAAACGTTTCTATATTATCTTCGGTCCACGATGATCCGCCATGACCGTGGTCATCGTCTTCAACCCATTTAAGAAAGTACGGGAATACAATCGAGCCTACAGTTTTATTTATTGAATTAGTTAGCATGATGAAAGTATACACGCATTTGAGAAAACTAGGCCATCCATCCCCTATCAAGTCAGCTGGCGTCCTATCCTGTATGTCTTTTTCTTACCCATTGAATGCGTGATGATAACAGTTTTGCGACCCTCATTACGATTTGCAGTCTCAATAGTTGATTTGAGTTTGGAGAAATATCTGTCGCGAACTTCGAGGTTGGAAAAGGATAGCCGCCAATCGTAGCTAGCCAAGTGCATGTTGTTGCTGTCGTAACCGATGGCAGCAAGATTCTCAATGACTCTTGCCCATACCCAGTATCTAGAAGCGAGTACAGCAGCGTAGAAGGAGATTGAAGGAGTGGATATTTGATCGATATGGAGCGAAACAGGGAGAGTGTGAACAGACAAAAGGGGAGTGTAAATGAGTAGTACATGGTAAAAATGGGGAGTAAAGATTAATTAGCCCGGCGGTTAGAAGCAACAACGACAATAATAACCCGTTTGGTATGCTATCCAACTACTTTGGTATTTCTTTTTGGTACTTTACCCCGTGACGAAATAATCGGCAGCATCAAGACCTAGCCATAAAAATTAAATATATCACACTTGTATCAGCCCTGTTATTGTTGTTGCCAGTATTGCGCCCCTTATTATCATATACACACCTTGAGCAGCCCGTATCTTGATGCCCGGTTCAGGGTCAAGTCCAGTGACCGCATCTAGTTTTAGATGGTCAGTCCAAAGTTCCTTATCCAGAAGAACGGATCGAAACATGGCTACATGATAGATATACACGATGAATTAAGAACGAAGATAAACAAGATCAGTAACGCGAACTAAGAGCTGGTAAAAATGATTCTTGGACATTGATAAATCGTAGTGATAGAACAGATACTGTACTGGTTGTGCCCCACATTCGTTTTCTAAAATACTTTTGACTTTTTTCCGAGACGCCCCAACTTTCGAGACCTGAAGAGATAATCCCGGGTATAAGGACAACGGGGTGATGTGGCTTTAAACCAAGCTCGTCTCTATAACATACACAAAAAATTCCCAAGAAAGGGGGGGAAACAATAAGTTTCTTTCCACATTAAAAAATTCTCAGCAATTAAAAAGCGCGGGGATCTTTTACTTGACAGATAACGCAGGCATAAATGGTATATCACTTGACGGTGATGGTTTGAAGAATCCGGTCACGTTGCCAAACAGTTCATCCACCACGTCTGTGCCAGGCATGATACCCGTTAGGTCAATATCTGCCAGCTGCAAGGCAAGATAGGTCTGCAGTTCATTAAAATGGTTTTGCGCCGTTGGCGTGGTTGACGCTGCACCAATCGCTGCCAAGGCACCGACAGAAACACCAATGATGAAATGAAATCGCTTGCGTTTCCAAAATGGTCGATCGTCGGTCCTGTACAGACCGCTGTCTGCCAAGATATCCTCAGGCGTTTCGGAATCTCTGGTATTCCGTGATGCAGCGCCTACCGATTGTCTCGGATCAAGTGGACGATCGTTCTTTTTGTTGTTGGAAGAAGTGTGAGTCCGTCGTCTCATGGCTGGTGTATATGTATATATATATCTTTTTTCTTTATTGTTTCTTCTTAAGCTGGGAGCGATGATAAGAAAGAGGCGTGCTTTGGGTGTTGGAGCTTGGGTAAAAACGAAATAGATAGGAAAAGGGAAAAAAAGAACGAGAGAGAAGTTTCAAAGATGTCTTTGCCATTTTTAGATCTCCCCTTTGGTATAATTCGACGTAATGGTGACCCAATCTGGCGAGACCAAGAAGGTACCTGAAACAGTAACCCGCCTCCTCCAGATTGATGAGCAATCCGAACCGATCCGCTTTCTAAATAGTATAAAAAGATACTTTTCTTTGTATATTAGGAAGGCGCAAAAAAAAACACATTTACAATGAAAGATAGAGGGAGCATGAGAAAAAGAGTGACAAGAGCGATAGAGAATTTTGATCTATAGGGTGTGTGAATATGTTGTGAGGATGTCGTGTGAGTGTTATGTTGTCAGTACAGACGAAACGAGGTTGATTGATAAGTTCCAATAGATCAGTTCTTGGTCTTGAACGGCACAGAGAAGCCGGAAAGAAGCAACCGACCGTCGGTATTGGTGTATGCAGTTGTGTTGAAAATGACATCGAAGCCGGTCATCTTGGGATAGACGTCGAAGGAGCCTTCGATTTCGGGGAAGAGCGCCAATGCCGAGGCGGGGAAGCCAAGGGCAATGTTACCATTACCGTCACCAGCAGTCAGCTGAAGTCCAGGCCATTCTTTTAAACGTGGCAGCACGATTTCCACCAACTTGTCCATAAACTGATACATTTCCTCACCGCGTAACGTCACCTTGACACCAATCGGCATGCCCTCACTAACATTGTCATCATCAACAAAATTATCAATAAGCACGTCAGGTTTTTCATCCTCCTCACCCCATCCACGCTCAACAACAAATATCCGCTATTACTGCCATGTTACAACCTGTTTACACGCGCCAGTATTCCACATAAAAAAAGATATAATTACCGTAATTTCCAGTTGGCGACCGAAGTGCGAGCATACACAACTTCAGGACGTACCGACGTGATACTCTGGAAGGCCATAAATGCAGACAGCAAATTATGCTTGCTGTGAATGGCGTCCTTGACCATGGCGTGCAATGTGATTTTATCGAGACCAGGAATCGTGCTGGCGCTCTTGGGAGGCTGAATAGGTTTGACGGGTTTGCCACCTTTTCGTGTACGTACAGCATCGGGTGTCACGGTCGTGTTTTCTTCCGTTGATGCTACTGCTTCCGAATCAGCGTTGGTTGCGGCCAGCGCACGGTCGATTTGTACTTGAACGTCGGGATACTTGTACGTCGAGGGCGCTGCACGAGCGTGATCGTATGTCAAGATCATGAGGTCTTCAGAAAGCGTGCTGTCATAATATTCTTTCAAACGCAACAATCCGTGAGACGAAGAAGCAGCGCATTGCGTGGTCGAGAAAAGTGCTCGTCGTGGTGCTGTTGCTGTTGTTGACGAAATAGTACGCGCAGCTCTTTGAGCAGCACTCCGTAGAGCAAAAGCCATGGCGAAGTTATAATGTGAGTGTGTCTTACAAATGTTGACAGGGCTCGCTTTCCTTGCCCGCCACCTCTTTTTTGTTGTTTTTGAAATTTCGTGACGGCGACTTTAACTGTCTTGGTCGGCCCAGCAAAGCAATTCAACCTCGATTTTTAAAAAAAAAAGTCAGCTCAAGCCTCTTTCATCACTCCGCATGACATGAGTTTCGAGGATTTATAACGAGCTTGGTAGTTTTTCGTTTTCTGCTCTATGCCATGCACACCTTACCAGGTGAAGCACGTTTGGGTGACTTGATTGTTTTTTATGGATCTTTTACTCTTAACAGCTGCATAATAAAGCCAGCTATATAGCGAAAAAGATTGTGCCATATCATACATTTTGCCCTGGTAAATGGCTACACAGCTTCATCAGTTGAAACGATGCTACTGCGGTAAAGAGTGTAATGTTGAGTAGCACACGCATTGCGTAAATTGTGGCAAAGTAAGCTATTACAACCATATAATAGAGACAAGGCTCGTTCGGGAATGATATAAGATACTACCTTTCCCTTTCTTTTGTAAACTGCTACTACTTCAGCGTAGAACATCAAAAGATATGACGATGAAATCAACCCGCAGCGGATGCCAACACGAAATCAGCGTATCCACAGAAGACAAGGAGACAGGTGGTGGGAGCAACAGCAATACCAGTAGTAGCAGCAATGGAAAAGAGAGAATGACAACGGCAGCAAGGAACATCCGCTTGATCAATATCTTGTCCTCTGATATTTGGTTGTTAATCCTTCATTATCTCTCAAGTCGCGAACTTTTACGTTGCGCTATCACCTGTACAACTTGGTGTGAACTTCTTCTCCAGTAGCCACATTTCTGGAAAACTTGGACACTGAACTGAAGCTGAGCGTAAAACATCACCAACATGTCGCACGTATCCTTCGACACCAGGAAACTGTCCATTTAATTGATGTGCCGGCCGTGCCACTGTTCGCGCGAGAATACTGGAGTTTACTCGTTGATATGCGACAACATGACACGTCTATAATTGGTAAGCGTCTCTATTTACACAAACACACACGTTAATAGACGATGGATTCTTTGTCAAATAAAACATTAAGTACAATTGAACCTGTTCTGGACATTATATGTGTGTGTGTGTGTGTGCAGAATTCGACGAGATGGAATTTGGTGATTCAAGTGGCCTGGAACCAGTGCTCAAGGCAGCAAATACAAACTTGGAGAAGCTGATTGTCAAAACTGCGATAACGTCCCCGTATATAACCTTTTGATGGACGATTGGCTCGAACCGTGCACAAATCTAAAGCAGCCAAGTCTCCCACGCAGTTGGCCGTGGCCAGAAAGCAGCAAGAATCAAACATCGACAATACCACCTAGATTAGCACAGGAAAAAAAATGTGCGATCATTTCAGCTCTTGTCGCTGCTCCATTTACATGTCTCGGTCAGTCCAGAGCTAGCTTACCTGGTGCCGTATATGTTACGCCGTTGCCCTAATTTGGAATCCCTTGCGCTCGATCCCGAAGATACGGTTGACGACCACGGCAAAATCTTAAACGTTGCTCTTGAATCCTGTCCTAACCTACAATGGGTTGCCTTGGCCCCATGTTGTGCATCGGCTCGAACACCATTTTTTAATGAAGCTCTGGACAACGAAGACTACTCAGAAGATGGCTTGTACGGATTGTTTTTCTGTGGCAAATACCTCCTTCTCAAGGATCCAAATGACATTTATCCGCTGCTGAAAAAAGAGCCACGCAACGCTTCGTGTTCTACATATGGTTTACGAGGGTTCAGCAATGTTCTGGCATACCTTGCACTATCTTGGACAGCTCGGCGTGCCAAAGTTGAAGGAACTGTCGCTCAATACGTTGGATGGCGCCGGTTTTCATACAAGTCGTTGCAATACCACATTTAACTATTGCAACAACAACTCATAAGATGGCAATAATGCTGGTGACGGCAAAAACACTTTGTCGTTCAAACAAGTAATTACACAGCTTATCAAACGAGCACCAGCGCTTCAAAACGTTCATCTTGACTGTGCAGGAGGCAATTTACCACCAGAGCTCAGAGTCACTGAAGCAATCTTTACCGAGTTAGGGAGGCGACAGCATCAATCCAAGCTTAAACGTCTTTTTGCCACCCATTGTTGCGAGCTGGGTTCTCTTGGCAGAATCTGTCGTACACCCAGTACTCGTCTAGAGCAACTTTCATGCGATTGTGGCGCTTTGAACGGCAAAGATCTTCGTCATTTGTTGAAAAAGGCACAGGCGCTTTGGGCTCTCGAGACACTTCATATGTCTCCAAGTCAGCTATACGATCCAGATTATGATCGCTTACGGAGAACGGTTCGTCTACGATGCTTTTCCGACAATGAAGAGACGCGTGATTGCGACTGTAGGGAGCAAAGATTTTTTTCTCCCCAAGACAGAGGATTCATAAAAGAAATACTTGCTATGCGGAAATAGCAGCTACAAAATGGATTACTTAAATTGGCAAATACTGTACCGTCTGCATGTACATCCCTAGTTCTCACCGTTACTGTGTAGCTTGAGTTTATCATATCTGTCACTGATTTATACAAAAAAATTGTTTATCGGGATGTCTATTTAGTTATGTCAGAGTTAGAGCCAGTCAAATCTTGTACGCACACCAGTGAGAGTATCATACATTGACGTATATGCACGATCGATCAACTTCTTTTCATTGCATCATCTGCACGTTTTTACATCGCCATCGTCGTCCACAGTTGTGGTTTCTATAATTTTGTATAAATCCACGACCAACAACAATTAGACAAGTCTTGTTTGTATATATTTATATATATTTTACAAGTGAATCACACACAGACACACACACAAAAAGCGCATCGATGCTATACATGAAAGGCGATCCTTGTTTTTGTTGGCGCAGCAGAGTTGATGCGTTTTTCTCCCTGAACTAAATCAGCACTATACTCCGTACAACATCAAACCAAAGTGAAAATCTGGTATATAGTGTACACGAACCAACAAGAATATCGATCAAAAGGGGTGATTTGATAATTCGCGTCAATTAGATGATGACAAAACTACAGGGGAACTGTAGAAGCAGCAGTCCAAGAATCAAATGACTTGTAAAACTATACAAGAACAACAACAATAATGCATGAATCCGGTAACCCGTAAACCTGAAACGCGGACCAGCATTAGCTTCGGATGGCGATCAAGCTTGAGCTGCACTGGTCTGCTTGTTGTTGGAAAAGGGAGCGCACAAAAGGGACTCGCCTATTGTTAGGCTCATTGTCCAGCTGCTCACATACACTGGATTATCCGAGTAGTGAGTGCTTCCATGACTGAGAACATAGTGTTTAGCCAGCTACTGTGGCAAGTATCCGTGTGCGTTATTTTGATCTTATAGGTGGCGTAATAACGTGGTTCCCCATATTAACAGTAGTATCAGATAGTTGACTGGAGAAAATTCTCTGTTTCCATTTATCTGGTGGTGACTCTCAAAAGCCTGAAAATGTAGCTCATCGCTACGCAACTCATCAGCCAGCAGCAGTGCATACAGCATCCTCAGCACACAATGATCGTTATTCAGACTTATAAAGCACGAACAAGTGGGCGTCTTTATCAAAGCTACTGATCCAGCACGCACCCATGCATGGTAAATCTTGCGAACGGGTCTCCAGCAAAAGGTTGTGAGTAGTAAAAGTAAGGCAAGTCAAAAGGCTATTGTAACAGACTCACAGTCAATCAGACGCTGTGTTACTTCCTCAGTGTATGTGCGGATGATGTAGGATACATGCGAAAAACAAGGATGGTCGGCTCGTACATACCCTCCGAGCAAACTCAATTATTTACGCGAACACAGAAAGTGAAGAAAAGGAGTGTCAAAGTGTGATAAAGCGCGTTGTGATCGTGTTACTGTTGTCTGTCATTGTTCCCCGCTTTGTTTAGCACGGAGCTGTGGGTGGGCAAAAAAATAAGGAACTTGTCAAGCACACGAAAAAAAGGCAAAGCAAAAAAAATAAATAAAGCGGCAAAACGTTTATGAGAAGAGTGCGAAAAGAAAAAGATTGTTTTATTTTGTTTATCATTTTCTTATTTGTGTGTAATAATGTGTGTAATAAATAATAGTAATAAATAATCTGTTCGTTCCTCACCCTCCACTGACCCGCACTGGTACATTGCAGTCATCTCTTCATGGCGGACCACTGAGCCCATCCAATCATCAGAAGACTCTGAACAATCGCCAGCACTGGCACGGAACTGATCATAGCACAGACAGTGACCCCTGCGCATACAGCCCAACGCCTTTCCAAAACGAACTAAAGTGAAGAAAAAAAAAGAAGTAAAAGAAAAGCGAAACTGCTCGCTTTATATAGACGTTTTTTGACTGTCACGCTCGGGACTTCAAAAAGTTCCACCAAGTTCCATGGATTTTCATTGGCTTTTGCTTAAAGGTATGAATTTTAGCATATGGCTCAAAGGGACTATCACAAAAGGAAAGGAAAGGGGGTGTGCTTGGTGGTCATCTAAACAAATGTGCTGCGGCGGTAGTGGTACGTGTCTCTCACCATGCGGAGCTGTACCCTCCGATGGTATCGGCGCTTGTTTGTGAATGGGGCCGTGCACGGCACCGTGTCAAGCGAAAACAAAGACACGAATGCGAATGAGCAAGTACATTCACGGAAGAAATGCTTTTCTGTGAGCAGTAAATGCCAGAATTAGGCGTGACTGACAAGGTAGACAATTCACCATCAGTGAGTATTGAGAACACCATCCACCCAGCAGCCAGTTTACAGTCCTTCAGCCAACAAGGCAAACAGCGTGTGTATATAGCGTACTTCACAGACAAATCCACAGTACTTTAATATTATCTTTTGACTGTGTGTGTGGTACGTAATGTTATGTGTGTGCGGAAAAAGATGCCCCCATCGCTGCACTTTATAATAAAGACCCGTTATCTTCTATGTTCAACCGTGCTCGTCAACTGTTGCTTTACCATTGTCGCTATCCGCCAACAGTTCTCTCCCTCCATCCTCCATCCCAGTTGATGCTACTGCTAAAGTTCTATCCTCCATCCCAAGCATGTGCTGCTGCAGATAAGTTGGCCCGCTCATAAATACTGTAAGTATCCGCTGCCGCTAGTAAATTCGACTCATCCTTCATTGTTTTACATTGCTGCCAATAAAGTAAATCGGTTCGTTGTTTTTGTGCGGTTCTACGTTCTTTTAAAGCAGCGTTCAAGATCCATTGGGACGATCAGAAAAATAACACTACAAACGATGACTTGCTACAACTTTTGACACTTTTGCGCGTAATTTCGTTGCTCCATTGATCACCTTGTTCACTCGCCATCCCTTTGTGCATTTCGCGTGCAAAGTCGATTGGCCAAATCGTTGCGTCACAGTGCGCTTTCACTCTACAAAGTTTTCGTTTCAGGGGAAAGCTGTTGGAACGTTCAAGGTTTGATACACGCGTAACTTCGTCACTATCCAAAAAAGGAAGATCTGCGTTGCTAGACTACCTTTGCTTCCTTGATGATTTGCGTACGTTATGCTTGAGCCTTCGTTATGTGATAATAAAAAAGAAAAGAGAGACACAGCGAATTTACCCCTACTGTTGCCTGTTTTCACAGCAAAATTCACATTGTGTCTCTGATCGTCTCTTTGCACACTTCTTGCCGTTTCCAAATTAATGATGTTATAAAAAAGCCCGAGAGAAAAGTCCTACTCTTTTGCAGTTGCTTTTTATATACGTTAAGAGCACCATTTACTGTGCATTACGTCCCACTTGGCTTAACATGTAGTCCCTTTTGGTATAAATTACGACCCACCTAACTTCTACTGTGTTTTACTTGGCTTTTATGTACGCGTCCAATGATACCAATGCGTTGAGCAAGCCTTGCTTGTGCTGCTTGAAACTGCTGTTCTTGTAATGTTCGGGCGTTGTCGCTTGAATAGTCGAGAACCCTCGCTTATATATACTAAGCATGTGGCTGTAGCTACAGCGCATTGAATGGAGCTCGCTCACGCGTACGTAGCTCGCTGCCATTGTGGACGCCAGCTCGACCACTTTTTTACGCGCCTTGTAAACCCCTTTCAATTTTTTTAGCCAGTTGATGAGCTGTTGAAGCGAAATTGAGTAAGTTAAGTTCATCTGAAATCAGATTATTTAGACTGGTTGTATGCTCCTGACTGCGCCCTGATAATTCGCGCATTCGCTCGCGCAGTAATCCGCGAGCCATCATAAAGTTGGAATTTTCGTAATCTTTAAAAAATCCAAAGACCTCTGCAAACAGGCCGACAATTCATATCGGTGTGACGCGAGAAAAAGAGTGTTTGTTAACCTTTATGTCGTCCTATGAAACTTACATTCGCTGCAGAATCGCACAGCAGACTGTTTTATACAGGGCTCTGTTATGTAAGTGGGAAGTTAAGAGCTGACTTGTTAATTAGTCCAAACCATCAATTCTGGTGATTATGCATATTATGTACGTGCCCTATTATACATTTGAACGTGTCAAAAGTCTATACACAGAGTTAGCAAGCAGCCCCTTTAGATCACAAGCGATGATCTGGAGTGCTGCTATGGTGGAGTAACCAATGGCAAAAAGTGACAGGTGCATCCTTTTTCTATGATCAGGGGCATCGTAAACCAGATCAAATTATCTGTCGTCGCCTGCTTTATACATACTTGTATCATGTAGCTACCACCTGAATATAAAGCGATTACTTGTTCAGCAACCATCTCATTACAGCTGCATAATGGTGAATAGCGTGGTGACTGAAGCAAAGGACCTAAACGATGTGTATATGCACGCACATAGTAACAAAGTCGTACAGTTTACACTTCATTATTGTTATTCCACAGAAAGAAGGTTTTCTGCTTCCGAAAAAGCCGGTTGGACAAGGTGGCACGAGCCTCTTTCTTTTATTTTCTCTTTCACTCCTTCCTCCCTACTTTTCTCTTTTATTACGTTCATGACGAAGCCCAATACAAGGATTCCTTCCTCCGCATCAATGCGTTCCTCAGAGAACGCAGACATTGCCAGTCGGAAACGGCAATCTAGAAAGGACGAGGCAAGTGCATAAGATCGTGCTACTTTTTTCTTTTGTTCTCTTTGTTTCTATTGTTACATATTTTTATCACTGGTGTTATTGTTCTGACATAATAATTTTTTCGTACGACTTTTTCTCTGAACGCTATATAACAGGCAATCCGTAAAAAACTAGAAAATGAATTGTCTAGAAAGAAATCAGGATCGAGTCGATTGCGACATAATCGTAGCAAACAAGTTGCAGGCACCGTGTCTGCTTTGAAACCTATGCAAGCATTGACCGTATCCGAGCGGATGTTGGTGATTGAAGCTGCTCAGCTTATGGCCGCAAAACGAAGCGACTGTGTGTTGGTAGTGGACGAAGAGGATCATTTAAGTGGTATCTTTACGGTACGTTAGGGGATTTTTTTCCTATAATTGCGTATTCGTGGGTGGAGCTGCTTGTCGCATTCCTCCTTCCCCTGAGATATGGCGATCAGGCGCAGTATTTTCGTTGCAAGGAGCTGACACACACGGGAAAAAATTCATATGTTTCTTTCAGGCAAAGGACTTGGCATACCGTGTCGTTGCGGAATCACTCGATGCTCGGTAATGTGATATATATATATATACAACGATATCTATCTCGAAAACGTGAATGGGTCACATTGGATTTGCTAACAAAAACCACGTGCTGCAACGATTCGGTTTACTATAGAGCGACGAGTGTTGCGCAGATCATGACAAAAGGACCGATGTGTGTCACCTCTGATACTTCAGCAACAGATGCCTTGAATCTCATGGTTGCTCGTGGATTCCGCCATTTGGTACGTGATATTCTTACTTAAAGAAACATCCACGTTATGCAAGATATGCGGGAGGCTAAAAATAACGAAATTATGTATCTGTCTTTGCAGCCTGTATGCAACGAGGAAGGCGATATCTTTGGCTTACTGGATATAACAAAGTGCTTATACGAAGCACTTGACAAGATGGAACGTGCTTATGGATCATCCCGCAAATTGTATGATGCGTTGGAGGGCATGGAACGTGAGTGGAACAGCAGCCCGGTGCAGCTTGTTCAGTACATGGAGACGCTGCGCGATCGCATGTCCTGCCCTGATTTAAACACGGTCTTGGATGGCAGCAAACCTGCTGAAGTCAGCGTCAAAAAGAGCGTTCGAGAGGTTACGCGCATGATGAAAGACTTCCATACGACTGCTGTGCTCGTTGTTGATAAGCATGGCCTTTCTGGTATCATTACAACGTAAGTATCATTCGATACAGTTACCATACACTCTTCTTTCAAATTTAATTGATGAACCGATGCATTCCGACAGTAAGGATGTGGTACTTCGTGTCGTTGCTCAAGGATTAAACCCAGATACATGTTCGGTTGTCCGTGTGATGACACCTCATCCCGATACGGCAACTCCACACACCACCATATTAGAGGCCTTGCGACGAATGCACGGTAAATATAGTGATATTGAGAGCAAATTCAGGAACACAATCATGGATGTAATGTACGTGGTGCATGCATGTTTATTTACCAATCTGTTTGCACTTGTTGTAGATGGTCATTATCTAAACCTGCCCGTTCTGGAAGACGGCGCTATTCTGGGAATAGTGGATGTCTTAAAATTAACCTATGCTACATTAGAGCAAATTCACAGTATACAAGGAAATGATGGCGAGGGTATGTCGTCTCGCTGCTATTTGTTTTCGACGATTTTTCCTGTGTTATTCTCGCTCCTCCTTTGATACTAACTTTTATGCCACTTGGCAAACATCAACAGGACCAATGTGGTCTCGATTCTGGGATAGTTTTGGTGACGGTGATAATGAATCACAAACCTCTGATCCAGCTATGTCATCACAGCCTACCACTGTAAACTCGCACTTGAGAAATGTGGCTGCTACGACCATTTCTCCAGAGCCACCGAGGTCGCCGTTCCCTGAAATCACACCCAATGAATCAGCAAGCATGGTTGCACACAGCGAAAACCGTCGTAATTCGTCACACCATGACGATGCGCGCTCAAGCATGTCAGCATCACGTGTTACCAGCAGCAAAGACCTTTTTGCATTCAAGTTCACAGCTGCCAGCGGGAAGACACATCGCTTCATGTCACCCAATAACAGCTTTTCCGAGCTCGACAGGATTGTTCACGAGAAACTAACCGGGGAGTACGACGGCGCAATTCATATCTATTACGTTGATGACGATAAGGATGAAGTGCTTGTTACCTCGGATACGGATGTGATTGGCGCAGTGCAACTGGCTGAACGCATGGGGTGGAATCGTGTGTTGCTCAAGATTGGTCTGGAAGTGGCAGAAAACAAACGAAGATCCATGCAGCAGCAACCCAAGGATAATCACAGCCGTCATGACCGCAATCCTCGAAAATCGTTGCTTCGTCAAGATATGATGCTTCCTGCAGCCATTACGTTCCTTGGCGCTGTCATCATTGGCGTCGTCGCATTTTCTAAAACCAGCTCCAATAATCGCTACTAAGTTCCAATAGATTAGTATGACTCTGACTCCCTTTTAACGATACTACCATTATTTATCCCAAACAAAACCTTCTTTCACAAATATATACATCGCATACATAAAATAATATTTTTTTAAAAACATTTTTATCATTAGTCCTCAATAACATAATGCTGGTAGTGAAGTAATGGTGGTGTTGTTTTTCAAAGTATCTACAGGTTTTATTTATTTACGATTGAATTCGTGAACCCTTCCTGGTTTTCGGGTTGGCGAATAAGATTTCTACAAAGAGCAGAGGGTACTCTTCAGCCTTTTTAAAGAATCGTCGAGTACAGTAACGTATAAAGTGTACTAATTCAGACATAGCACTAGTTTTCGGTAAGGATGGGTAAGTACCGACAATCCGGTTGAAAAGCTCCAGAACGTTAATCTAAATATACGTTTTAATTAGTGCACAAGAGAATTATTTCACTCGACTAACACCTATCTGATTATTACCTTGAAAAATACATGTTCGACTTCTCGTTTGACCATGATACGATGGAATAAGCTTGTGATACAATGCAGGGTTTCCGGTGACAGCATTTCAAATCGTTCCAGAAGAACACAGTATACTCGAACAACATCAGACGTAAAGTATTTCTTAAAAGTTTGGCGCCAGTTAACTTTAACAGGTTTTTCCGTTGAGGAAGTGTCAAAAGCATTTCTTACCTTTTCAAATGACTGGAACTTGAAAATATGCTCTCTGTATGCCAACTCTTGCTCTCGTTCATCCTCCTCATCGTCGCTGTCTCCACTACCATACGCTGCAGCATTTGATTCTGCTGCGCGTCCTTCAACACCGGATCCCTCTAGAAAAAAAAAGGATTTTGTTAGTTAGAAGGGCACTGTAGATTCACTGCATACCAGAGATGCTACCACAAGAAAAGGGGCTGCTCACCTTGTCCATCTGAAGATATTTTTGCCTTGGTATTTTTCTTCTTACGAACAAACATCACTTGATTCTTTTGGGAATATTGCTCGAGTAATTTCAACATCACATGCGTCAGCTTGACCGTACTCTCGAGATACCTAAGTGATAGCGTCTAGCGTAAGTTTCACTGATATTCATTCGTCTTAAGGTACATCTGGTACGTAGCGACGGTAGTCAAGGAACATATAACTAACCCATAAGATTGACTTTTATACTTGCGGATCAGATCGATAAAGAGGTCTAATGTGGCGTGCTCGTGATATATGTTGCTTTGGATATACTCGGCGACTTCCCGGAACTCTTCTTGTGGTGCCTTTGACATGGCATTCACTGTCACAAGCTTCAACTCTGAATCAGCCATCGATAAAATTCTTTTCACTTCTACAACGAAACACCTACCAACTGTCTGAAATTATCCGCAGCAACTTGAACGTGTAACCATAACTACAAAGAGCATTAGTTTCAGTGTCAAAATATACCCAAGCAAACCATAGATTTATCGGGCCTTACTTTTTGATCCATTGCCGTTCGCATCCACCGTAAGCAGACCATAAACGCTCGTAAATCCATAGCACTTGCCACTTGATCATAATCAACTCCATTCTGTTCTTCTTCTGTCTGTTGTTGCTGTTGTTGTTGTTGTTGTTGTTGACTTCCTTCTGCTATGTCAGCGAATGAACCAACCAAACCACCGGGCCCGCCGGAATCAGTTGTCATCCGTCGTGGTAAGAGTAATTCACCATTGTTGAATACGCCATCCTTCTCTTTCTGTTTTTGTCGTTCTTCTTCTGCTTTTCTGTTTGCAGCATCCTTTTCGAAACTAAAATATTCCAAGAACCATCTCATAGTGTGGAAAAAGTGCACATGATCCTTGACGAGAAATTTCGGATCTTCTCGCTCAATATCCTTGATCAATGACAGATAAAATTCTAATTAGAAAAAATCAAAGTTTTTAAATCAATTTGTTTCTTTTTTATGTGGGGAAACTTTCTAAAACGAGAATATTCAGAATGGAACTTTCTTATATTTACCATTAAACACAGCATCAATAAATGTCTGTGCCATATCTTTTAAATTCTTCAATGCGATGCTGCTGATATATGTCTTGCGCACATTGATTTCGTCCTACATAGAAAATAATGGAATGCATGAATTAACAATGCCCGATTTGATGCTAATTTGCTCGTTTACTTCCTATTAACTTACCATTTCCTTTCGCTTTTGTCCCCTTCGATCTTCCTTTTTATTTACATTGAGAAGTGAACTAAGATCGGCATATGCAGCATCAGGTTTGTGCGACACCAAAGTGTTTCCATCCTGAAATGACATTATGTGTCCGTCATGATTAATGGGTTCCTTCTCTCCTTAGTTCTGCACTCGACTACCAATAAATATCATTCTTCACTAACATACCCAGCCTTTGATGGCAAAACTGCCTCCAAATCGATTGTGTCTCGTAGGTTGATTTTGTGTTTTAATCCGCTTGACTCGATTTTCTTCTCGAAGCAAATTTGCCAGTTTGTCTGAAAGCATATTGGTATTGTCATTCTATCAAAAGCATAGTTAGCATTCCCGTTTGTGTCTTTTGTGTTATAAAGCATATCCAGAAGCGAATTTTACCTCCTCATCAAAGCTACCGGTAAATACATCCTTGGGGCTCACATTCCGTAATAGATTGTACATGATTTCCAGTACAATGACATTCCATTCTGCAGCGTCCGGCTCACCACTATTGGACGCAATAGCCAGTAGCAGATCCATGATCCCTGTCTCGTGAAACCGTAATACTGTTTTTTGCTGCATTTTCCAAGTCACAGTCGATAGATTAGAAACACCTTTTATACATAGTACCTCTCTTCTTTATATTATTAATTTCGATGCGCACCTGCATATAAGCCAATCGCAGAGTTTCTTCTGTTGAATCCTGTGAAGCATTCAAGTCGGGAATAGATGTGATATTGCGGAAAAAGTAAAGGACAAGGCGGATCACTGTTTGATCATGAATCGAACGTTCGCTGTATTACACAGTGCATAAGCATAGTTAGTTTTCATTTTTATCATCCAAAAATCCTCATTGTCAATGGTAAAGAAGGAGAGTTATCTTACCGGTAAGGGATGCTTAGAGGACCTGTTACTAGGCCTGTGATTGCTTCGAAAACACGTGGCGCTAAAAGAGCAAGTTTGTAACGACGATATCGGTCCACTAAGTTTGGGTCGTAATTCTCAAGATCTTCTTCGTCATCGTATTGTATGGGCCATGTCATGGGAACGAGTAATTCAACTAGGTTGGGTATCACATTTCGTTGAATATTGGCAAGACTTATTTTTGGCGCCTTTCTCTTTCGTTCTTTTCGATATTGTTACGTTTTATTTACCACAAGCAAGAATAAAACGCTCAGCCAGATCGGACGAATCACGCGCATGGAGCAAGATAATGGGTATAAGATCGGTTTCGATCAAATTAAATTCGGCAATGGCAGGCAGAAACGTTTTATAAGGTGTTTGGCTTTCGGCACGAATAGCACGCTTCAAATCCTTCAAACAGCCAAGGGCTTCATCGCCTAGCATGTACACCTTTTGGAATTCGCCAGGACTAACTTCTTTATCTTCAAATCCACCCAAAGCAGCACAAGTTGCTAAGATATAATTGCGATTGGTTTGTTTAATGTCGTTGACTTCGTCGTCCATGGTGGATGTCGCAAAGTAAAAAAGTACGGTAAAAATGGGAGAGTGAAGGCAGGAACCACACTATGACTGACTGACGCGCTTGCGCGCACATAATTTGAAACGCGTTTTTTGGGCTCCACGCGAAACTTTCGGAACGGACGCGTTCCGTGGAAAAGATCCATTTTTAAATTTCTTCATCTTTCCTCGAGTGCTTTTTCTCTGAACCTAAATGATATCGTACACTATGTGGAAGTGGCAAATGTTTAGTACTACGATTACAGCTGATTGACATGGTATTTTAGCTGTACAATAAAACCGCTATATGTCTCTCTTGTCGCTTCGTTTTTGGTTGTGTACAGTAATGATAGTAGTAAATGATGGAAAAAAAGGTCGGATGAAGAGAAGAAACATATTGTGTTCGATTACTAAGGGTGCCTGATGAACAAAGGAACCATAGAGGTAGTAAAATTGAGCTCTAGAGCTCTTAAATTGATGAGTATAAGACATAATCTTGCATGGAAAGGAGAAGTACCTTTCCATCCAGGCTAGGTACTTCCATGTAGAAACAAAAAATGATATCCCGACGGGATCACTAAGCGGGGATTTTGAGACAAGATTTCCATGTATAAACCTGGTAAAGCCTGTAGATAGATATATATTGTGTATATATATATAGCTCATTCAGGGTGCAGTTTTACAGGGTCTAGATTTATTCTTTGCACTTTTTTTCTTTACTGTGGGCCTACCGTTGATGCCTCCATTTTACATTTATGCCTGTCTTTGATCCACCACTGATACAGTATATCCGTGACTATCCATCCTCACCAACTTCGGCGGCGCGGTGCTACCGCAACGACCTGTCATCATCAACATGTTCCTCTGCTAGAAACAGTAACAACAGCATCCCACCTGCCCCTAATAACAACAATACCAACTCTTCTTCTGCAACATCACCTTCCAACACAACACCTACAACAACCGATTACGAAGATTTTGAAGATGAAGAGACAGAAGCTACCTGCGGCGAATGCGGACGACCACTAGGCCCTGGATGGCAATGCGAATCATGCCGAAGAAACTGCCCTCATTGTAATCGAGCCTTGACCACGGATCCAGACGACTTTTGCGAGCGATGTTTTCGCAAGTGTGACAAGCACAATATCATCTATAGTATTGTCGATCCCGGGTCGTTGCCGGCTGGGCAAGAAGAAGGTTCCAAGTGCCCAGAATGTCGCAAGGTCGAACAAGATCAACAGCATTAAAGTCTTTATTATTTATTTGTTTCTTCTGTACTAATTAGTAACTTTGCCTTTTGTTTTTCTGTAATATTATTGCCTAATCTTTTTATGTGTCTTTAAAATAAATTTTTATATTTGCTGGTCAAAAATCAAAAAAAAAAAAAAAAATGCTGGGAAATCTTACTCCTTTGGGAAAAGAGACAGAGAAGCCGGAGACAAGCTGTCTACTTAATTACTACCACTATTACTACTGCATTGAACATGCTGTCTCAATGCGTCATTCGCACCCGATACCTTACCCCTTTTAAAATAGTCATTCTGATCCTTATTAACAAATTCTGTCATTATGAATTACCGCCAGCTGTCAATCCTAAACTTGTTGGATTTATTCTCGACAGCATTGAGGTCAGCTTTCTTCTTTTCAAAATAGATCGCGTATTTTATAAACGCGCCTACCGCGTTTGTATTCACGAACACCAAACAATTTCTCTGTAGACATGTGACACACAACCTGAATATAATCTCGAACAAGTACTCAGTGAATTCAAAGAATTCACTGAAGAACTGGTGGAAGCGATCCGTTCAAGTGTAAATATGGAAATAATGAAATAGTAGGTGAAAAAAAAAGAGAGCTAAATATGCTGTGTTACTCTATATAGATTGTCGCTATTGACAAGCCATATACCTTGTTCCAATTCCTATCTTGTAGTTTGCAATATTTCTTTTAGCCATTTACTGTACTAGTAGTGGTTGTGAAAGTACACTAAAAGTGATCAATTTCTCTAAACAGCTCTAATCGAGATTCTGGAGGAAAGAGACAACATGGTATTATAGCACAAAATCCAATCATTTTAAATATAGTCGTGGGGAAGTATTGTTACTGAATACGCTTTTCTATACAGATGGACCCAGCAGATATTGCTATACTGGATAAAACGAGTCTCTTTGGAATCTTTGTACGTCGATGTCGCTTGGAGTTCTCCAAATCATCCATGCAACAACGTACCGAACTGTTCACAATCTTCCAACACTATGTGATGGCCAACAACGCACGTTCTATGGATACTGATATGGGGTCTATACTGATCAAAAAACCTTCTGTGCTTGCATCCAAGGATGAAGGAAAACTCAAGCAGGATGGTATAAATTGTTTTCTGGTCGCATGATTACACACAATATATGTTGTCGCTCAGCTTATGATATGTTGTTACTGTGGTGATCTGTTTAGGGTGGTGGTTTTCAGATCACAATGTGGATCGATTCTTGACAACGGAAGCCGAAAAGATCGAAAGTATGCAGTATCCGTTTTTCAAAAATACGTAGATGATAACACCATTTGTACGTTTGTGCTTAACCAGTTTTTGCATAACATGACGCTGTTTAGAAACTGGTACTAGCGAGATTCCGCCTGCCGTTCTACACAACTATCTCGACTTTTTGCAATCTCATGCACCCGATATTCGCAAGATTGATCAAGTGCGGTAAAGATAACGGCCACATCTCGTCTTCACGAAGCGACAAACCTTGCTGACCTTGTAATGATATTAGCTTCTATAATTACATTCGAACTGGCGAATACCAAGGTGCGCTGACAAGTTTACATCGATTTTTCGATTATTGCTTACTGAGCACAGAAACGTAAGGATTAATTTTTTATATACGCATATAAAGGTTGTCTGACGAGTAATGAATTGGTTACCCACTATTATTGTTGTCATCAGGCCCATGTACCAATATGCACTTCTCAGCTTGGGAGTTCTCGAAGCCAAGTTTGGTCATGCACAACAAGCACTTGCAGTATGTTTCTTCTCTGCTCAAGCCCTTCTACCGAAAAAAAATAGAGTTATACACCTGATTAATCATTCTCTTTTGTGCCTCCTTTCGTACCAGGCACTGAATGAAGCACTAGACATTGCACGAGAGAATCACGATGAAAACTGTTTAAACGAGGTTCTCAGGTATTACAGAACAGAATGCAGTGTTCTGTAGATGATATGATTTGTAGAAAAAAGACTCACTATAATCTTCTATATAGCTGGATACGTTTCATCAAAGGAACCAATTCGTCACTTGCCGATCAATATCCGACGTATAGCTTAGCAGACGAGTCGAATCCAAATGTCGTATATCTCGAGTGTTTAGATAAACTATCGCGGGCCAGAGAAATGATACGTCGGGTATGTAGCATCCGAAACATTCGGTATTCCAACTCCAAAAAAGATACCATTTTCCTAACAGCAAAGAATTGATAAAATAGGGTGACTCGGCTAGCAATGTATTCGAAGCTATTCATAGTAGCACCATACGAGGATCTGCTGGAAGTATTGAATACTTGAACAAGCTGGAATATCTGACGAAGGCCGTTGTGTGGGACTTTTATGGTATATAGTGAAACCTGAATTCAGCAGCCATTTTTTATAATTATTACAGCGAGTTAAATACTGATTGTATTTCTCTTTTTTTTTGTCAGGCGATCGGGTACAGTCCAAGGTCTATCTGGATATTGCACTTGATATAACTGAAGGTGACATTGATAGCGTTGAGAAGACATTTGTGCTTGCTGCAAATATGGTAAGCTGGATAACTTGCAAAGAAAGTATTTGTCAAAAATCTCACTACTATCGTGGGGGAAAAAGCATGCTTCAGTAGGCGAATATGACAAGGCTGTCCAGCTGCTCGAACAATTTGGAAGGAAATACTCAGATCAAAGCGTGCAATTGCTGACATGGAAGCAAGCGTTATGTCGCTACAAGCATTTATTGGCAAAGCAAACGTATGTATCTTTCTTTGCAATTTTCTATATTTTCTGGCAAGAGTGGATGACATGTTCTGATAAGGTATTTTTATGACAATTTAGAAAACAGCATCAAGATCTTGCCTCTCAGGAAGATTTGATGGTGTACATCCAACCACAAATGTCAGAAGATCGGTTCGAGGCACTTGGGCGATTTGCAGAACAGAAATACAGAGAAAAACACCCGGAGGAGGTACGATTTAATCCAGATACGCAGGACATCGTTGGGATTATGCTTTGGAAAGACTAACACACGTATTATCAGGCTTGTCTGCTTCTACAAAAGTGCTACGATGTGCTCAAAAGGTCTAATCATCCATCACAACTCGCACAAGTAATGACTGATTGGGGACGGATCGATTTGGTAAGAGAATCAAACCCTATTCTACATGCTGTCTTGTTATCAGATCGTTTTTGAACTGTAATCCTCTTATACACTCCCTTCTTTTATTTAAAATTAATAAAAGGATCGAGGCGATGTCGACGGTGCGATGGAATGGCTTCGAAAGGCGCTGGACATGAGCAGTAGAGCATGTGACTTTGACAGATACTTTACATCAGCCATTAAATTGGCAGAAGCGTATCTTGAACAAGCCAAACCAAAAACTGCTATTTATATGCTCGAAAGCATGCTTCCGCAGGTATCTATTACTAAAGAGCAACGCCGACTATCAAGTCATAATACTTTGCTTTAACTTCGTTAAAAAAACACAGGTACTGGCACATGGGTCTCTAAAACTACAGGCGGATCTCCACTTTGCATATTCAAAGGCACTTATTGAAGACGAACAAGTGGAAACAGCATTGCATTACCTCGATCAATCTGAACAAGGTACTCTTTGACAACATTTATGCACCTGACTAATATCTCTTACTCACTTTCACTATTTAACATCCTCTACAATCAGCATACCAAAAAATTGCCTCCCATACCGACATTCAACAAGTAACCTGGCTTAAGTCGTTTCTAACTACTGCTGCATCATAATGAAAGGAAGAAGATATACATGTACAAAAGCTTATTCTAAATGAAAAAAGTTATAAGAAAAGGAAGTGGATGGAGACTAGAGTAATGATGATAATGCATTGCAACAACTAGGAAGGGAAAAAGAAAGAGAGATATTACAAATGAAAGGAATAAGAAAACTTTTCTTGTTTGTGATGATGGATGATGGGGATGGTCTATCGCTTGACTCGGCCGGTAAATGTGACCCTGGGTCCTTTGCTTCGACCCTTCTTCTTGATGACCTTTCCAAGTGGCATGTATGCGTATGGATCAGCCTTGTTCTTGGATTTGACATCACCGCCGGCTCGTTTGGATCGATACTCCTTGCCGATAAGTTCGTATTGCTGCTTGGCAGCGCGCTTCTTTTTCCGCTTGTTTTCACCATCGACATCCATGGCGTCATCATCATCATCTGCGTCCTTACCGCCCTTTTTGAACTTGATCTTGTTTTGCTCGTTACGAACAAATCCATCCGCACTTTTTTGTGCTTGCATGTAGAAATCTTCTTCCTCTTCATCATCATCACCATCGCTATTGCCTGCATCTCCCGGCTCGTTGAACACCATACGACCTTCATCGTCATACTGTGCAGACTTGGCCAGGTTTTGCTTCTTCTTTTGTTGTGGTTTGGTAGAAGTAATGCGAGCCAAGGCAGAGCGATCCAAGAAATCCAATGGTGTGTCATCGGCACCTTCACGGATAAACGTGTCTGCATCTTGTTTGTGTGATTTCTTGTTGTTGGTGGCACCGTTCTTCGAGGCAAGTGCTGCCTTGACGTTGGAAATCATCTCGTTGTCTTCATCATCGTCCGAGCCTTCCAATTCACTTTCACTGCCATACAAGACTTCTTCGTATGCGTCGTGGAAACCAGCACCGACCTTCTTGGCAGATGCACGAGCAGCATTGTCTTCTTCGTCGCTGCTTTCTTCACCACCGGCAGCAGCGGTCGCTTTCTTTCTCTTGGCACGCATGCGACGCTTTTGAATGTTGCTGATCAGCTTTTTATCTTCTTGAGGCACAGCCTCTGATACACGGTCATATCTATTTTTTTGTCAATAGATTAGTTTCACCCTTCCTAGAATGATGACGGCAACAACTAGATGTATTTACCCGAATCGTCGGATTAGGCGCTCAAAGATGTGTCTGATCTTTGGCTTGAAGTGGTTGCGCGTTTGATGGCTGCACTTAAGCAGGCTGTCCACAATATTTACAAGTTCAGGGCCTACCAAGCTGTCATCCAGCACGACAATGCACACCTTGGCATAACCCAAAGCGGCACGCACAATTTCACGGTTGTTGGCAGCAACAAAGACGTTGATCGTCTGCATCAATTCCAAAGCCAAATCAGGGGAGATTTCATCTGTGTAAACCACAGAGTTTAGAGGCGACAATTCAAGTTTGGCACAGATAAAAGCAGATTATTTGTTCCTTACCCTTAAATTCGAAAAAGATACGTGACATGGCGGTAATTGTAGCAGCAATCATGTGCGCGGTTGTACCCGCCAAACCAGCAGTGACCATGGTAAAATACTCGCCAATAGAGGCAGGAGCTGAATAATAATTTAGTTAATTTCAAAGATATTCCATCTTCTTCAATTATAACTTTTCTGACTCAACTTACCATCAGGAACAGCTTCGTCCAAACCTTCCAGTTTGCTGTTTTTGACAACACCACCCTGCTTCATCTTTTCGCCCATCTCGACGAGTAAACTGAAAGCAACATTACGAGTCTTTTCGTTGCTGTCCTTGGAGCTAATGACAGTTTCTGACAAGATAGCAGGGATAAAGTGCAAGTCGCTGGATGGGAGAATTTGAACGATAGCAAGCAATGCCTTGATACGGTCTTTGCGAGCCGAGACGGTACATGATGCTGTAGCTTCCAAAACCTTGGCCTGTAATTCGTCAATATGGTTCAAGGCAACTTGACGGCCATTTGGCGAGTCGATCAAATGCTTGAGGATCTTGTAGCCCTTCTTTTGCAAAGGAGGCTCGTTTTCTTTGGCAAGCAAGGAAGTGACAGTGCCATTGTACAGCAATTCTACGGATTCAGCATCCAAATAAGGAATCATGACCACAGCAAGGTCCAACATGGTGTGAGACATGGGTGGAGGCATTGAAGGGTCGTTTGCAGGAGCAGCGGAAGCGCCGGATTCCAATGCTTGCGACAAGAGACCCAAGACCTTTTTGAAAGTCGAGTTAACGTCTTGAGGGGTAGCGATGCTCAAGTAGCTCTTGACGACTTCAGCCAAGAAACCACGGAACGCGGAGGCAATCTGACTGTAGACGTTGAAGAATACAGCCAAGTAGTTGACAGAGAACTTGCTCATGTGCTTCAAATTCTCGTTGGCTTGGGTCTTGCTTACGCCATAGGCCTTTTGCAAATCTTCGTCACTAGCAGCCGAACGAACGAGAGCTTGGTTCTTTTCGACCAAAAACTGCAGCGATTGGGCAACGGTGGGTCGCAACTCGGGTTGAGAGTAAAGCAACGAGCTAAATCGTTCGGCGATGCTGTCGTTGAATGCCTCACACAAATCCTTGGGAAGGTCGCAAAAGCCGGGCGCAAGACTCCAAATCTGGTTGACAAGTGTCTCGTAAACCTTAGCCTGCAACGCCATTTCGCGACCTGTAGCCAACTGTCCCTTTTCAGCCAAACGATCGCCAAGAGGAATCAACACATTGACAAAGTACGACAGGTTGGTGTTGGTAATGTATGTCTTGAGGAGAGGCAACAAAAAGGCACGGCCGACACCTTCGCCTTCAAGGTTGAGGGGTAGAATCGATAAAAAGTTCTCGGGGCCCATGGTTGCAATAGCAGCACCCAAAGTCTTGTCCAACTGTTCCTTGTACGATTCAGCTGGTGCCAAACGCAGCTCACCCAAAAGTGCGACACATCCATTCATCAAGGGGGAAGAAGCAAAGTGCAGACGCTTGAACAAGGCTTGCTGCACGCTCATCACTTGAACCCAAGCAGGTTGGAAATGTACACCCAAACCGCTTTCGACGACAGATACGATTTGCGTCACGCCATTCTCAACGCCTTGGCTTGCTTGAGCAACCATATCGTCCGTAACACAGTAATCGAGCAGTGCGATAAGACAGTTGACGATGGATTTGTAGCTGCGGGACTCTTGTTGGAAATCATTGAAAATGACGGTAAAAACAGTAGCGATATCGGCACCACATTGACCTGCGTTGATCCTAAAACCAAAGAACGGACAAACACATGTCAACTCCATCTACTCTTTTTTTTCCTCTCTTTCCAACTGATGCACGTTGCGGAAATGACACTTACTTTGCATAGGCGGGGTATGCCTTGCTGATAATCATGAGCCAAGTTGGCAGCAATCGATCATCGACAGCTGCAGGTTTCATATCACAGATCGACTATGGAAGACACATTGAAATGTCAGTTTTAAAGCTCGCGTACCCTATGTAACAGTAAACAACATCACACGTACCCGTAACAATGCAGCAAACTTGGGCTCATCGATATCAGTTTCCTGGGCATCAAAAAGAGTTTCAAAAACTTCAAAGGTTGCCTTGGTGAGGAAGATGTTATTGAACTTTGGGAGCTGGAGCAACGATTGGCACAACACCGAGAATTGATTGGGTGGCCAATAGGGAACAATCGATTGCAAAAGAGCCAAAATCTGTTGAGTGGCATGCTGATCATTCTTTGTCGTTTCCTGCAAAACGCGCAATATGAATTCGGCTGTGCCGTTGGCTGCGGGGTGGACAGTGCAGGGTGGTGGTGAACGAGACAAAATGTTTCGAACGGCGTCTTGAGCAGCTTTGCGAGCCTGTTGTACGGTTCCCTCTTCTCGTTTAGTATTTCCAGCTGCGTTTTCTTTTCTTCCTGACAAACATTGTTTACCTTGGGCGATGCATTGGCACTGAGGATCAACAGCATTTGATATGCCTTCTTTGCCATGGGCATACCCCAAACTGAAGCATCCTGGTTGGCCAAGAGTTCTTGCATACAGCCAATGATTGAACGAACGACCGGTTGCTGCTCCTTATTCATTTCATAGACACCCTCCAAGATTGGCATAACATCGTTGAACTTGGATCGAACTACAGATTGGGGCAAACTATAGACAAACAGATCCATGTTTAGCGCGCTCCCTCTCTGGACCATAACTCCTACTCCTTTCAAAGTCATTAGCGCACTTACTCTGGGAATACAACATCCAGCAAGTAAACCAGTGCACCCGCCACTTCACCTTCGGCTCCTGTGGCTTGCAATGTTGTCATCTGCATATACGATCGATACGGAGTAACACACAAAGAATTAATTTTTCTCGGTTCACTGGTTGACGTGCATAACAGAACTTACAATAGCACCAAAATAGGCCACCGGGGAGAGTGCACCATTTTGTTCACGGATCGTCTATTATTGAATCATCAATATATAGTTCTAAATCGTACAAGAGAATTCATATTGTGTCCAAGCAAACCTCTTCAATGGCAATCAAAGTCCGTGCATACTGCAAATGTACACAATAAAGTAAGTTTCCAAACGCTTGACGAAGTTGAAAGAGCTCCCAATTGCTCGCACATTATGACAAAACTTACAAGCTTCTGGTTCTCCAATTTGGAGTTGACCTGCTTCCTGATTTTCTCAAACTTGGCCTCCATGGAGAGAGAAAAAAAAGTGCAAGTTGGAATGTAGTAGATCAGAGAGATCGAGGCACCAAAACGAGCAAAAAGAAAAAAAATTGGGCGGAGACAGCAGTTGGCTTAGCAGTCTCATGCTAAAAAAAATTCATGCTACTTGTCAGACAATGGGGTCGGATATTCTCATCGCCCAATAAGTGCATGAGCCCATTTTGGTTGATCTTAAAGGTTGCGCACCTTGACTATCTAGATCAAATATTCCCACACGTATGAGCTAAAAGCCATACATTGAGCTTGTCGTGGACCATGCTAATAAACTTCGATCGTATCAAAAGACTATAATTGAAACCACACTCCGCACCTGCCAACCAGATCATCAAAAAGCGGTAGTAAACGGTAAGTACAGTTACAATTTACACAAACTGTCTCCACTTTTCGTTTATTAACATTTTAAAACTCTTTTTCAACATCACACTGATATAATCGCGCACATCTTTGCGTCTTACTACTGTATGCATTAATGTACGGTAGCGTCATCAACTTAATAGTGTTTCCGTGTGCTTGACAGAAGTACCTGCCTATTATCAAGAACTGGGTTCCGCTGCTATATGAAACGACTAACCCAGTCTATCATAATGGAAAAGAAAATTGGCCATAGTCTCGTTCAGTGATCTAGCACGAACATAAAAAAGTGTACTCTATGGTGCTCTAATATACATACTGTATGCACAGTAAGGGATGTAAAGACGCAACATTATTATGATATATATAATAAATTCCCATAGCTGCCGCCATCTCATATAACAGCAACAGGAACAATGACGACCACAGAATTGCTCTTATGAAACGTCACGAAAGGAGCACGGGCAGATGCATACACGAATAATATACCGCGACGTTTGCTAGTATAGTACAGCTATATGTTAATTTAGCTTCTTGAATGCTGTGTATGAGAAAAAAAGAAGTGGAAATCCTCACTCTGCTTTACAATCACGCAAATGGCGACGAAAAGAGCACAATTCCTGGCGTCAGATGTCGTACTATCACTTTTAGCGCGCGTGTCACCTTTATTTTTTCATCTCTTTCTCATACATATATTATTACAAGAAGACGAGCAGCACAACATGTCCGAAAAAGCAACTTTGGCCGGCGAATGCTTCTGGTAACAATATGGCTTCGACTTGCTACTACTACCTGTACTCCTGATGATGCGCACAGTGGTCACTACTGTATTCACTATGTAACAAAAGAGGGTCGTCGTTTTGTCACTGATCTCATTAGGGGAATCGAGCACGTATTTTGAAAGGAATATGAAAAGAACCATATCAAAAAGAAAGCCGGGTACACTGGTGGAAATACTGACTCTCCGGATTATAAGCTGGTACGCTGTTGTACGCTATGTGACATTGACATCATCGGCAACATGAAGTCGAACAAAAACAAGAACTATGTAAAATCATGCACTGGATCTCGTTGACAGGTTTGCACAGGAACCACCAATCATGCTGAAGCTCTCGAGATTGCTTTCGATCTTTCAAAAAGTTCTTTCGAGACATTGATTGAATTCTTTTACAAAGTACACGGTACCACATGTGTTCAGCTTTTACAATATTAATTTTCCCATCACCGTCTTTCTCCTAATAACTTTATACACCTTCCTCATAAGAAAGATCCCACATCAGTAAACGCACAAGTGATAAGGAAGAACTATATGATGATGGTGGTGCTCATGTCCTCCGATATGCGCTTTTATCTGTTGCGGCTTATATAGTAATAAAACATGCTAACAAATATGCCATTGATAATAAACTACGGTACAATTAGGACGAAATGTCGACAGACAATATCGAACTGTTATTTTCTATCATTCTTTGGAGCAAATAGCCATTGCTGAAATGGTCACACAGTAAATCCAAGAAGAACGCTAATAAAAACAAGAAAATCGTAACCAAATTAATTCCTGCTGGCGAACTCTTTGGTGCTGAGCAATATCCCCAGGTAAATGGGAAGGAACTCATACTGTTTTCCTGCTGATCATAGAGTGAGCTCAGCGTTTATAGTATGTTGCTTACCGTGCCTACTATCTTCTCTATTTTTCCCTACTTTACCTATTGGTACTATGAATAGCTCTACATAGAAAAGAATCCTGGCGGATATGTGGTAAGTGATGTCATATAGTACTTACATCGATTAGAACATATGGTTTTAACAAAAGGATGTTGGTTTACTATATACTCTAATTCATTTCTCTCAATATAGTGCACTATCTTCATTGGTAGTAGCAGCTTCCGATTATACAGCTTTTCCGTGTACGAACTACTACTGTAGCAGGAAAGCACCATCAAAACAAATGACATTACAATACTAAACATCCTTTACATTACTGTTCTATTATTCTCTCCATTAAATACTGCTTGTGCTGAAATATAAAGTCAGTACTATGATAGTATCATTGACAGCAATTATCAGACCGTAAGTTGAAGCCTGACATATATGATTGTCAGTTGCTATCATGTCTTTATAAAAAGCACATGTGCGTTTGCCTTATAACCTCAGCTTTATTCTCTTTTAACTTCTTCAAAAAGCAATTATACACTCAAACGTGCTTCAAAATGCCTTTTTTTAACATGTTTGCTTTCTTCGTTATTGAAGAATAGAAGAATAATTATGTTTGTGAAGAACAAGTATGAGCAAACAATTTCTGTACGTGTATATACATATATTATACTCGTCTACCTTTCAATGGAAAGATGCCACCTCTTTTGCCTTCTTTCTACACAAATCAAATAGGGAGTACTCTAATTATAGTAGTGACAATTATTGTTATAACTACTAGTGCAATTGATTATGTCCCACAGAAGGTCGGTCAAGTATTGTATGAATGAATGTGTGCACATGTCATATCCAAAAACAATATGTGTTTAGACAGCAGCAATAACTTTATAAAATAATTATGTACAGTAGTAGTATTATCAGGTTTACAGACATGTCTCCCTTATTTTGCCTTTAGCACTCGCTTAGTGTACTTGTTGCGCGCGAAACGAAAGAAACAGAAGATAGGTTAATACAAACAACAAGGGGTAAAATGCTAACCATTTCCTCTGTGTTTGTTGCCTTCCTCTCTCTCACGAGCACCCTGACTTTTACAGTGTATGTATAGACCAGACTCCAGACCACCGTGTAGTACGTAATACGCATGCTTTCCGCGTGTTACAGTATGCACAGATAGGATTACTTTACTGCTAGTACTACATCCATGATTATCGCACAGGACAACTCATGTCGCATAAAACCTCCTTCTTTTTCATTGTGTGGAAGTACATGTCTTCCATAGGAGCAGATAAGAGTGTACACAACCCGCACACAATATGCTTGGTAGTTGGTTTCTTTAAAGGAGCAAAACGAAAACCATAAAGAAAAAAAAATAGCTTAAATGCTATGGTGGAAAGGGGTTGGTGGTGAGTGTAGAACGGAATAATACTAAAGCTTATGCATGTATACTGTAGTCTTGGAAAGCCGAAATGAGTTGACGGAGGTGGGGAGGGGGAACGCATAGTGGTAGGCCTATCGATCGCGCCCTTTCCAATTCATTATACTTGTCAATCAGGTTCTTCGCATATAATAAGGAACAACAAAAAAAATTAGATAGGGATGATGATCCCAAAATCTAGGTACCAAAAGAATAAAAAAGTTTATTCCTATACGTCTTATCGCTTATTCCTCAAACCTTCCCCCCCAACCTCCCCAAACAATTTTTTTCCATAATGTGCTCCTGCCCGTCGTCTTGTTGCTTGCCTAACTAACATTTTCCCATCGTTATTTCTCTCCCGAACGGAATACATAGAATCTCAGACGAGCTTGACGCTCACTAAAATAGAAATATTTGCTCAAAACAGATGATAGAATAGCTGCTATGTTGATGACGGGCGGGGAATGGCAAAACAACGACGACACGTACGTAGTACCACGGTGCGGGGAATGCATGAAAGTGTATATATCATACCTCGTTCGTTCTTTTGGGGCTCTGTGTGTGAAAGAATAGTCATGGAGATCAGGCCATCATTGGTGGTACAAGAAAAAACTCACCCCGCACTACATTGCGAGACGCTTTAGCAGATGGAGTAAAGATACGCGCACTATTTCTATTCACCTCCCCAAAACCCCCCTGTTGCGTAATCAGTCATGTCAGTTGCTACTCGATCGATTCCAAACCGTATTGCACGCTTTGCTGCATATGAATGCACTGCCGATTTATCTCACCTGAGCACCCATGAGCGTGCCGCTATCCCTAAACTTGTCAAGGCCGCCAAGCTGTTTGATCAGATCTACTTGCGTCAGGCTTGGTCTGGTAACGAAGCACTTCAGGAAAAGCTCAAGGAGAAAGGCGATCGCGACTTGTGTCTGTTATTCGATATGTACAAAGGACCTTGGGTAAAGTATTAGATTTTCCGTATCTCTCATATGTAGCAGCAGCAGTATGCTTATTGATGACTACATATCACACGCACTCGCGTTGTTACTCCCTTTCTCCCCCCACACACACCTCCTTTACATCCCCAACTTCATTGAAAGGCGAGCGAGGATGAAAATGTACCGTTTATTGAAGGCGTACCCAAGCGTCCGGAGGGAGGAAACTTCTACCCTGAAGATATGAAGAAGGAGGAATTTGAGGAGTGGGTTAAAACGTTGTCGTCTCCCGAAGAACAACGACACGCCAAAGGCTTATACACCACTATACGGCGCAACAACGATGGTATTTTAGGATACGTTCCTTACAACCAGGAGTACAAGGATTTGCTTGAGCCAGCAGCAAAGCTGATGCATGAAGCAGCGGACGACTTGGCTCAATTGGCTCCCTTGGAGGAAAAGGGCACCAACATTCAAACGTTCCTTCGTTCGCGTGCTGATGCCCTGTCATCCAATGATTATCTGCCTTCTGAGTTGGACTGGCTTTCGTTGAGTAAGAGCAACAAACTGGAGATCACTGCTGGTCCTTATGAGGTCTACACCGATGCCATTTTTGGTTACAAGAGTGCTTATGAGTTTTATGTGCATGTGCGCGACGAGGCCTCGTCGCGTCTTTTGGAGGCGTTCAGTGATCTTCAGTTTGTGGAGGATCATTTGCCTATTCCCGACAAGTACAAGAACGACAAGCTGATCCCAGCACCTATTGTTGTGGTCAACCAGCTCTTCTCTGGCGGTGATGTAGCAGTAAGTGTTTACCAAAACGTGGGCTATTATAGTCTATGAAGTGTATAATGTTATGGAATGTATTATGCGTGGTACTAGGTCCCCATGACAGCAGCATACAATCTTCCCAATGATGAAGAGGCAGTAAAGAAAGGTGGCAGCAAGCTTGTGCTTATAAAAAACGTGCAAGAAGGCAAATTCAAGCATGTCATGGCACCTATTGCCGAGCAAGTGCTTGCAAAGGATCAGCTCCAGTACCTCTCTGCTGACGCTTTCACCACTCATATCCTGCTCCATGAAGTGTGCCATTCAAACGGTCCACACCACACTTTGGGAGGCGACACTGTCCGATCCAAACTTCAAGAACATCACTCTGCTTTGGAAGAGGCCAAAGCTGGTAAAGTTTCTATAGGAATGGTTGGATCAACCTCTTATGAGAGGACGTAAGGTTTTACTGACTAGAAATTTCTACCACCATCGCAATCATGCACAGATATCGCTGCCTTGTTCGCTGCACATTTGATGGTCGAAAAGGGTAAAATTGAAAATGTAACAAGCCGACAGTTCTGGGCGACGTTTTTGGCTGCAGCCTTCCGAAGCATTCGATTCGGTATCCAAGAAGCACACGGCCTTGGACAGGTAAACGATGAACTGCTTTTTCCTTTAAATGCTTGTGATGTTTGATTTTGACGATTGGTTTGTTTTGGATAATAGGCGTGCCAATTGAACTACTTGTTGGAGAAGGGTGGCGCTACTTGCGATCCTGCAACCAACCTTTTCAGTGTCGACTTTGACAAGATCGAGCAAGCTGTTGCTGACTTGACCCATGACATCATGGTCCTGCAAGGTAAAAGCCAAATGATTCAAACGTATGCTTTCGACTACTAACGTATAGAACTTGTCATCATTTTCAGGTGATGGTGATAAGAAGGCTGTGGATGACTTTGTCGAGAAGTACAGCAAGCTTGGTCACGAGACCAAGAAAGCGCTGGATCGCATTGAAGAAGCTGGTAAATAATGACTTTATCGATGGATAACCAACACACGAACGTGCAATAACTCATATTTTGGGATCTCTTTTACATGTGAAATAGGCATTCCCGTGGATATCAGACCCATCTATCCCATTGCTGAGGAACAATAAAGTCAAACCGAAAATTTGATTACTCTATTTTGCGCTTCTTTTTCTTTTAATTTTAAACTACCGTGTTATGCAACCTCAATCCGATGATTCACGATCGGATGATCCAAATAATAATAACGGCATGATAACTGCCCTTAGCCCATTAGAGCAACAGGCTCCTCATACGAATGAACCTGACAATGAATCAACAACAACAAAAATCGACGCACATGCATTCACAGCCGACATGTTCAAGCCTACAGCGTCTCATTTATTTTTGAAACGTAAACGAGCTTCGCATGCTTATATACCCGAGTCAGCGTAAGCAGAGGCATATAAAAAAGCGATATATTAAAAGATCAGCTAGCTAACGAAATAATATGCTAGTGAACGTGTCAAAAGATTGTATCCAGAGCTGCAGGCAGATCAGGACTTTCTTCACCAAATGCTGGATATCTGGACAAACAAATTGCACCAACTTCAGGTAAGAAGGGGAAATTACAACAAAGAGCTTTATTTAACTAAGAAACATGATATCAATAGACGGACCAACTGATACTGGAAAGGATGGCTGGCATACCGGAATCACAACTACAAGGAGTCAGCCCGCTTGGTGGCTCATTCAACTATACCCAACAACAACGCACGCGAGCCTTGGCAAATGGCAAAAAAACCAGGCAGCCATGTTTACGACGACGCCGAGAACAACTACAAAAACATCATTACAATCACCGTGAGCCCGTAAACGGGAATGACGAAGCCGGCGATGTTGGTATACATGACGGAGAGCAGCAAGAGCGTAAAGAAGATGATGATGCGGATATTGGCGGTGGTGATGCTGCCAAAGATGGCGGTAGTGATGAGGACGAAAACGATCGACACATTTGGGACGCAAGAGCAATGTTAAGCGACGATAGTGACAACGAGAATGGAGCGGATGAAGATGAGGAAGCTGCACGTCGTGCACTGACATTCATGCTGGCCGAGTTCGGGGATGAACTTGAGTAACTACATATCACAGTTGTTACTAGCTTTCTTAGTTGTTGAGGATAGAAAAGGAACCAAAGAAAATCTTCAATTGTAAGTAATACCCACAAAACATTGAAACGAGTAAACGAAAATTCTTCGGCTTTTACTGATGCAGTCTAAAGTCAAACGACGTATTCGCTTGATCTTACATGCTTGAGGCAGGGAAAAAGTTTCCGAGAGAGAGAGTCAGCGTTCTTTCTTCTTGGCCCTGCCTACTCTTTTTCTCTCTTTTTTTTTTCCTTTTCCTTTTTTCCTCCATTTAGCGATCTCATCACGATTGCGATCTTTTTACACACGTTATGGCGGCCGTAGCTACTCTGTCTTCTAGGCGACTGGATGAAGTGAGAGGAGTCTACTTTTTTTCTGGGATTGATTTTGAGGAACCAAAATCGTATGTGGGAATAATAAAAAAGGGTTAAACGCAGGTCAAGTCCAGGAAAAGTGCCTTATTTGATGGCCGTTATGAGAAAATATGTACCTTGGGAAAAGGGAACTTTGGCAAAGTGTATCTAGCAAGAGATTGCACCACTGGACAAGAAGTAAGCATCTTCTCAATATTCTGTAAGAAACAAGACGGGGTTTTTGAGCGTGCCAACTAACTAGCTCTCTGTAAAATCGGACGACACTACGATCACGACAACAATAATTCATATGCAAGGTGGCTGTTAAGGTCGTGGATAAAACATCAATCAAAAGTGGCGACCAACGTCAACACGCGCTAAACGAGAAAGAGATATGTGAAGGATTCGCCCAGCGACTGGACCATAAAAACATAGTCCATGTCTACGAAGTGTTTGCAGACCACGAAAACATCTATGTGGCCATGGAGTATGTTGAAGGAGGAGAGCTTTTTGAAAAGATCAAGCAAAGGCACCGACTCGAAGAGCCACTTGCTAAACGTTGGTTTCGAGAGATCGTTGAGGCTGTCGACTATATCCACAAGGTGATGGGGGTTTTTGACATTAAAGTGAGGGGAACATGAAAGAGAGACAATGGTTGTGCTGATAGTAAAGTGCGCTACAGAATGGCATCGTTCATCGAGATCTGAAGCCAGAAAACGGTAAGCTAGTAGAGGCGTGCTAGAGTTATATCAGTGTTCATCAGCTAACATTTATTTATTGTTTACAGTCCTCATTGACAAATATCAGAAGATCCGTATTTGCGATTTTGGATTTGGCAAGTTTTGTGAGCGCCAACAGGTACTTAATACCTATTGTGGCAGTCCCTTCTACGCCGCACCCGAAATGGTGACCGCCACGCCGTACCGCGGGCCACCTGTTGACATGTGGAGCTGTGGCGTGATCTTATTTGCAATGCTGGCCGGCACATTACCATTTCAAGGCGACGACATGCCACAATTGTTCCGCCGGATTAATACCGGAGCTTACACAATGCCTCAACATATTTCGCAGGAAGCAGCCGATCTTATCAGCCGATTATTGTGCAAGAGTGCCAAGGGCCGTATCAGTGCAGAAGAATGTCTAAAACACCCATGGCTCAATCATAAGAACCGCACAGTCTATGGACTCGAGCCATCCAGTTCTACCTCGACAACCACCAAACATCGGCCTACGACGACAACAGCATCTAGCCATCCATCATTATCTCGTTTACCATCATCCACTGCTGCTGCTACTGCTGCTGTTGATGCCGCTCATCATAGCACAGCACAACGACAGAAACAATCAGCCAATGCTTCCACTCCTACACCCACCGTAACCACAACAACTTTGGCTGCATCTACTTCATCGTCTTTACAATCGTCTCGCAACAAGAAATCCAGGGCATCTCGACTATTCACAAAGATGTTCACCAAGAAGACGCAAGTTGCTCCAACGGTACGCGCCATTGAAAAGACCAGTGTAACAGCAACAGCAAATCAATTGTCAGCATCGCAAACGAAAAGCAAGAAAAGAATTAAAGGCGTCGAAAACAAGGTCGTTCATCGATTCAAAGGGCTTTTGAAGACGGCTTTCCAACGACGACTTACTGATAAAGATTAACAAAAGCACGTCTCTTTTAAATCTTAATACTTCTGATACTTGATATGATATATACAATATAACTCTACCTACCTACTTTGTTAACAACTCATTTAATAGCACTAATAGTAATACAAGTAAATGTGATACGGGCTTCTTCTTTCTTTTTGTCTTTGTTCATCTCCACAAAGTAGTTCCCTCCGCATTTATGATTAGCGTGTTGGTGGCTGGGATTGGATTCTATTGTTGACAGCTACTCTCCGTTTCTCGTATCTTTCTCCCTGCAAAGAACTTTAAGACAATTAATAAGAATGAGCAGAATGTTGAATCGCCGTCTGGCTCATTCGTTAGCTTCTTCTTTCTCGACGGCGACGAAAACACCAACTTTATATGGCTGGGGCAACAGAAAAGCACTTCCATTGACGGCATGTACCGAGAATGACGTTTTTCTTAAACCTGTACGACTCGACATTCGACCTGAATATGCATTGCCACAAGTGAGTTATTCAATACTGTTAATTGTCACGCCAGCAAAACTGAAGGTCTAGTTTCTTCTTTTTCTCTGTCCAAGGAATCAGTTATAACACACATTGCAGCCGGGTGGGGCCACTCACTACTTGCTACGGACGCAAAGCGTGTATATGGTTTCGGTTTGAGCCGTTGTGGCCAAGCAGGTGAAAGTGAAGGCGGTGGTCTTGTATTTGAGTGTCCGGCAGCAGATGATCACAGGGATATCCAAATACGACAATTGGCATGCGGACGAGAACATTCACATATCGTTACCACGTCGCAACAACAGCATCAACAAGGGAATCGTCATGGACAAGAAACGCAGCTGTATTCGTTTGGAAACAACATGTATGGCCAGCTCGGTCTTGGAAAGAGCAAAGAAACGCACCCAGGGACATTTGTAATGCAAACTCGACCGCAGGCTGTGGAAACTTGCATGATGAACATCACCGACATTGCATGCGGTCTAGACCACACTGTGTTTGTTGCAGAAGGTATTGTAGATCACCCACCCCCTACTACGCTATCCCACCACATATACCCACTTTTGATCCACCCGCGCATTTTAAGATGTGTGTGCGAGAGTTAGAGAGAGAGAGAGAGAGAGAGAAAGAGAAAGCGCTGAACTAAAAAAGAAAAAAAACCTTGTTGCTTAGATAAGCATGTATATGCAATGGGTTGGGGTGCAGATGGCCAGCTGGGTCTGGCTGAAGGATGGACGGGTGATAAAAACCTACCCACTCAACTGCCATCGCTCGGTGGTGCACCCATAAAAAAGATTGCCGGATCTACAGATTTCACACTCGCCTTGACAGGTAATTAAATTGTAATAATAATCCTGAGGAAGAGGAACCCCTTGATCTAATACCCAATTATTTCTCTTCTTAGCTGATGGTGGATTATGGACCTGGGGTAACTCTGAATATGGTCAAGGCATGACTGGCGCCAAAATTGATCGGGTATGGAGCAGATAGTAGTTTTTGTTGAGCAAAGATGCTACGCATTATTTGTAGTTTGTTTTTAAGTAAGGGCGTGTTACGGCGACTACCTAGTAATCCCTCCCCCACCCCCCAAGGGCAAAAACTCACCATGCAAAGTTTTGTTTTTGTTTTTTGTTTTTTTTTAACAGATTCTGCAACCCATTCGGTTAGAGCATCGAGGCATTGTAGATATTGCAGCTGGAGGACCGTTCTCGGTAGTGCTTGCTGGTAACGTCTGTTTTATCTTTTTCGTTGTTTCTTTCACCCTTGTTCGTTTCTATATACAAGCGGTGAGCTATCAGTGATAACTGGTGATGCTGACTCATCACCCGTTGTTTTGGTGCAGAGGACGGCTCGGTACACACATGTGGCTATGGTGCCCTGGGACTAGGTAGAGATACAATTGAAACGCTGAGCCTGCAGCGCATACGCGATCTTCCACAAATCCAGAAGGTTTTCGCCACAACCGATTTCGCGGCCGCAGTTGCAGGTAAGAACAGTTAATTAGCTGGCTAGTTCGTCAGGGCTTCATTAAGCTACGATTTATTTTTATATACGCATACGTAATATTTTGCAACAAAACAATAATCAATAACAATACTAATAATGATTATTTATATTGTAGCATCGGGCGAATTGTTTACGTGGGGTCTGAATGGGTCAAGTGGTCGGCTGGGTTTGGGTCATCAGGAACACGCATTCCAAGCTGAGCGTGTGGATATAGACAAAGAAGTACATGACATGGTGTTAGGAACGAACCACGCCTTGGCCATCTGTATATAGAGTTTACTTCGTTCTCTCTGGAACGCGCCTCGTGAGGTAACGACCTGAATTGAAAAGCTATCTGGTGATAGTTATTGCGCTCTGTAGTGTTCATACATACATAGATACATACATACAATACGAAGCTGTTGTTGTTGTTGATGTGGCTCATGCGTGCACCCGTGAAAAATGGGTCAGATGGAAGAAGTTATATAATGAACGCCCCCCTTGTGTTTGAAGGGCGCGAAAGAAAAAACAGTGGACAAGTGCTTCATTAACGTGTGTCACAATAATACAACAGCAACAGCAACAACAACATTGCGGCTGTTGCTGCTGCTACTGATGATGGATGCTGATGATGACACTTTCCGCAGATGACGGAAACGAGCTCCGTAGCAACTTTTTCCATGTCACACAATACGTATCACCTGTTGTTTCCCTGCAAACTTAATTTGAGAAGCAGCTGAAAGGGAAAAAAAGCCGTGTGCTGTGTATCCGCCGCCATTGCGCATCATATTTTAAAGGCTTTCGTGTGTGTGTGTGTGTGTGAAAAACAGAGAGATGTGTCTCGATTCATGCAAAAGAGCTTGATCCCACAATAATAATAATACTACTAAAGGGAGCCATAAAAGTTTGGCTTTTGTTGCATAGGCTCGCACAGGAAAGGTAGAAGAAAAAGGGATGCATATTGCTCTATTGCAGTTGCAGTTGCAGTTAGAGAGCTAGTTAGTGAGTCTGCTGTACCCTCTAGAACAAGGTATGATCGATTATTTTGTCGAGCAGAAAAAAAAAACTATAGTACTTCTAAGAGACTCTACACAAGGAAAATGAGGGCAAAAGGGGGCAGGAAGGGAGGAATTGCCTCCATTCTGGGCCACATGATCATCGTTTTGCCCTGATCCAGCAATTCCACAAACGTGGTGCCTCGGAAACAGAGTCCGGGTACCCAACAAACACGACCGACATCAGAAGAAGAAGGACAACAAGAGGGTTTCTGTCGGAAACCCGCTCCTGGTAACAATGGTATACTGCTATACGTCGTGTATGGTACGTTGCTATAATTATAACAAGGCGCATTGTTAGATCAAATTGGAAATGAGCTTGTGGGGGGTGGGGGTGGGGGTGGGTGAAAGGCACTTTGCATGTAGGAAGAAGAGGAACAAGAACAAGATGAACGAGGACGGACATGCCGCCCTACTAGGGAAAAAAGGGACATTATAGCGAATTCGAGTACCTTGACTAGCAGCATAGCGCTTGTTAACGAATGAAGGAATGACGGAACGAACGAACGAACGACAACAACAACAACAAAGCAGTGCAAATGATCGCTTGGGGCTTGTTGGAAATGACGCGCCGCAGCCCTCATGACTCGTGTATTAGATGCTGCAGGCAGCTGGCTAGCAATAGAATAAGATTATAATAGGCTGTGGGCCCGTCAAAGCCGGTGTAACGAACTTTGCAGAAGTTTGGACGCCAAGGCAAGGTGTGTGATACTGCAGCAGGCAGTAGATGCTCTTGTTTCCCCGGAGGAACATCCCCGCGAAGAGTGACTGAGAGACCCATGGAACAAAGAATCGCCATCTGCGTGTGTTGAGGGTCATTCCCATTGTATAGGAGGAGGATCAGCGAGAACAAAAAGCTCAATTATAAGAAACAAAAAACAAGAAAGAAAGAAAGAATAGGGAACCTCTCTCGTCGTACACCACCAACGTCCATGGCAAGAAGAATCTCGCCCCCCCCCCACACACACACCTCCCCTCTCCTGTCCTATCCTTCCCCCCCCCACCCCCACGGAGGCCTTTTTCTTTCTATAAACTACGCTTGAGCTACAAATGTCACACACTGCTGGTACTGGTGCTGCTTATACTGCTGCCTGAGGATGTGTCTATGGAAATTTAGCAGATAATGCAAAAGACGAGGATGTCCAGGTTGAATGATGCTGTTGCTGCTGCTAATGGTGGTGATGATGAGGCCCAGCTGATCAGCAGGGGTGTCATAATAAAGGCAAACACAGAGAGAGGGGGGGGGATAGAGAGAGACAGAAAGTGAGTATAAGTTAGCTTTTTGTGCGTAGGTAGCAGCAGCAGCAGCAGCGAGTGTGGGTCTTGTGCAAAAGTTCAGCCTAAAATAGGAGGTTTCTCCGGTCCGTGCAGATGCTTGCCTGGTACACAAAGCGACGAGATTACATGTTGTATTTGCATGGCGCTTTTTTCTTTCTTATTTAAAATCTCGCTCATTTTTTGGTTTTTCTTTTTTTTTTTATTTTTCTTCCCTTTCCCTTCACACACGCCCCCTTTCTTCACTAGTCTTTTTTTTTTTTTTTTTAGCTCGCACTTACTCACTCACTCACTCACTGACTCTCAAACACACTTTTACAATGACAAACAGCCATCGGAGATCTCGACATGAGTCCGGTATGTCATTTTTGGCGCCATACTCTTTCTATTCTTACCCATCATCACCGTCACCATCATCCGCACTGAACGAGTAGCGAAAGAAGAACTAACATTCAAGATGTGCTATTCGTAGTACCTTTTCAGATCCATCCTTCTGGAGCCATCACGTCGCCTAGCGCCCAGTCCTGTCGCTACGATTCGTCGCTAGGGCTCCTGACCAAGAAGTTCATTACGTTGCTACGCTCCAGTACCCATGGCGACTTGGATCTCAACCGTGCTGCTGCTCAGCTCAAAGTGCAGAAGCGACGCATCTACGACATCACCAATGTCCTGGAGGGCATTCGACTTATTGAAAAGAACTCCAAGAACCATGTGCGATGGATGTAAGCAAAGCCAGAGTTTATTTGTTGTTGATCCCACAAACAAAAGAAGGGAAAGTGAAAAAATCAGACGACTGAGTGTGCATCATTATTTTTATTCTTTAGTGGTAACAACAACAACGGCAGCAGCAGCAGCAGCAGCAACAACAACAGTAGCAGCACGAGTGCTACGAGCAGCCCATCCGGATATCCTTCAGACAACGTTGCCTCTCCCGCATCCTCCACATCGTCCCTGTCCTCTCTCTCGTCATTCTCTTCATCGTCCAAGGACTCTGTCGACGAGTTGGAACACCGACTAACACTGCTGAAGCGACACAACGGAACTCTGGAACGGGAATACGAGCATTTGAACGACATGAAACAGCAGGTCGACCGTGAAATAGAGCGCATCCTGAAACGTCATAAAGGCCATTGCTATCTGACGCTCGATGACCTGGCTCGGTTTGAGGCCATGCTCCATGCGCAGCAGGAAGTGCTTGTGGTTGTCAATGCTCCCTATGACACCGACATCACCGTTCACCAACCACCCAAACAGCATCATCTCCACTCGCCACGGCTATCGGCATCACCACGAATGCGATTCCAGCCATATCCCAGCCCTGTCAAGGTAATATATCCGGACCTGTAAAAATGTTACATTGCGCAAATAGAGAGCGACTGACATTTTGACCCTTATTATTTCATTATTCTTATTTGCCTGCAGACACCGTCAGGAGTACCAGCAGCACCAGCAACATCAGCAGCAGCAAAGACCAAGTGCTTCATTCGCGTACCAGACCGCTCCAGTCAGGCACTACATATTGTATCGTTATCGGCACGACACCATTCAAATGAAAGGCATTAATAATGGCGGCTTTCTTGGGATCTGGACTGCATCAAAACCCCTCGTCCACATCATCAGCTTCCCTCGCATTTCTTTTTTTTGGATCCCAACGTGATATATCACTACCCGTTAAAGAAAGTCTACTACTACCACCACGACAGTCTTCTCTCCACACGCCCCCCCCTTTTGCATATACATATCTTTTCTGGCACATTGCACACAGTAAGCGAAACCACTCGACAACCATCCAACAACAGCAACCACGGTCAGATGTTAACGACCATTATACCACACACTAGTCGCCATCTCGTCATGATTCCCCACATATTGCATAGCATCAATTCACCCACTATCCGCACAACCGATCTTCTCGTATTAACGTTATACACCCACGCACATAGCACGCCCTCTTTTCCACATTTTGCTATTATGAGTATCCTCGAAGGAAACTCGTAAAACCTGATGTCCCTTATTATACATAGTGATTTGCTTCCCTTCTTCTTTTCTCACACGCACTGCTACTAGTTTATTTTGTCTTTCTTTCTTTCTTTTCTTCTTCCTTTCTCCTCCTGGCGAGTGAGAATCCATATACATACAGGCGGGGACAACGGTTGACGGTGATGATAATAATAAAGGATACCCGAAAAAGGAATAACTCTTTTTTTTTTTCATTATGATGATAATGGAGGTTGTCTCACTCACACGACTTTGGCATTCAAATAAGCGCTGCTGCGTGTAAATGGGGAGGGGTGGGGGGCATGGGCGGGGGGTTCAGAAAGAAGGAGAGAGTAGAGGAACGAATGAGTGGATTTTGGGGGACAGAGCGAGAGGGCAGTGCTAACAGCGTGATCATGAGCTGCAGTGTCGAGTGTGTTGGTAATATAAGAGAAGCAAAGGCCAATCATAATCAAGACAGGGAGGTGTGCAAAGGGGGGAGAGTGTGTTCGTGAGAGAGGGCTGGAGGAGTAATTGAGGAGGAGGGCACAAGGTTCGTCATACTGCATCTTAACATATGCGTGTATGCCGCGCGCGCGCTCTTTTTTTTTCACTTCTTATTACTTATTGCTTATTGGATACATGAAAGAAAGAAGCACTCCCCTTTTTCCTCATCCTCAACACATTCAATGGTAAAGGCGTGCTTGAGGGTGTTTCTTTATTTCACACGCTTCAATCCCCCTTCCCCTCACTCCCCCTACCTTAAATCTCAGAGTGTTTAAAAGGGAAAAGTAAGGGGCCGCGAAAGGTGGGGAAATTCTATTTTGACTTGACATGTTGGATTGTACGCCTACTATACAGCCTTAGGGGTACGACAGAATAAGTAACAGCGATGCATTCAATCTACTTTTACATCTGTCCTCCTCCTTTCGTATTTATAGCAGTAAGAACCAAAAAGAGTCCTATCTTTCTAAAATATGACATATAGCAGTTAGCAGCTAATACACATAATCAAGAGAAGGATCGGACATGAGAGTGTGTGGGTATGTGTGGCTAACTCTTTATTTATTGATAAATATAGACAAGTTCTGTTGCTGCGGATGGTTGAAAACAAAAGGGAACTGATTTTCACGGGGGTTCTGTTCTTTTTTAATAATGCGGAGGCGGTTATACACTGAGAAGAAGAAGCAAGGGCTGAAATTGTGTGTATGTGTATGTACTTGTGTTCTCTTTGGTGCAGCAGAAACGCGGGAAATGTATCCAATCTGGCATCTTAATTATTATTGCATAAACTGACAAACATATCGCAGCTACTACTAGTATCGGCCATGTAGTTATTATCATTAACAATTCAGTGATGAACAGCCGTTCATCATACTCCAACTCTTTGCTTTTCATAATGTAGCCATTACAGCCAATTACTATTGCCAAGAATCATCACCTTTTCAATTCTTACATTGCTTTGCTATATACTCAAACATAGCATACATGCATCATCGTCACCCCCACCCAAACTTATTGAGAACCGTAGGATGTATACATGCTCATCGGTGATCGGTGATGCCGCTGAAGGCGAGTATAGTGTTGATGGTAATCCTGACCAGCTTCTTTTACGCATAATGACGCTATATGTATAAAGAGCCAAGGAGAGGAATAAATTTCCAAATTGTTATTTGCATGCCATGGAACCACTTATGTATTAGATCCAGTCAGTCAGTCAGCAGCAGCAGCAGCAAAAAGATGCATACAACAAATACAGCAACAACGATAGTTGTTTTTTTGTACCCACCATTATTACATTTACCTCCTTTCGAATGATATCATATGCAGGAAAGACCGACAAGTACTAGGTAGATCTACCTATTTGCTACTAGGTGGGCAAATTGAGATCATGTGAGTTCAGGCCATCGTCTACACAGATACATGAACATGCAAAACCTATGATAAAAGCGTCTTTGCTGCTGCTGTCCCTTAAAACTCGTCTCCCGCTAATATGTGTATCATACATACTTAAATGCATCTGATGCTGTCGGTTGAGCTCGAATGTTGACACATAAGACGGGCGGATGTAAAAGTGGAGAGGGAGCAAACAACATTCAGCCCAGCAACATCATATCAGTCAGTCAGATTATGATGTCCTCTATTTTTTCTGGTCCAAACATCTCGCCAGCCTTCAATTTAATATAGCAATGATTAAGTGAATTATATATATATATATTAATCAGTTCAGTGCGGGGTTAAAGCTACTGGGGTAGACTCTCATCCAATGATATTAAAAGTTAAGCAACTGCTCTCTGGGTGCAAAGTGTGAGGGTAGCCAAGTTAACGGGGGTTGTTACGTGTGCCGATATCTTGTGTTGCCCCTGTGTAGCGCTTGTGTGTGGGTATATCAGTTGGCGTTTTGATTGTTCCTGTCAACGACAGCACTTTTACACGGGTCTTTCGTCTTGTATTTTTTCTCACTCTATCACCTCCTCATAACGTATTTGACAAATAATGGGTGATTCTACTTCTCGGTCAGATGGAAAACGTCGTCGCGGTAGACCTCTAGGTAGCAAAAATAAAAAGCAGAAATCCTCCTCGGCTCGCGCTCGCGGTCAGACGAGCTTGATGCAATACGTTCCTTCGCGCTACCTTTCTTCAGAACAACGCGACACAACAAGCGCTGAGGCCACAGCCTCACCACCCGATATCAATGAGCAACCAAGCTGTGAAGTTTCCTCCCAACAGGTTGTATCCGGAAAGGGCCACCACATACATATACTTATTGTATCGATTATATAGGCTCGTGTGGATGACGATGACTATACTTTAAAGGACTTGATCGACGAATTAGAGGAAGAAAATCATACTAATTATGATACTGGCGTGGAAAACGAGGAAGATCCCATCCCTGACGAAGCACAAACACTCAATGATGACGACAGAGGATACAAAGAAAAAAGTTTCGGAGTGCTCGCCCAGTATTTCTTAAGTATCCAAGATCGTATCAAGACCAAAGATGGTGGTTATCCAAGGGAATACAAGAATGGAACTTTTTGGATTGAGCCAAAGTCGCCTTATTTTGCATTACGAGACGAAAGTATATTAAATCCCAAGCCATTGTACTTTCCTCGTGTATTTCTATGGTTCCCTCATTTATTGGTTGATCGATTGTACTGCCGCGATCCGAGGTGCTACAATGAGGCGGACGAAAATACCTTTGAAAAAAGCAAACTTGAAGATAAAGGCTTCTACAAGGATCCTTATGCACGTCGAGTGGTGGACATGAACAGATATGAATTATTAGCAGCAACAAGCATGGCAAGCCTTTAACAGCGAACTATGTGTTTGAAAGATGCTTTTATATTATGTCAAGACGATATGATTGCAAAACCTGTCATGCCTCATTGGGTGCACACGATGAAAAAACCTTGAAACAGCTGCCCGACGAACTAGCAGCAGAATTTCCCGCCATTTTTTCCTATCGGTGTGCTATCTCTAAGGATCTCATTGACATTTTGCGACCATGTATGCAGCACGGTATGGGAGTTGCAAACTTTCAAGATATGCTACAGGAGCTGCACCTCAAACGCCATATCCGACTGCATATCATATACACCCTATATCAAATACATCGTCGAACGAACCCAACTTACAAGGAGACCGAAAATCGCATCAGAAGCTACCCTGAGTTCTCGACATTCAAGGATTCTCGAGGATACGCTGGATACGTTCCTTCTATACCATATTTTCGACTCATATACAATGCTATCATGGATGTTCTTCGGCCAATTATGGACAAGCAGATGGTTACTATTGATGGAGAGATACTCAAGGGAGACCACACATTCAAGTTTTTGAAGGAAGTTGCAAAAATGGGTGACGCACCGACTTTTGGCGCTCTATATACTATATGTAACGAGTATGAGGAGATACGAATGCAATTGCTAGTCCCCACCAAGTCATTATCGCATTTACAGACGCCTTTTAAAGGAAATGATGAAACATACGACATGTACGGGTATAAACCACCGCAGCTATTTTTTACTGACAACGTCCGGGGAGACAAGGCGTTCCTACTTGATAATATCAGCTCATTGAAGAACGGTCCCAAGATTAACAGTTTGACTTTAACTGAATCTACCCGCAACAATCACATATTACACCTGCCAACCTTTATTACTACGCACTACATACGCAATGAAACCGAAGCTGAAGAAAAAATTACGAACACCATCTTGTGTGATATTGATCCACAAACGATTGTAATTGGTTTGGATTGCGAATGGAACTTCAGTCGACATGCTTCCCCTGGCAAAGTGGTAATATTACAGTTAGCATACAAGGTATTGGCTCTGTTCTGTTACACTATCGTTTTGGCAAGTTACTGCTTCACGCTAACAAAATAACTTGTGGTTTAGAGCTACGTCTTTATCCTGCCAATCCACCAGTATAATAATATTCCTCCTTCTATCGAAACTCTTCTAAATTCGTCCAAGGTCCTAAAAGCTGGCCGTAATGTTAGTGGTGACTTAAAAAAACTAAAGCGCGACTACGGACTAGACTATCATGAAGGCACGGGGTTGGAGCTCGGCAAGTTCTCTCGTAGACGAGGCTTCATTGAAAATGGAAATGTAGGACTATCTACAATTGCTGAAGAAATACTTGGGGGTAGGATCGAAAAAAATGATAGAGACAGCAACTGGGAATTACAAGATCTTTCCGAGAATCAAGTGTATTATGCAGCGCTGGACGCGTGGGCGTCGTTGGCGATATATACAAAGCTTGTGTGTTTTCGTACACTGGGTAAAACCGTACTAAATCCTCCTCCGCATGGTGGGTACGTTGCTATTTATTCCCGTCTTCAATGTTCATTTCCAATTGCATATGGCGAGATATTACACAATGAGCAGCAGGTACTTTACGATTTACGTAATATTCTTTGGAAGAAATATGTGATTCATTAACAACATGTGCTTCTCTTCATGAATTACTAGATAACATTCGACGACAACATGGCATATATATCGATCAATCACGTTTGTGTTCCTGGCGCAATTCTTGACTCGCACACTCAAAAAACTCTTATGGAATTTGGAGACCTCCCTTTTGCTGTGACAGTACCGGTATCCATGCTACGATTCGAAAAAAAGTCGCTATGTTTATGGAGAGAGCAACCACCGCATCAAGGCAACAACCGATCACAAGCCAACATACCTGACGATATGCACGATACACCTCATATAACCGACAGTATACCAGACGATAGTGATCAGGAGTCAACATCTTCTTGTTCGACGTCAACATCACACGAACCCAATGACAACTCCAATGAACAAAGCACATCGAATATACCATGTTCCGACTCTTCAAACTTCAACTTCACAAATATTTATGCGCAGGATACCCAGCAGCAACCAGTATATTCGAGAATCCTAAAAGACATCTATCACTTCATGGCGCTTATCAATATACCCAAACGGCACGTTCTCGCAAAAGAATTCTCCCGGCAACTACGCAACGCTATCTTTGTTGTGCACCAAGAAGATCGGCAAAAAGTGGAGCAATATCTAGCGACCAAAAACATTACATGGGAATACATGCTGAACACGAATCCATCTTGGGTTATGCGAAGAGTGAAACGTATCGTCCCACCACCACACGAGCTCGGTCCTAAAGTCCAAAATCTTTTTGCTGAATACAGTAACCTAATTTGCACCAGAACTGGAAGGAAATTGTTTGATAATGATGCCCACCGTCAAGCCCAAAACATGCTCAAGGCAATATATGAAGGCCAAGTTTCCGATCATCCCGATATGCCGCTGTACTATAAAATTGGATACGACAAAAAAGCAAACCTTCCCCTTTATCGGTGTGCCCGTGGAACAAACTCTCTAGAGGGTGGAGTCCATCAAAACATTATCCGTGCTATTGGTTCTAGCGGTGCCGGACCACATTTGGCTGATTGCTTTCTTGCTGAGTATCGACTTTGTCATAACTTGAAGGTAAAAGGTGATATCCACTGAAATCAATCAGTTTTGATATTGAGATACCTTATATATCAGGTCGGCACTATGAATCGATATTTACGTCAGTACAAGGGACATTATGATCCATGGTTGATTGAAGCATTGGTATACCTACGGATGAAGCTTGGGATTTTCGGCACTGGTGGTGCTATTGAGGAGCAAGCGGGTGCCCATGTCCAAGGTTTGGAGCTGAAAGAGTGCAGCGAGACATTTGGTATTGCAGAATTTGCACCTGACGTTGCTCGCACACTTGGGATAGACATGTCTTCAGCAGAAGAACGAAACAACGAAGAGCATCGCGACCAAATGAATACGCTCAAACCTCGGCCATACTCTTTCAACATTAGTATCAACATCTTCTTACCACCTGGTTCTACGGCCAATCCTTTGAATAAGCGCTACATCTTTCTTGCCCACAGACAAGGAACAAAGTATGCTGTTACCCCTGTCCACACGAAGCAGGAATTCGAAAAGTTTCAAGAAATCATCCATGGACCAGCTCAAAGAACTATTGGCGCATCAGACTGGACCAGATTGGCAAAGCTTTGGAATGCATCCACATCCAAGCCGGTAGATGGAGTAACAGTATTTTACAAGACACCAGATCATCTAAAAATGCATTACGAGCGATGGAATGAGAGACGATTGACACGCGCTAGCAAAGCAATTAGCGATGGCATTTGTGAAACGATGAACGCAGAATTGATGTCACCAAGCAGAGGATATTCCGCATTACCTGCTAGCACACCGTCACCACCTCCATTTGCCCTCCAATCCATAGTACAAGAAGGACCGCAAAACTCGTTACCATCATCAATAGCAGTAGCTGACCCGTCATCAGTAGCAACAACTATCTCATCATCAACACCAAACTCTCTCGGTGCATCACCATTAGGTTTTAGTCGCAATAGTCCTAGAAGAATTGCTCTGGCGCCATCACCATTGTCTACACCATCACAACCACTGTTTACAGTTAATGTACAAATCCCCAAGAAACGAGCGCGCCATAAAAAACATGTATTACAGGGATCCTAAAGACTAAGCTACACACCCTTGGAACTATATACATATCATATTACAATTTTACCGTCATCGATACCACTCAACAATAAATGATATTGGGTTCTTCCCCAGGAATATTACTAGGGCCCTTTTTTTTGGTCTACGCAACAAGGAATTACAGATTGTAAGGAAAAATCTGGAAATCGGTGTGGGGAGAAGTTTGGTCCACTGAAGGAGTGAAGACAGTAGTGGGGACGTGTGTAACGGATGTTTAAACTCCTATATGTAAAAATTTGGTCTCCGCAAGGGAAAATTTGGGTCGCTCGAGCTGCTCTGTAATAAAAAATTAGTGACTAACGCTGGTTTTGAAAACTGCTAATTTTAGCAAATAAATGGGGATTTAGCGGGCAATTTTTAGCAGAGAAAACTGCATGCATGCGGTGGCAATAAAAAAGCTGCAACTGAAAAGGATATATTCATACAATGGACAAGAGGATGATGATAATTAATGGCTATAATGACTAAAGATTGCCTTTCGTTTGTTTGAGCTTTTGGTGTCAGTGATCTGGTGCATAGTGTGATCAGTTAGTGTCACAGGATTTTGGACATAATTGTGGGTATCGCCATTTACTACACTCTGGAAACAAGTAATGACATCGATAACTCTGTTCAATTGCGAGATGAAAAGCGGTACTTGATCAAGACTGAGTGGAAGTTGGATATGAGCAATTTCACACATAGTATAGAGCTCAATTTCGGCGCGATTAATGAGGGCATGTCAGTTTGTCTCTATATTACTTTACATCTGGTGATTTTATATTATCGGCTGAGTTTTAAAAATCAGTATTAAATTTAATTATCATATCAAAAAAAAAATTGATTTTTTTTAATATAAAAATAAATACATCAAACTTCTCTTGGTATTTACAGAAATTTAAAAATGGTCATACTTAATACTGATATTACTATAAGCAAAGATAATATGATTAATTATATACAAAATATAATGAAACAAGTTATTGATAATTATTTTGAAGATGAAGTATTGGTTTCAAAAAAAGAAGACAAAAAAAGATTAATGCAAAAAATTATGAAAGATGAAATAAGTTACAATCAAAATAGTAATCATTTCTGGTATATGATTAGCAGCGATAATCATTGTACTCATATATATTAAAAAGGAAAAAATGATGGTCATATGTGCCAGAAAAAAATAAATACTAACATAGGTAACAATAAGCCTGATTATCTATGTTGTTTTCATAGTAAGATTCATATACCTAAGGAAAAAAATAAAAAAGTGATGAAAAAAAATAAAAAAGATATTAAGAAGGTGTTTGAAAAGAAAAGAACAAAGAAAATTTTCATATGTAATGGTGGATATATGAACTTTGGAAAAATAATAGAAAAATTACTTGAATAAATTAAAATAAAAAAATATTTTTAATCTCTTTAAATTATAGGGTAGAGTATCACACTTTTTATTTGGGATGCACTATTGGATATTTTTATCTTTCAAATATTGGTTTATAATATCTTTTGTATTAAATTCTGATTGTTTAACCCAAGTATTATCCTCATTACTATAACCACACCATTTTACATAGAAAATATATTTACGATTATTATCTATCATATGATTTAAAATTTGTTCAACTTCATATACATCTTCTTTATTTTTATTTAGATTTCGTCTTCTATTTTTAGATGAATCTTGTAAAACATCATTATTTTCTATATCCATTTCTTTATCATCTATTTCAATATCTTCAATATTAAGGTCTAATATTTTAGCTTGTAGTTCCATCATTTCATTATATTCTTTTTTAACTTTTTGTTCATTACTAAAAACTAAATTAATTTTATTTAACTTTGATGGAAACTCAAATCTAACACCATACCATAATTTATGATGTGACTGAACTTCTATATCAAATTTTTCACAAAAATTATGTATATTTTTTATTAAACAAGCAACACGGAATTGTAAGTTATAATATTTTTAATCGGACATTTAAAGTGCTGCTTTATTATTATTAAATCTATCAAACTTAGATGCTTAAACAGAAAATTGATTTTCTATTTCAGATCTAAATAAACCAAGCTTACTATTAAAATTTAACTCAGAAGCTGATAATTTATTATTAATTTCTTTTCTAATGGGGTATACAAAATTTTTATTATCAAAATCATATCCATATTCTGCAGCTTTTTCAATAAATTTTTCAATATATAAATTATAACCACCATCCATACCTAAACAGTCTAATTTATTAATATATTTATATAATTTCATATTTAAGAACATTGTTCCATCATTGCCTTCTACACATTTTTGGCTATTTGAAACAACTAATATACTTTTATTAATATCAACTACAATTTAAGTTCTTAAACCTGAACCTTTTAATTTATAACTATATAAATTTTTTGTACTTTCATTAGGACTATAATATTTTATTTTACTATCATATCCATCTATAAATACAGTTACATTCTCAAATCTATTAGGATTATTTGCTTTTGCAGCTAAAACTCTAATTTTTATATTTGAAAATAAACTTTCTAAATCTTTTTTACTTTTTTTATTTAAATCTGTATAATTAGATATCCAAAAATCTTTATATAAATCATAAAAGGTAGTATATGGTATTATATTTGCCATTTTAGGACCTGTTCTACCAGATATCATATGATATAATAAAATTAAACCTTTTTCTATTTCTCTATAAGGTCCAGGATATTCTTTATTTATATATAAAACTGTCAAAAAATAATAAACAGGAATATACCCTAATTTTTCTAATAATTCTTTTTTAATTTCATTCATAATATCATTATCTTTAATATCTTTAATTTTTGTTCTATGATTAAATCTATTTCTAATTTATGGCTATTGTTTATCTAAAAAATCCCATTTATTTAAAATTAATTTTTCAATTTCATCTTTTAATTTATTTTCAAAGACAATATTAACATTATTATCAAGTTCCATTTTATATTGATATAAAATTCATTTTTTTTAATTAATATAAATAATGTTTAAATATCGAAAATCATTATAATACCGACTTGTCCCCAATGATGTAAAACGTAGCATTTTGACCTATATGATAATACAGAATGAGAATGTTATAGACCTATGAAACACAACAAATACTTTACCAACGACAAGGAAAGCAAAAATAGATTTCAACTTGTGTTTATCCGAAGCATCTTTAGCCAATTTTGCAACACGCATCAGATCGATACCAACAAGCCGGTGACTGAGGGCCTGGTACTGCGCTTTCACTTCGCCGCAACCAATTCGATCACTCAACAATGCTCCATGGCGCATATGCATTACCAACTGTTTTTATATAAAAACTATTGGTAATAAATATTTATTGGTAACAAAAATTTAAAATGATTGTTAATTGATTTTGATTTTTATATAAATAGAAAAAAAGGAATTGGATATTAATTTTTGAAATAATTTAGAAATGATATTCATCATTTTTAAATTTATTGGATTATAACAATATTTTAAATTTCAAAACTTCTAAATATTATTATAAATAAAATTTTAATTATAAATTATAACTTAAAAATAATATTGAAAAAAAAACAATTCTTTTTTTTTCTTTTTCCGTCTAGTCAAGAATCTTTGATTCTTGTAAAATAAATTAAAATTTATTTTAATTTAGGCGAAGCCTAATAAATATTAAGTAGCAAAGCTACGCCTCAAAAATTTTTAATTTTTGATTTAAAAAATAAAGGCGAAGCATTGCTTCGCTAAATAAAAATAAATTTTATTTTTTTAATTCTAGAGCAAAGGTAAACCTTTGCCTAAGTAAAATGGTACATTTTACTTATTAATATATATCTAAGAATCGAAGATTCTTGATATATAACCAGACGGAAAAAGAAAAAAAAGAATTGTTTTTTTTTCTATATAATTTAGATGTTCAATTAGAAAAAGTTAAGTGTAACTTTACTTTTATAATGAACATTATGGCATAATCATAAAGTTATATTATTATTATTTCATTAAATTTTATTTAGACATTAAAAAACAATTATTTTTATTAAAAATAATTATGTTTTTGTAACCAATAAGGTAATGCAGTACCCGCCATGTATTATATTGATCGATGCGTCGGGACATATATTAGCTTGATTTTCGTCATCACTGACAGAGGTCCTATTCAATTAAAAGTTATGAATATCAAATCGTCCCCTCTCCATCACATCCTTTTTCGTCCCAGCCAAAAGTTGCAATTACCATCGAAATGCTATGTCATTATCCAAGTCCTCAAAAAGGGGAGTGAGAATTGCTTCCAAATGTCGTGTGATTAGTTCCGTTTCCTTGGGCCCATTTTCAATGATTCGGCGTGGCAGCTTTTCCACTCTATTAATGATTTAAAATTAAACGCGATTTTTAGCAGCCTAAAAACTTACATGTTTCGGATGGACAACAAAATCCTGTTAATAGGATTAAGGACATCACTGTATTGTATCAGGGCAGAAATTTGTCGTGATGCTGCTAGGCGCGTGCATGCTTTACCTCGGTTACCGTCCTAATATGGATCAAAAATAATAAAATAAATAAAGTATAAAAAACAAGAACTATTCATTTTTCTATTCTGGTTTCTCTTCCAAATTTACCACATCCAATTGCATCATAATTTCTTCGAGTTGTAATTTGACTTCAGTTGGAAACGACTGATTAGTCATTTTATGTTTTTCAATGATATGCTGGCAAAGTGCATCACATGTTTTGAGATCAATGTGCTTGTGCAAATCTTTGTGGGTGCGCGCTGGCTTCAGCAACAATATAGAGGAGAGAGCAAGTAAGTGTTGCACATGCTCTTCAATGGTAATAGCGATGCCTTGCTGTATGTGGTTGTTTACATCTTGTTTGAAACTATAAAATCGAGCAGATATATCAATGTCGTTGAAAATCATGCGATCATCCATCGTTGGCGGTGAAGTATTAATTTCAGCAAGTTGAATTGGCACGGGTAATGGAGATGAAATGGATTGAGAGGTTGGAGTTGTTGAGATGTATGGCACAATTGGTGTAATCGTTGCACTTGATAATGTAGCCAGGGTTTCGTCGTTCTCGTTTCCAGAGACTGGCATCACAGTGGTTGGGATTCTGCGCTCACCAGTATTCATTGTAGTTGTCGCAGTTGTACACCGATCATCACGCTCATCATGCACGCGTAAAGAGGGCGAAATTTCAACAGAGCCAGTTTGAGGCCCAGCATCAGTTATTGAATCATAAATGAACATGCACTTCAACTGTTTCTTTGCCAAATGCGCTTTCAATGATTTTGCAGTCTTGTAATACTTTTTGCAGCATGGACATGGAAATCCATTAGAATTATGAGAGACTGTCAACTCCCCTTTACGATTCTGGTAAACATGTAAGAATCAGTAATAAATAAAAACAAGAGAATCAATAAACAACACTTACCGACTCGCACCTTTGAAATATGTACAGCAACCATATGGCTGTCTCGTTTAGTTCTCGTGCTTAGTTGAGCATTGGAGGTAAAACAATAACAATAAATATTTTTGAGAACTATAAAATCTTTGTAATCACTAGATTATCAAAAATTAATATGTTCTCTTTCATTTACAGGATTTTTCATCTGCTAGTGGACGTTTGAACTTTTATTTAGGCAGAAGGGATTTAATCTTAGGCAGAGTAGACATGAATGTTAATCTGAGTGGACATGAATGAAAATCGAGCTGGACATGAATGAAAATTGATCTGGACATGAAT